GCCTAGTTAGTACTCTACTATATCTGCCTTAATTAGTCGTAGCTATAGGTAACAGTCCAATTAACTCGTAACAACTAGCTACTATATTCGCGTAGTACTATAGTAGTACCGTTCGGTACTATAGAGGTACTTTTATACCTTACGGCGTACGCTATCCGGATCTATCTATGTCTACCTTATACTAGCTAGCTTTATCCGTAGTCTACTTTCTCGTTATTCTCGCCTCTTAAATAGTAGTATTAACGTAGTAATTAAGGCTCTAGCGACGAGTAGAAAGAGTAAGGTAAAGTATATACGATCTATAGTAATATAGCTATATACGCGTATAATAAGAAAGACGAGACAAGACGAAAATGCGAAATAGGTACGTAGATATAGCCTATATAATACTCTAATTTCCGACTTAGAATCGGGTTTTCGGTTTTCGCTTCTAACTTCCTTATTAGGTCTTCCGGATAGCTAATTACCTACTATCTAAAAACCGATTTAAGAGGTAGAGTTAGAAGTAGATAGATAGGTTATAAAAGCTAACTTATTTAATTATATAGGAAAAGGCCCGTACAATAACCTTATAACCTCGTAACCTACGCGAAGTAGACGGGCCCTTAGACGATCTATTAGGACTATAAAGAATATAGTACTAAAGGTATAGGGGGTTAGGTACCTAAGGTATCTAAACTAAGACCCTAGCTCTAGATATAGGAGTCTTCTTTAATCTAGAGCGGTCTTCCTGTTTTCTTCCTAATAAACTACTACCTATTACATTAGGTAGTATATTATACCTCTTTCTTCCCTACGTTTATTAAGTTCCTACTTCTGAGAGCGAGGTAGTGTTTGACACTTCTACGAGACGTGCAGCTTTAACATACTACTTATTCGCAGATTCAGGCTCTGTGAACACACTGGCCAACCTCCGCGGAAACATATTTGGATCAGTCACCTTTAGAGACAATCGTAATCCGCCTTGTGTGCTGCTGCGCGCCCTGCAAGTGGGAGAGATGTTGGATGCCTGACGCTCTTGGCTCGCGCGCTGATGGAAGGAAATCCTGTGTAGAAAGTCTACTCAGCCTCTGATGACATCTTGACACGGTCAACAGCCGCCGTACGACACAATGATAAATTGAGTCAACAACAGATCCATGGACAGCTCTGCTTGACAGGGCATCCAGCTTGCCGGCGACCAAAACGACCTCTCCTAAAGACTCTCAAACATGGCGGCTGCGTCAGGCCAGATTCTGGTCGTCGGTGGAGGGCCCGCCGGAGCAGTCACGGCGTACTGGCTTGGCAGAGCAGGCTTCCATGTCACCGTGATTGAACGTGCCGCCGCTCGATTTGCCAATGGCCAAGGTATCGATATTACCGGACCAGCCGTGGAGGTTGTCCGAAGAATGGGCCTGGAGAATGAGATTCGCGCAAACACCACCGGAGAGGCAGGATTCGCGATTTTGAACGACGATGCTGAGCCTGTTGGAGTCGTGGGAACCGCTGGGGAGGCGTCTAGCGCCGACAATGGATCGAGGACACTCAGTCTGACGAAAGAGATCGAGATCATGCGGGGGACATTGTCGAGGATTCTTGCTGGTGCCGCCGAGTCGCTCCCCCACGTTACATACAAGTACGGATGCAGTGTATCTGAGATTCGACAGAGTGAGACTGGTGTGACGGCAGTGTTGTCTGATACCGGAAAGGCAGACACCTACGCTGCAGTGATCGGTGCGGATGGTCTAAACTCGAAGGTTAGAAGGCTAGCATTTGATCCCGACACCAACTCGAAGTGCTTGAGGCCGCTCGATCAATACGGGGCTTTCTTTTCCATGCCGGGTCAGGAGGAAGATGTCCCAAATGCACGCTGGCAGCACTTCACAAGAGGACGGTCAGCTATTGTGCGACCAATTGATCAAACACCCACCAAATCGTCCGGCATTGTCGTCCTCAACGGGAAGTCGAAAGTGCTCGAGGACGTCGTCGATGGATCCCGTGAAGATCAGAAGAGGACCATGTCAGCAGAGTTCGTGGGTTTGCCCGGCCTAGGCCCACGCGTCATACAGCAGATGAATGATGCTGATGACTTCTACTTCACCCGAATTGCTCAGATCAAACTCGACCGATGGCACAACGGCCGTGTAGCTCTCGTCGGAGACGCAGCCTATGCTCCCAGTCCAAACACGGGAGCAGGAACGCTGCTGGCGATTGTCGGTGGTTACTTGCTCGCCGGTGAACTGGCGCGATCTCCAGATGAGCCCGCCATGGCTTTTGAACGATACCATGCGCTGCTGAAAGACTTCGTTGCGAAGAAACAGGTACTCCCTCTCAGTGGACAGGCGCCGAAATTACTGAATCCTCAGACCGCATGGGGCATTTGGATCCTGAGGACAATCTTTTGGTTCGTCGCGTGGAGTGGAGTGTGGAAGTATGCGAGCATCTCTCCTCAGGCGACGATCGATTTGCCCGAGTACACATTCAGCGCCTAGCGAAGACATGACATCACTCGTGAAAGATTCCCTACCAAGTCCCGGCTTCCTTGCGCAGAAGACTCGTACAGGAGCAATAATGTTCGAAAAACCAGGATTACCAGATTCGTAGAATCAAGGAAGGAGACAGCGAACGGTGAGAAACCATTGGTCGCCGCACTCCAATTTCCTAAAGATGAGGCGCAGAAGATCATAAACATCATCAGTGAGATATAAATATAGAAGAACCTATAAATAAGTGTAGAGAGTCTTGTCTCTATGTACGTAGGTGCGAAGGCAATAACCTGTATCTAGCCCTGATTAGTCGTAGGAACCCCTGCCTTGGACTCGTACTCCGTAAAGTCAACGTCTTTGGTCGCGCGACTTGCTTAGAGCTCTTGTCTATAAGACAGATCCATTGCCATATTATTATCGTCGGGAAGCTTCCCTACGTTTGAAACACTACCGCTATCCCTCAGCACGAGACAATGCAATCTATCACTATTGTCATCGCTTTTCTAAGTACTACGGCTCTTGGCATAGCCTGCTATCCCTCCGGCGCAACGTGTCCAACAGCCCTTCGCACTGTCCAGTGGGTGGTACGTTGCTCCCTTCTCGCAAGGCGGGCATCTTGTGAACGTTAACGATAACCCTTTCAAACGTTGACATGCACTCACTTCTCGCAGTGTCCCGATCGAGAGAATTCTCCCCTTTCGACTCTAGAGCCTGGTCAGCCATGCGAAGCCGAGGATCACATCAACTTGCTCTTCTGCGTGAGTACCTTTCGCCAACAGAGGAGGCGTAAGGTAGACAGCGATGCTAACGAGCGCGTAGTGTAACAAGGGTTAGGGTTAGGGTTAAAGGCAACAGCCTCTATCTACTTACGATTAGTTGTGGGAACCCCTGTCTTAGACCCGTACTCTGTAACGTTAATGTTTTGTTTTCGTTTATAGGCTTGTTAGAGCTGCTGTCTAGAAGAAAGACTTCTCACTACGTTGCCTATTCAAGGTCTTCTATTCCCCTCTAGTACGAGAAAATGCAATCTGTCACTATTGTTCTCGCTCTTCTAAGCGCTCTTGCTCTTGGTTACCAGGACTGCGAGAGGACCGGTTCAACGTGTTCAGTCCCCGGTTACACTGTTCAGTGGGTGGTAGGTTGTTTCTTGTGATCCTGCAAGGCGGACATCTTTCGAACGCCAACAAAAACTTCGCTCGCAGTGTCCCGATGAAGCGAACTCTCCTCGTTCGAGTCTAAATCCTGGTGGGCATTGTCAGAATGGGGATGGTATCAATTTCTACTATTGCGTGAGTATCTCGTCTACGTGGGAGTAAAGTTGACAGCGATGCTGATTTGTGCGTAGTGTGACAATTAAGATACTTCGCGGCAAGCTCGACAAGAAATGTTAGAGACAAATAGCAATCCTGAAGTGAGCATTGCTACACGTCTTATATCACAAACCAATTCCGCGGCGTATGGCGTTTCCAACGTGTCCAGTCAGAATAAAGATCTGCGAAACTCAGCAAATTGCAGCAAGATTCTTCGTTTTCCTACCGCAGATTCCCATACGACTCGTGCGTCCCATGGAAAGCAGCGAGATTGATGCGGCGCTCCAAGAGTTTTAGGTAGCAAGAGTCGTCCAATCGCCTTTACAGTCTGACTCGGGATATGTCGCGCTTGCCATCTTTGGCGACCAGGTCTTCTCCTGCAAATGGAAGGCCGTACGTGCATTGAGCTGACTTGCAGATTGGTTCGACGTCCAGTTGGGCGTTACACTGGTCGACAGGAGATACTGAAGCGGCTATTACGCCCAGAGCTAGGATGCTGGCAATGCTGGTGGTCTTCATTATGGCTGCTTGCGGTAGGCTGAAATTTGATTGTAGGGATAGGTCGCTCGTGGTGGCATTGAAATGCTCGAGCCCGTCGGTAGCTATGGTGTTTGTGCTGGTTAGAGATCGGTCCAAAGAACATTCAACGTCGCTCCTCTAGTGCCTGGCCCAATCTCTTGGTACTTCACACGTCATATTGACTTGAAATCGCTCAGGCTTGAAAGAGCCATGATGATCGTGTTGCCAAAGCAAGATACGGCTCTGTTGAAGGCGCAGCCTCCATCTTGGCCTCTCCTAGAAGCCGTGGAAGAACTTGGCTAAGTCACGCCTGTAGCCTGCAGTGGTGGCACAATCAGTCTCCGCGACTGACAAAACAGGATACATTACCCACGGTAGTTTTGCAAAGGAAATGGCTAGACGCCAAATATCTTGATCTGATACCGTTGAGTGGATTAGGGCTCTTGCTCCAGCAGTCGGGTATGCCTATCATGAGTCCTGAGAAAGGAAGAGCTCTCTGTGGCATAAGACTGTGTGACTGACCGTTCAGATGTCTAAAGAGCTGGCTCGGCATCGATGGAACAGGAAGTGATGATTGGCGAGAGGAGAAGAAATGAGAGAAGACGCGAAGTGACGTCGGGAATGTGGTCGCCGGGTCGCCGATGTGAATCAAGTCCTGATCGACGCCCAGTTGAAATATTGATGGACCTTCGGAGCCTCGCCTGGTGGACTTGCACTTTTCTGAATTCCATTCAACTTCTTCCTCGATGGCTGATACAAAGACTATTATCCGGACAGGCTTGACAACTGCTTCGCTGCCATCGAGATCTTGCGTGAAGACGGAGTACAGCTCGAACACCCCAAAACAGACTCTGACGTGGTGAAAGCCCCCGATAATCCTACAACATCGACTGCTGTCATTTCTTCTTCTCCTTCCAAACGGCAAACATCCCCACCGATAATCCCACGGAACAGAAACTGATCACCGCGGCCCAGCGAAATTGGCTCGGCGCTCCGAAGATCCCCAGCATTCCCCATCTCGCGAGCTCAGAGAGGTCGATCAATGCCATTTCGACGCCGGAGAATTGCATTCGCTCGTGAGAGGGGACTTGGAGCTGGACGATCTGTTGCGAGACGAGGGAGTACGCGAAAGGACCTAAACGCGAGAGGGCGAGGGTGGTGAACAAGATGGCCGGGAATTTCGCAGCAGCCGCCGATGGGAATCCTGTCGAGGATGTGTTTCCGAGGAGCATCAGAAGTGTTGTCGCGGGAATCAGGAGGATGAATTGCCAGGAGAGACCGAGGAGGCCGACGAATGTTAGGGAGCGTAGGTTTGAGGGATCCTCGGGTGGGTCTTTGTTGCGGCGCGAGTGCCATGCTATCAGGAGAGGTGTTAGTATCGTAGAGGAGATCTCGACGATGGTACTTGCTGCCCTGGCGGCGGTGATGTGCGTGAGCGGAAATTGGGCAACGAGGAGGTAGGAAGTCATACTTCCGGCGAGCGTGAGGACTGAGAAGGGTTCGAGCGCAAAGGCTAGGGAGGGGAGTAAGGCGGTGCTTCTGATGTATATCCGGAGGCTGTGGGACCATGCTGTCAGGTCTGTTTTGAAACGCTGGCTGAGTGTTGCTACCTGCTGGTCTTCTTCAGGCGACGTTGCGGAGGTAATCTGGGATCCGGCCTTGGGTTTTTGGAGTGCTGGACACGCGGTCCAGACCAGATGCGTAAGGTACAGTTCTAATGGGCAAGAGAGGAGCTGGGTGAGGGCCAATATCCCTGCTACCCATCTTGTGCTCGTGAATCCAATGGCGATGGCGCTGACGGCTAGAGGTGTCACTAGCTTTGTGACGAGATCAATGAGCTTCGTGGTAGCGTTGAGATTGTGGAGCCTCGGCGGTTTACCACTCAACAATGGATCTTCTTCTGTAGTAGTGTGTAGAAGCGGCTTAGGTGAGGGTGAGTCTGGGGCTGTGCCCGAGGGACTCGACCTTTCAGCGAGCCGCGGAAGCCAGTTCCTTTCAGCGAGCAATGGAAGCCAGTCCCTTTCGACGACGATCTGATTGCCAACTGCAGATAGTCTCTCCAACATTCCGAGCAAGAGCAACACTGCGAATGTCGTCCTCTTCCATGTCGATACGTCTGGCTGGCCCCGGAATCCTGGATCAAGACATGCCTCGCTTTCTTGCACAATCAACGCCCATCCCAAACACGCCAATGCGATGCAAAATCTCTGCATGACGATGCAGATCTGTACTGGCCGGATGCGAGAAGCATGGGCATCACACCATCGTCCTACGCTCGGCGAAAATAAGACTGAAGCCAGATGGGCGGATAGGCCCCTTAGCGAAGCAGCTACCAGTGTGTGCGGGAACGCTGAGGCCGTGAATAGGACGGAAGCAAATTCGTACCCGCGGTTGTTAGCCATGAAGAGCGCGTGGCCGGCGTAAAAGGCAATGAGCGATGCATGGTCGATATTTCGTCGCCGCCGTGCTTCTATTGAGTCTTCGCGTGGGTTTCTGTCCCGGAGGGAGCCAGTTTCCGTTGCGTCCTCATCCTCAGAGCCCGGTCCGAAGGTACGATATCCATCCATTGTCTAGTCTATCTTCATTGCTTCTCTGCAACAAGTGCGCACGCGACACTGCAAGCGTTACATCAAGAGGGCTGGGAACTGCGCTGAAACAAGGCATGCAGATGCTCAGGACAAGCCCTCCACGAAGCTCCCATCTTGCATATAGAACCCCGCCATGTCTACATTTGCTGCCAACGTATTGGCTTCCAGTGCTTGATAAGGCAGGTAAGTAGCGTATGAGACTTTGACAGCTCGGTACTTGTTGACGTGTAACTGGAAGCCATTGGTCAGTATCAGGAAGCTAGAGCTGAATGACGCGTGTGTGCGTTCGCTCTACATATAGCTTTACTGGGTCTGTGTTCTTCATATCCCTAGCAATCAGAAGGGAGCCACAAGAGCTTGCAACACCAGTAAGACGTCGATGAGGGCTTCCGGTAGTCCACACGTGGAGAACTTGGCACCAGATCCTCAAAATATGGCCATGGGAATCTCGACGTAGATGACTGAACAGAGGGCTTTCGCTGTCGACTCTAAATTCCAGATCGCTACTCGGAAAAAATAGCCTCGCGATCGTGATGCCATTCCAGTCCGCTGGAGCAAGTGCTTCTAGCACATGTCGCCAGCAAGAAAAGATTAAGTGCACCGACTCTGATACTGCGAAAGCTAATCCGGGACCACTCGCTTTCATAAGGCTAGAGAGCCAGTCAGGCCCAGCAATGCACAGGACCCTGGTGCCGTCTGAGGAAGGGGATGAAGGATGTTTTTGCGCGTAGAGAGGCATCAAATGTCGTGTAGTCTAGCTTCTCCTCATCTAGGCTTAGCGTTCTGCAAGATCGGATCCTTTGAGGCTCAAGTACAGATCGGATAAAGATGTCTGGGGAGTCCCGGTGAAGATTTCCAGCCGTTCCTGGAGTGGTACTATGTTGGAGAGTCGATCTATCATATGGTGATTTTCCTGGCGAAGCTTCCATGGTGTCTCTTTACCTGCGCATATGGCCGGATCGACCGCGCGGCGCTTTCAACGGGACTCGTATCTCTGTCGTGATACTGCTGGTCATGACAATCAGTGCGGAACCGGAATCTCAAGTCCTCCTATCCCTATCGGTGGTCCTGGAACAGTCGTCGATCCGGAATCGGCTACATCCTCTCCAATTCGTAGCGAATGGAGTGCTATGCAAGCGTGGCACGATGATGAACGCAAGGTTGACGAGTCCTCCGGGAAAACAGAGAGCGTCTTCCAATCCTTCATTCCGTGGTCCAGATCCTCCGATCTAGTGTCCAGACAGATCTTGCGTGGTTTTCTAGCTCTCTCGAGGAAGATTCCGCACTGAAGATCTTCTGCTGTGAAAGAAGCAGACTTGTCGGATGCATGATCAAAGGCTCTCCTTCGGCTGTCTTCCTCGACGTTAAATCATAGTTTTCCGTCTTCTGCCACCGCCGTGCGCACAATATTGGCGGGGACTTGAAGAAAGGCCCGAAGCCCCCGAGACGAAATTACTTTGTTCAAGAATCTGTAAACTTACGTCTCCAACCCTCAAATTTTTCTACACTTGTCATTTCCTTGAATACACCGTAGATCGATACAACGGCAATTCGAACTTTTCTAGCCTCTCATAGTCTGCTTCTTCATTCCTTTTCGCTGCTGCTTCTCCTTTTCCTTTTCGAGGAACTTTCTTTGCTCATCCGCCGTCATCTTACTCAGCTTGCGATCCCGCTCCTCCTTCTTGAGCTTGTCGCTCGCCAATCTTCTCTCCTCGGCCTTCTCTTCTTCGTCGATCTTGCGGAGCTTCTTTTGCTCTTCCTCGCGGGTGGCTCTGATTTTCCGCATAGCCTCGGGGCGGAAGTGAGCGCTAGTTACCAAATGATCCGGTAGCCTTAAGAAGACGGAGAAAAGGCGTGCGTTGGCTGGTGTGTCATTGACGCGCATGGCGAGGTAGACTCGCTTCTTTGGAACGGTGTCGTTGAGCTTCTTTGGAGCATCGATTGGTTGGTCGGATATGATCAACGCCTCGAGATCCTCGCCAGCATCTGTTACAGCCTTGACCAACTCCGGTGTGAGCATGGCTTCGGTCACCTCGGAGGCTTCCGACATGATTGTTGCCCAGTGAGGCAGCTTGGGGTGGTCTTTTGTGCTCGTCAAGCTTATGTCGTAACGGTCCACTCTGAGTTGCTTCATCTTATCTTTGTGCACGATGGCAAAGACAAATCCATCGTAGGTGCTGTCCTTAGTTCCAAGTGCAGATGCGCCCTGGCTCTTCATGGGGACGACGGCCTTCTCCTTGCCGTCGAAAGAGTACGCAGTGGCTTCAAGCCTCTCCACGGGCGCAGGCATGCTGTCGAACAAGAAGGAGGCAGCGGTCTCCCCGAACCAGACGACGGGATTGTAGCGCTTGTAAAGCGAGAGCTTGATGTCCAGCCATGCGACGTTCTGTCTCCCAGTAGCATAGCTGATGTACTCATTCTTGCTCTGCTCCTTGTAGAAATCATCCGGTATGTCCTGGCCACTCTGACTCTTCGATTTTCGGCCTCCCATGCCCACACTAGCGTACTCGCTCTGGAGAAGGGGGAGGTGGGTCTTGGCCCATTGCTTTGCGCGCCGCTTGTTGGCAGATGCTCCCCAGATGTTGACGAGTATTATGACGAGCAAGATGGGGACGATGACCATTTCCTGGTAGAAGTCGTCAATGGCTACGCGCTCCCAGACTCGGTACCACTTGGTATATGGTCTGCCAGCGAGGCCCATTCCGGCGCCGAAGGAGGGTCTCGAAGTTGACGCGGCATCGGGAAAGGCAGAGGAAGCGGCATGGCTCGGAGGCACAGGGGAGGCGGCGGTCGCGAAGTCTGCGAAGTCTGTATATCGTCAGCCGGTATCTCCCAACGACATCGTGCACAGAATCGCATAGAATTGCATCCCTCGGAGGTCTGCGCGGGAGAGTCGCAACGAGGCGGTAGATGTCAACACGTACCATCGGCAGAGGCTACTGAAGAAGCCGTTGACTTGGCGCCTCCCAAGAGGTTCTTCAAGAGGTCGGCCATGCCGCAATCAAAGAGTGGAAGGTGATGTCGCGCGGGATGGACAGTTAACAGGACAATAATTCACGAGGCCGGGATGCGGCTCTGGAAGCTCTAAACAGACTTCCCGTAGTGGGGCCGCGATTCCTCACTTCGACCTCACCTCTCACTATTCCGCTCTCGGATACGGATCGGAAGTATCCATTCATCTATGCCACATTTTCACATGCGCGCCGCTAATCGAGACGCTAATATGAAACTGGGGGGACGTCCTGGTGGTCCGGCATGATGCTGATGCTCGTTTCATGCCGCAAGGAAAGACGAGGGCCACCTTATCGGGTATCTAGCTTGCCTTCTCCACCCCACCCTGCACATGCTCTCATACTAGGTTCTCATGAGTCGTACTAACACTGACTCCTTCTCCTCTTTTACCAAAATTCTCAAGCACTACATCTCTTATCTCTTCCAACATCTTCGACAACTCCACTCTAGCCGATCTTCCTCGCCACAATGTCCCTTTCAAAGCCGGACGTGCCAAGACAGAGAATGCCATGCGGCTTGCCAAGCCCAGAGTCCACATCATCCTTCTGGCATAAGGAGCCTTCTCCTCTCCTTCTCGGTCACCGCTCCACCAGAGACCTCCCGGAGACGGCAGATGTAGTCATAATTGGAGCCGGCATGACGGGGGCGAGCGCAGCTCACCACCTCTTGACCAATGCCGGCGCCACCAAGAAGCTGAACGTCGTTCTTTTAGAAGCTAGAGAGGCTTGCTGGGGAGCAACTGGCAGAGTAAGCTCTTAGTCGTGCGAAGTTCCACACCACATCTGACAGCCTCCCTAGAATGGCGGGCACTGCCAACCCATCCTCTTTGAACACCCCAACGACCCATCAATCGGCGACTTTGAACTCAAGAATTTCCACACTCTCCATTCCCTCATCCAGGAGAAGTCAATCCACTGCGAATTCGTATCCCAGCCAGGCGTGCGGGCAATCTACTCCAAACACCATCTGGACCAGGTCTCCACCGCCATTCAGAAAATCCAATCTACCGCGCCTCACCAAGCAGACATGATGCGCATAGTAACAGACCGCGACGAGCTCAACGCCCTCAGAATCCCCACAGCAATCGGCGCAGTCGTCACAAGCCTCGCAGCACGGATGTGGCCCTACAAGTTCGTCTCTCGAATCCTCACCGATCTCCTCACGACCCCGAACTTACCGGGCGGAACCTTCAACCTGCAGACCCTCACGCCGGTGCATTCCATCCACCAGACCTCAGAAACAATAACAACGACGACAACAACAACAATCCACACCTCCCGCGGCTCCATCTCCACCCCCAAAATCATCCTCGCAACAAACGCCTACACTTCCCACCTCCTCCCCGCTTTCGCCTCCCTGATCGTCCCCTGCAGAGGCCAAATGTCCGCCCTCAACCCCCTCCCCTCCATCTCCTCCCAATCCCGCCTGAAAACCTCCTACGGCTTCCTCGGCGACGGCCTCGACGACTACCTCATCCAACGACCCACGGAATCCGGAGGCCATCTCATGTTCGGCGGCGGCAGACAACACGGCCCTTCCATGGGAACGGTAGACGACAACCAACTCGATGCCCAAACGGCGGCGTATCTGAGAGGCAAGCTGATCGAGGCGATGAATTTACCGGAAGGCGGTGGAGGAGGAGGAGGGGAGGATGGCGTGAGGGAGATGCGAGCGACACATGAGTGGACGGGTATTATGGGTTTCTCGAGGGATGACGTTCCCTGGGTGGGGCCCGTTCCGGGGCAGGAGGGGGTCTATACGGCTGCGGGGTTTACGGGGCATGGGATGCCTAATACGTGGCTTTGTGGGAAGGCGGTGGCCTTGATGGTTGGGAGGAGTCTGGAGGGTGGTGAAGAAGCGGCCGTGATGGATGAAGTCAGGAAGGAGACCGGGCTGCCTGAGAGTTATCTCTCCTCGAAGGAAAGGATGGAGAAGGCTTTGATGGAGTGTGAGGATCCAGAAACGAAGGATTGGAATGAGATGCAGAGGGAGACTGTGAAAAGGGGATAAGGTCAAGTCCTGAGCTTTTCAGTGGAGATTCAGCACTCTCGTGGCCATTCAGTGGTATCATTCGCGATCTTCGTCTACGCATCTATATCAAACACGAGCGATATCCCATCATCGCCTGCCGTGACAACCCTCCTGCCTCCACCGCCTTGCACAAACCCAAAAATCCCACCACCCTCACCGCCACCTCGATGACCCCTCCACTCACCCAGCGCGCCATTCGCCGCCGCAGCCGTCCCACCCCTCACGTCCCATCGTCTTATCACCCCATCGTTCCCACATGTAGTAAGCACATGACCCGAAGGATTCGACGTTCCCAGCGGCGTCTTCACGAATTCCACCTTGATCACGGGATGTTCTTCGTGTGCTTCTCGGATCTGTCTCCGCACGGCAAAGTTGTGCGCTGCGTCGAAGAGAGCGATGGAGCCGTCTACACTTCCTGCTGCGAGGAGGGTGAGAGGTGGCTGTGAGAAGTCGAGAGTCTCCACGCCGTCGCTTTGAGCTTGTAACGCTGCGAGGATTTGACCCGCTTGACCTGCTGATGCGGGTGTTGCTGATGTAGGCGGTTTCGGTCCGCCGGCTTGTTTGGAACCTCCTGCTTTCGATTTTGCGCCAGCGCCTTTTGCCCCAGCAGTGCTATTGGCTGGCATTGATAATCGCGGCAGTCCGACTACTCGAATGTGTCCTTCTGCTCCTCCCACGGCAACAATGCCGCCTCCTGGTGAGATTGCAACGCTGTACAACCCACCCTCCACCCTGAATCTTTCGTCCTCACCCGTCAAACCAACTACTGCCTGCCCGCCGTTCGGATCCGTAATACCTGCAGCTGCTGCATCCCCAAAGACGTCGTAGACATAGAGACTGCAATCTTCCGCTACTGTCGCCAGCATTTTGCCATCTGGCGTCCACGCTCCAGCCGTACACGATCCCTGATGCAGGAAAAACGTCTGCACCATGCTCAATTCGCCGTCCGCTCCCATCGTGTACACCCATACACTCCCATCATTCGCACCAAAAGCCACGGTGTTCGGGTACGTCGCGTTCGGACAGGGAGCCAGCCAATTGATCTCCTCAACCTCCTTGACACTGCCCGCCAGCTTGAAATTCTTCTGCGTGCTGTAGACATTCATCTTCCCGGCAAGAGTCGCAGTGACCACATACTCTCCCTTCGGCAGCGTGAAGCAAACCGCATTCACGCTCTCATCCTGCCCTTCTAACCTCGCCAACACCTGATTCCCCCGTCTCTCCCGCGGCTGTCCATCCGTCGCCCAATCCCCCGGGAGTACGGGTTTCTCAGGCGGTGTTGTGTCCCACACATAGGCGATATCGTCTCCCCCTCCTGTGACTACGATCTCCGGCCGGAGAGGATGTTGCGCGATGCAGAAGATGCTGTCCTTGTGCTGGTCGAAATGGGCGGAGCTGTTGTTTATGAGTTCGATGGTCTGTTCTGTCTCTTCGTTCTCCTCGCCCGAGTCCATTGCGGCATCTCCGTCGTCTGAGACGATTTCTTCGGCTTCTTCGGGGTCGAGCATGTCGTTGTCTTCATGTTCGTCGGGCTGGGAGGGATCGGGGTCGCGTTCGGCCATCATGGGCGATTGTGAGATATGTTGAGGTTGTGTTTGAGGTTGTGTCTCGGGGAGAGATGGCTGTGAGGCAAGATGGGGGTTTGTGTTTTGGTTTGTATCGTGTGCTGTTTTCACATGCTTAGAAATTCTTCCAGCTCCGTCATAGGCGAACAGGGTTCGTCGGATATCCCGCTTTTAGCGTGAGCTTAATTCCAGCAGCCGATGCTTGATCAAGTCGGTCATCTTGGCAATAAACCCAAGATCATTGCACTGAAAGAAGAAAGGAGAAGAGAGTGAAAGAAAGTAAGGATCGAAGCAGCTGCATCAGCCAAGCCCGTGTTTCAGACAACCGTCAACATCATCATTCATCAGAACTTTTGTACAACTTGAATGGCACTTGATATCATAAGATATCACAAATGAACAGATTTCGAAAGAAGCCATTTTCTCGCTGCCAAATGCGCTAGTCAAATGCATTGCACATAGTACACATCTTCGAAAGCATTTCATAACACCTCTCCACTACTGCTGGTAGTTCTGGCTTCATAACACCTCCCCACTACTCTAGTAGTTCTGAGCTGGTCCGTTGGGCTGATACTTTGCTCCTGGGTACTTGCTGAAGACACCCTGGTTGAAACTGCCCAGCTGAGGGCATCCCGCGAAAGCCGGTACGGACGAGATGTACTTGGCAACAATCGCGTTGGCCGCGTTGAGAACGTCGCCGGCGAAATCTGGAATTCCAGCCTGAGCGGCATTGAAGAAGAAGCACTGCAGGTTGTTCCCTTCAAGCAGGTTTCCGGGATTGCCGCTTGTGAACGTGTTGCCCAGGTCGAGGCCGGTAAAGGTGTTCTGCATTGTTTCGTCAGCAATTTGCGCGCGCCTCCCAGCAGAGTCTGAACGTACTACACGACCGGTATTTCCTCCAAACTTCGCTTCGTACGGGTACGCGAGATATTGTGCAACCACGTCGGCGACACCCTCGGCGGCGTCGTACTGGTTCGTTGATGTGCGCTTGTACCAGTTGTCGGGGATACGCTCTTGGCCACGGTTCCATTTGAAGTTGCCCGAGTTGCCCGAGACGGCGAAGAATTTCTTGAATTCAAAATCAGCCATTGACGAGTCCAAAACGCAGTGTGCAAGCTCTCACCTTGAACATGGCGCCATCAAGGTAGCCTGAATTCTCAGTAGCAGTTCGGTTGCTCATCTGAGTAGGTTAGCTGAGATCTTGCCGTGGTGACCACTCGCAACGAGAATAAACTTACGAAATTGATGACGAAGTTGTACCTGTCGGTGACCTCAAGTCAGCAAGCGTTCAAAGATTTTCACAATCACCGCGGATACTCACGCTGCTGGTGCAACCAATCCGGCGAAAGGAGCCGAGAAGAAATATGGGTTAGTAGCAATGGACTCGTTGAGCTTTGAGCCAAAGTTCTGGGCAAAGGCGTCCAGAGTGTATCGGTCAGCTGGTCCGACACCATTGACTTTGAGGTTGGTGGCATCATAGGCTGACTGAAACCTCGAGATCACCAAGCTGTGAGCATCGCCCGGCGCCAGACCATATTTGGAAGAAATGTATGCATCAGCACGGCCGATGGAAACGTCTGCTTCATAGATGTTGTGCGAGTAACTGATTCCTTGCGGCGTGCCTTCCAAGATACTAGCTCTTTGGTATGGACCGCCAATGGACCAAGTTCCGGCGATTGGATCACCGTCGGTGAGGACAGCGTAGGCGGCCAAGAACCTGGAGCGCGTCAGTTGCATGCCGCGTCCGCTAGGCACATTGAACTTACGCGCTGAAGTCGGGGCCAAAATTGTAGGCCCAAGCAAGGCCTTCGATCGTCTGAGTAATGGAAAGGACCCCGCTACGTGGGATATATGCATGGTTGGCCTGCGCTTCGGTCAGTACCGAAGGTCGTGGATACTGATGGGGTGAGAGATACGAACCGCTGCATTGAGGCCCGGGCAGGGACCACGGATTTCGTTCGGCAACGGGCTGGCATACGCATGGTCGCCGGTGGTTGAGACGAGTTGTCCAGGGCTGCACACACCAAGAGGGCAGGCGGTCGCAGGGGATGGGTCGAATCCGGTACATGGTACGATACCACAGTTTGAACGGCTTTTGCTGAACTGTACGGCAGCAGCAGAGGCTGGGTTGTTCGCCGGGACAAGACCGCCGATCTGGCGTTCTTCATGTTGATTTGCGGCCTCTTTCATCCCTTCGACAGCTCTTTCCATCAAGACGAAGGGGAAGGCGGTTGCCTGCAAGGCGAAAACGCCGGCGAGCAGGGGATTGCACTTCATGGCGTCGACTATTCAGGAGAACAACGTGGTAGAGAGGCAAAGGTATTGGTGACGGATGCTCTTCTGGTCGAAAGGACGACGGCTACACGACATTTAATATCAACAAGAGACGGCCTCGACGTGAAGAAGCAAAAGACTCGCCGTAGCTGGTCGTATCCGCCTAGCGGAGAGATCTCCTCACTGTAGCTTTGCACATTGCGGAGGTGGCGTGCAGCCAACCGCTCCCTGACAGCGCTGTGCCATCGGTATATTCCCAAAAGAACAAGACCCGGCGCTTGTTGAAGCCACAAGCGGCGGGATTTACGAAAGAGTAGGTCGACAGCTACGAGAATGTCGATGATGTCCAAGCTCGCCCGGGGAAGGGATCGAAGATTTCCAGGGTGTTCATAGGCGCCCCGGAGAAGCCCCCCGCAATGCGGGGTAAGGTTTCTCCGAAGCGCCTATGTGGAGGGAGGCTATATCACATTGGGAGCCTCTTCAGCAGGGCGCTGCAGGCCTTTACGCCACGGCGTGACTAGGTGTGACGTGTGAGTACACAGTAGGTTCCTGTACCCCGGCATCTTCTGAAACGGGAAGCTTAAATTTCGCATAAGGCTCACGAGGACGTACGAAGGCTCATTTATGAAGCCGATCAATTGCAATGTACCTCGACTGCAGGTATGACCTCTGCACATATGGCTCATGTGAGAGAAGCTGATCACCGATCTCATGATCGCCAGTTCACAATTCACTAGCGACAACCATCAGGTGACGGTGATTTCTACAAGATCTTTAACCCCGGGGCGAGATCTTGCCGGTATGCAAGCTCTTCCCTAAAGAGACGACTTGGAAGCTTCTGCCAAGCAATGACGAAGTGCGCAGCAGTCGCGATCCAGACAACCCACGGACTCGTGATTGTACTGCAGTCAAGTCGAGGCCAGAATCGAGGCCAAAGGCGAAGGCTGGAGCATCGCGAGGGAAACGATCTTACGGAAGGGAATTGCGGCTGAATGGCTTGGGGTATTGCCTAGTCGGGTGTTTACCGTACAATTCGAGGCTTCACAGGGTGGCGACGAAGATCTTTTGCTGGATGGTAGATTGTCGTAGATCTCTTCCAAGGACCGTTAGCAATAATGCCGGGACGACGGCAATCGCGGTCGACGAGCCGGATTAACTTTCCAGGTCTGCTACTGTGACATTCCGGTGTCCTGAGTGCTGGTAAAGACGATGGCCATGCCCTACCTCCTCCTCAGGCGCGCTTCGTGACTTCCTTCTACACCCACATTTCTATCTCCGGTTAGGTCTGTTGTGGGGTAGTGGAAGCAGGAGGTCTCTGCAGCGCGACTTCCTAGTCCGCACGAGTCTGATTGGAGATAGACAGCCGATTGCAAAGAATATCCATCCGATGTGCCGACACGAGATATACATGTTCTCAATCGCCTCCCAGCAAGACATCGGTGCTTACCGAAGGCTACGAGCCAAGTACCGTATCAGAGCACCATTCGGATGAGCAACAGAGCATGCCATCAGCTCGTCAAGGCCGACTTGCAATCTCATCATCGATGCGTCGTCCGCGGCTCATTGTTGTGTTAAGTAAAGCACCCAGCTCTCCCATACAGAACTCTGGAGACCAGGGGCTGGGACTTGGCGTCCAGGTATGCCATATTCGCGACATTGACTTCACGAGAAAAATTACCATGAGGCACCGGAACAACGCTCAACTTAGAGAGGATAGAAGCTCTTGCTTTATGTTACCTTGCACATGGCTGAGCGATGTCTTAAAAAGTGGTCGTCCCATCCCAGGAAATGCACGGACCAAGCATTGGGTGCACGGACTTGAACATCACATGCATCCCACTCCTCCTCTCTTGTTCGCGAACAACCGGTGAAGCAATCTTGTATGTCCTGATGCCTGGAATGATTTCAGAGATATTAGACCTTTATCATCATCATTCAAGGATTCCAGATCCTAAATCCGCAAGATCCGTCGATCATCAATCTCTCGGGGGATACGTAAGGCAGAACCCGATAATAGCCCGAATAGTCACATCACTTCAGACAGACCGGTATACAAGACCGATAATCTTTGCCTTGAACGATTGAGGTTATCAAAAGATCGCGTGGTGGGCTTTTGCAAGACAAGGCTCCGCGAGGAGAATTCTTGCCGAATTTGTAAAAAGTATGTTTTGGGGGGGAAGAGGGATAGGTATGGATTGGATTTGCGTTCATCGATGCGGACGGAACGAATAATTGGCGGCAATTTCAGTTTGGGAAGACGCTGGAGGAAATTCGATTCGGTGATTTGATGTGGACAATATCGTAAGAGGAGGAGCTTTGGTGGAGTTGGAAGGTGAGGATTCGTATGTGGAAGCTAGTCGGGAGGTGGCGGAGGATGTTGGGAAGGAAGGAGCGGGGGGGGGGGGGATGGAAAGTGTGGTGACGCAGACGGTGGGGGAAAAGAAATATGATGGGCTGTTGTGAGATAGATTATTGAAATGCATGACTTCGTTCCAATCGAAGCTCATGGCTTTTCTTGCTCGCCTCCTTCAAATTCCACCAAGCCTGTGCCGGCTTTCACGACATCTCCCGCTCTGTGCACGACTCTGCTGACGGTTCCGTCTTGCGGAGAGCGGATGACAGTTTCCATCTTCATGCTCTCGATCACGACCAAGGCTTGGTTCTTCTTGACGTGTTGGCCTTCTTGCACTTCGACTCGGAGTACTTTGCATGGCATGGGTGCGAGCACGCTATTCGCCACGTCTACCTTTCCTAGTACCTTTTCCAGAAATTTGGGGATCGCGAGGTGGATGTTGTACTGCTGTCCTTGTTGGAAGAGCGTCAAGTTGTTTGTTTCTGGATCGCGGATGATTTTGGTGTTCAGTCGGGTGTGCGGGAAGTAGGAAGTCAGCGTGTGGGACGCCGGGTCGAAAGTACTTGTAGTTGTAAAGTCTTGATCATTCACGCTGATCTTGTACGTCTCCGGCGCTGTTTTCAAAACGCGAACGAGGGCCGGCTTGTTCGTCTTCTGCGAATCTGTGGAGGTCTTGACAAGGTGGAATTCTCTATGCTGAGGCGCATTGCCAAACCCGATGGTTTGCAGTGGCTGAACAGGAGCGCTGCTCGAGCGTGATGATTGTTCCACCTCGAACAGACCTATCGCTGCCTGCGCCCAAACCTCGGTATCGATTGCTTGCTCCTGAAAAAGTTCACCGTGATGCTTTGGGATGTATCCTGTCTCCACATCTCCGGCGATAAAGTCTGCGCTCTGACAAACTTTCTTGACAAAGTCTATATTAGTCACTGGGCCGGCAATTTCGTATTGCTCAAGAGCCACAACCATCTTCTGTAACGCAGCTGTTCGGTCTGGTCCACTGACAATCAGTTTAGCAATCATTGGGTCGTAGTGGCTGGAGACCTCGTCTCCTTCCACAAAACCGGCGTCAATGCGAACACCGTCCACCTCGACTGGCGTTCGCAGATGCAAGAGCTTTCCAGTGGAGGGGATGAAGTTCATCGTCGGATCCTCCGCGTAGATTCGGGCTTCGATGGCGTGGCCTCTGCTCTTGATTTGCTCCTCAACCTCTGCTTGAGTGAGAGGAAGCTTTCCACCTTCAGCCACGACAATTTGCCACCGAACCAAGTCCTCGCCAGTCACCATCTCCGTTACTGGATGTTCGACCTGCAGTCGCGTATTCATCTCCATGAAGAAGAAGTGACCGGTGTCATTATCGAAGATGAACTCCACCGTGCCAGCGCCTTCGTATCCTACAGCCAGCGCAGCTTGCCGAGCTTTCTCCCACAGATCTTGGCGAATGTCTTCGGGCAGATTGGGAGCAGGCGACTCCTCGAGGATCTTTTGGTGTCTCCGTTGGATACTGCAGTCGCGCTCTCCAAGAGCGACACAGTTACCGTGCCTGTCGGCAAAGATCTGTACCTCGATATGTCGTGGCGTTGTGATGTACTTTTCTACGAGCATCACGTCGTCTCCGAAGGAGGACCAAGCCTCGGATTTTGCAGACTCCAGTTGTTGATTAAACTCATCGGGCTTCATGACAATGCGCATTCCTTTCCCGCCGCCACCCTTGACAGCTTTTAGCAAGACTGGGTACCCGACCTCCTCTGCCGCTGTTTCGAGATGCTTTGGATCTTGATTAGAGCCATGATAGCCTGGAATACAAGGCACTCCAGCCTCAGTCATGATCTCCTTGCTGCGACTCTTGTCGCCCATGGACTCGATTGCTTTCCACGGTGGACCGATGAACTTAACGCCTGCGTCGGTGCAAGCTTTGGCAAAGGCAGCATTCTCGGACAGGAAACCATATCCAGGGTGAATAGCTTGACAGCCGTTCTCTTTAGCGACTTGGATGATACGATTACCGTTGAGGTATTGGTCAGTACTTCCTAGATTGACGGCGAAAGGAGAGGATAGAGCGTGTTGGGCATGTCGGTCTGGGTCTGTATATAGCGTGGTTGTTCGAATTCCATACTGGGACGCTGTACGTCCTACACGCAAGGCGATCTCACCACGATTGGCGATCAGGATGGATTTTAGCGGCTCTGGAGAGTCGGATGATGCTGTTGACTGCCATCTTCGCCCTCTCTGGGGCAGGGCCGCATTGGCGGAGGTGCGCAGGGCACGAAGTCTAGCTATCGAAGACATGTCATTTCCGGTAGATGGCAATGACGCCAGAAAGATGGCGGGAAAGTGTCAAGTCAGTCAATTCATGTGAAAGTGAGGTTGGAATGCTCGGGTACTAGGGAAGGTATTGCTAGACCGAACACCCCACAACCGTGAATGAGGTAGCCGGGATAGCGGGGCGTGCCGGAGACCCGGTCAAACTCTAATCCACGACGCGAATGTTCGCGTCCCGACGCGTCGTGCAAGATGGGCAGCGACGGTAAGAATATCGAATTGTATGAACGGGGCACAGGAGGGAAGATGTGTTATTGCACCCCCTTAACATCCCCATATGAGAGACTCGGAGATCCAGTGGACCAGGATGTAGGAAGAGATGATGTCAATTTGCACTGCACGTGCGCCCCCACCCAGAGACGGAATCTCTTCTCAGCTGCTACGCCCCGCCAACATTGAACCTGAACCGATGCGGCCGCCAACACGAACCTCGACTCGCCAAGAACCCCTTCTCTCCGCACACCTGCAGCAGTCTGCGGCGACTTCCCGCTGGTCGTGTCCGCCGCCGAGAACGAGCGCCCTAGCCTGAAGAGTGAGCCGCTGCGCTGTCTCCCGCCGCCTTCAACTTCCCGTAACGAGCGACATGGACGACTACGAGTACGACGGCGATGGCTTCGACTACGACGATGGCTGGATCTATGTTGATGACGAGTTTAATACTGCGGTACGAGCAACCCAATAAACACCCGCACTGCTATGCTTGGCGCATTCTCTGGGCTGTTCCTGGTGCCGCATGTGTCGAGGAACTGTGCGCATCTTCCCACACACTCGTGACCAGTCCTCGAGCAGTCGAAGAAATCATCCACGGATAGAAGCGAGGTCTAGCCTCAGTTGTGAGCTCATTGTACTGACGACGTTCTTGTCCAGGACGAACTCGCCGAAGGTCAGATTGCCAGCCCTGGCTACACAGGCACCAACCATGAACTCTCCATGGATGGCTACGAATACGACTTGTATCAGTATTGGGACGACGTAGAATACGGAGACGATCCGTATTGGGAGTACGGCCTGCCCAACAAGAAGGATGAATCGGCGAAGAAGCGAAAGCGAGTACCGAGAATGGAGGGCCCGCCGCCGAAGAGGAGGAAAACGACGGAAACAACAGTTGAAGACGAGAAGAAGGATGGGGAGCCTCAGCCGATGTTATTCATGAGTCGACAGGAACAGAACAGGCGTTCCCTCGCGCAGCCTCCCCTTCTGAAGAGCAAAGACGTGTCGGCGCTGTTACCAGATTGGCGACAGAGATTTGAGGATGCGGACGGGGTAACGGTCGCTAAAAAGATGCCGGCAGCCATGAAGGCGGCTGCAGAAGCGCAGGGTGAAGATACACCGCTTGAGAAGCGACAGATTGGAGCACACTACGCGGAGAATGGGGTGGCTCAAGGTGACGAGGACGACTGGGAAGACGACGAGGAGGCAGATGAGGATGTTGAGGATGATGGGGAAATATCCCTGGACCCAGAAATGTTGCAGACTATACTCCGCGAAAAGCTCGGCGCCGCTGGCCTGGAAGGCGCAGATGAAGCGGGATTCATGCAGGCCATCCAGCAGATGATGTCCGGTGAGGGCGAAGGGGATGCGACTGGCGACTTGGCGAATGCATTGCTCGGTAAACTTACATCGCAAGGCGGAGACGAAGTTTTGTCAGGCTGGCTGTCGCAGCAGGGCGTCTCGTTGGAAGAGGATGATGCTTCTAGCATGGCCACGGAAGAGCTGCCCAATGTTCCTGCAGCATCTGCTGCTAGTAGAAGAAACCTGCAAAACTTGCCACCCGATAGCGTGGTTGGATTCTCAGAGGGGCGCAGCTCCGGTCGGAAGACTACTCAGATGCCACTTCATTCTGGTTCATCAAGTGCCTCGTCCAAAAAGCGAGGAGCACCGTCTGAGACTGCAAAGCCGGAGAAGAAGCAGAAGAAAGTACAATTTGATGTACCACCTTCATCGTCTTCCGATGCACTCCAGGACGATTCTACCTTGGACGAGCCGGAACCTCCCACAATCGAGGACCCTCTAATGTCGAAATCGACGCTCAAAGATTCAGCTAGTAAAAGCAGGAACGCCAATGCAGCAGCTACTCCAGCCCACCAGGCGGCTTCAGAAAAGGACGCTGCGACTGGGAAGGACGGACGCAAGAGGAAAGCTTGTTCCCCTGATGGCGCGAGTGGTCAGCCGGAGAAGAAGAAGAAGACCCGGAGCCGGGAACTTCAGTCGCTTGGACCTCTGCCTGATGCCCCTTCGCCTGCACCGCCTGCGAAGAGGACGAGGAGCGCGAAAGATCGGGCTAGGAAGGAATGAACCTCGCTGCTGTGGAGATTAATTGACGATGATCCTGGAATAGTCGTTCCTGGATGACTTTGCGGTTGCGGCGAAACCGGGGTAGGCCAATGTCTTTGCTCAGGCAGTAGAGTACATTGCAAATGCAAGTGCCTTCTTGGCTCACCTTCTTGTACAACCAATTTTGCAGACTGCCCACGGACATGTTATTGGTGAGATACGGTAGTCGACACTTGGGAGGCAAGAGAAAGATATACTTCCAGCCGCAGTCTGTCTTCGTCACTGTACAAGGCAGGACCAGCTTGATCTTCGTGCGCCCATCACGCATGCTTGTACGTAGTACAGTAGTCGATGGATATAAAACCGAGCTGCTTTTGTAGGTTCCAAGGTGCGTATCGCCTTTTGGGACTGCGACATGCGGCAGTAACAAACAAGATGCAATTCACGGACGTTTCTTCTCTGATGGTATTCGTGGATCCTGCGTTGCTATCTCTGTACGATGCAGACGAGGGCTTATTGGGGTCGCGGATGTGGCTGTGGGAAGTGTCCTGGACGCCTCGAGTTAACTCTCCTACACAGCATCGAATGGGTTTTACAATCCTTCAGAGCTGACAGAGGGTGCGGTTGGGGGAATCAGTGTATCGGACCTATAATTCTAGGACTTCATTGGAGTGCTAGATGCTAGTAATCATGCTCACGGTGGCTCAACTCGTCGATGGGGGGAGAAAGGATGATGAATCGATTTCAAGATTTCTAATCATATTTTACATTCCCAGAAGCCAGCATCTGGTTTCCAATTCCGTAATCTCATAATAATGCTCTGTTAAGTCATACACCATGCTAGAAAAGCTGCAAATAGCCTGCGCTGGAAATCACCCACGACGAAACTTTTTCTTTTGGTGCCTGTGACGTGAAAATCCCTATGGGACACCGGCCATTTGCAGTGAAATCCTGAGATACACCGAACTCCCATCATCCGCGGGAAGCGGCCTGGCGAATCCAGAACCTTCCTCCCTATCTTCCCAATCCCACCCTTCGATCAGCGGAGGACACTTCGACCCCACCAACGCATCCTCCAGCCTCAAAAAATGCGAATCCCACCTCAGAGCACACAACTCCTGCAGAACGGCCACATCGCTCGCCGCCGCCGCATCACCGCCGACGAGGAGCAAGAGGACCACATTCTTCAGAAGCCGCTGGTTTCCCGCACCAATGGTTCGCAGCCAGCATCGCGCCGTTTCCAGGTTCACCAGCAGGTTGTGGCTGTACTGCATGATGGTGGCGATTTTCGTCTCCGCCGTGTGCGTTAGCAGCCAGTCCGGGTGGTCGCGGGGGGTGATGGTCTGGACTGCGGCGCGGACTTTGGGTTTGAGGGTGCAGGGGAGCTGGAAGGTGTTTTCGTGGTAGAAGATGGGGAGGGCTTCGCGGCGGAGTTGGCGGCAGACCTGGAAATTTGGGTAGAAGGTCAGCTAGTGCTTTTTACGGCGAGAAGTCGCTTTTCCTTTCCGTTTTTATAGGTACTGTCAAGGGAGTATGCGACGTTTGAGTGAGGGCGTATGGGAGCGAAGTGAAGAACAGGTAAGGGTCGGGAGATATCGGATCAAAGCGTGTATAATGCTCGAGTGAGAGTACGTGTCATATCAGTAAAGGATGAGTAGGGGACGAAGCAAAATCGAATCCAATGGTGTGGGCCCGTCAAGTGAGGGCTAAATAAGGGGTGGAAGACCTTGGATAGCGGTGGCTGCAGAACCTGATGGCTCGGACGTTTGGCATAGCTAGTAGCCGGACTGACTATATCCAGAGCCGCTTCCTCGATAACAGCACATTTGATGATCTCCTCGCGGATTTCGGCAGGCTGTCTGAGTAGAATGGAATCGCTGCTGTTGCGTTGTTCATCTTGCTGAGCTTGGGAATTTGAGCGTGATGTTGCCATTGTGTGGCTCTGGAGGCTTGAGGGCACGATCCTTGTCCTGGACAAGCGTCAATCGTCGTAGCGTCCATGAAGTGAAGTCGAACTGCGGTGTCACATGCAAGGCGTCGGATTCGAGTCCGTGCCAACTGGGCCTGCTGCAGGGATCATGCCTCACTATGACGCAGCTCGCGGTCGCACCTCTTTCGCCATCACACAGTCACACCGATCAGGTTTCGTCGCGCATCTCTGTCTCAGCCTCCTCCGAACAAACATGCCGAAGGTTCTGCTGCGGGCGCGAGATGCGAAATCATTCTGCGTGAGCGAGAATCCATCTCTCCCTCAGACAACTACCCCCCACACACCGCCATTATCCCAACATGGCACCCCATCGGTATGAGGACGAGTATGACTATGACAGCGACGACAGCACGCTCGTCGGATCCCGCATGTCTCGTCGGCGCAGACGTCGATACCGTTCTCCTTCGCCATCAGAAGACGCTCATGCACGGCCGCGGTATGAGAGGCGCTTCCCATCACCAGAGGCGCACTCCGCTCGCGGCGAGGAGAAGAGCTCCTCGGGCTACAAGACCTTCGGCAAGGTCGCGCTGGGTGTGGTATTCGTCCATACTGTGGCCACGGCGCTCGGGCACTGGATGAAGAAGAAGGAAGAGGAGCGAGAGAAGGAACAAGCCCGCGAGGCCCGCGAGAGGAGACGCCGGTTTGACAGAGCCAAGGCCAAGCGGAGGCGGGAGGACGATCGGCGGGAGAGAGAACAAGAGGAGCGATGGCAGAGGGAGGAGGAAGAATGGGAGGCGAGCGAGATCTCGGAAGTGCGGCGCATTGACTATGTCCCAGCTGTTGAGAGGAGCCCCAGCAGCAGTCCGGAGCGACAGCCTCGCAGGATAGAGGCGGCACCCGAGATGCCTCAGGACGATGAGCCATTCAACGACAGGCGGAGCAGAGATCGAAGTCGCAGTCGGCCGGCCGTGGATGTCGTCTGAGAGATGACAGCGAAACCATCATTGCAATACTCATGCGATTCCATCAAGAGTCAAATGTGCACATGCGAAAAACAACGATTCGTAGGTGTTGCTCTTTGTTCGATGGGCGCCGTCGTTAGCCTAGAAAAAGACTTCGATCGTCAGACCCCCCATAGAAGAGGCTAGGCAATCTGGAATGAGCCATCGGACCGATGCTACCAGCTGAAGATTCTCAGAAGCCTGCGTCCAAAATTGGGATCAAAGTTGGCTCGAATTTGCATTCTTGTTCTGGAAATATCGGCCACATTCTCGATGTCTCGGTGACGAAGTCTTCAGGGACACCGCTATCCACGATGGCTGTTCCCATCGTTCGGAAAAGGACTAAACAAGCAAAGGTGAAGACCGATTGTCGGACCTGCCGAGCTCGACGTGTAAAATGCGACGAAAAAAGCCCTCATGCCGCAGATGTGCAAGGGTCGGAGGAAGCTGTGACGGCTACGATGCACCAAACAAGTGCCAAACGAGCGGATCCAGCTCGCTCAAAATACCAGTAAACGAAGGACCAACAGAATCTAATGGTTCACGATATCTACAATGCGAGACTGCGATGGCATAATGTGCGATAGAATTTCACGAACACTTTTCTGGGCTTATCGAACACTACTGCCAGCTTCACAGAGACTTTTTTCAAGGACAATTAATACGTCCGGCGTTGGCGCACGGCACCAGTGTCGTACTTAATCTAAATATCATTGCGGAGTAATGTCATAATTCTCTTGTGCGCTGTCGGCTTCTCCGAATATGAATCTCTGCGTTGCGGTCCACGGCGAGTACTTGGCCTCGTTCTTCGAATGCGTCAGGGAGATTAATAAGCGGCGGAGTGCAAGGTCAATCTTGGGGCTTCCGGATGACCATCTCTTTCGCTTCAACGAGATACCGACCGAGGTGCGCTTCTTGGAGACTGATTGCGCTGGAGTTATGGAAGAGGACAGGATCTCATTGGAGAGTGATTTTGGGAAGGGTTTGCACTTGAAAGATGTTGGGCGGCGGAGAAGGGAATATTGGTAGGGGAGGAGAGATACTGTTCGATGTAAAGAGACAAGGCACTGTGAAGGAGGCTCTCATCTGACCAAGGTCGAATGCCCATGAGCAATTTCCGCCAAAATGCCCGATTACCATTTTGCCACGAGAGTTTGACTTGCAGTGGACTTGAGCAAGAGGCTTCAAAACAGACATGCCAAGACCAGATTTGAACGAAGAAGAGGCATCTTCTGCCCCAAGTGGACAATAGGGATAGGTTGAGTGAGATCCAGGTGAGTGAATCGAGGTAGGTGCCACTCCTTTCTCGCTCACCTGGAACATTCTGCAAGACCATTCACTTCGCTGAACAAGCAGAATCTTCTTGCAAGCAATCGGCAAAAGCTCTGCAGCTCGCATATACCCTTCCCGCACGACCAGACAGCAGCCCTCAGAGAGATGACCAGCACGCGATATCAAACCCGCACGAAGCGCGAGTGCGAAATCTGTGCCACCGAGAAGCCCGCCAACAGGTTCCCTCTCCTTCCGCCGACCAAAGCCTGCCAACACAGCATTACAATCTGCACGGAGTGCGTCCAGACCTGGATTTCGACTTGCATCGACACCAACTACAACAGCGCCATCCAATGCCCCTACGGCGGCTGCGACGAAGAAGTCTCCCGCCAGAAAGACATGCCCGACGCAGCTACAACCCATCAACGCTCCCGCTACAGCCACATTGCACATCGCATCGTCCAGAGCAGAGTCCCCCGCTGGCGCTGGTGTCTGGCTCCCGACTGCGACGAGGGCCAACTCCACGAACCGCTCGAACCGCCCACTCTCGAGGAAGAAGACGTCTGCGTCTGCGACGGGTGCGGTGCCGAAGCCTGCGTGCTCTGCGATCGGCCCTATCACGATGCCGAGACGTGCGAGGAGTATGCTGCTCGGAACCTCCCGTCTCTGGTTGCGCAATGGCTGAGTGAGAAGGTCATCGGGGCGCAGAAGGCGAGCGGCAGGATCAGAGAGTGTCCGAATTGTTTCTGTCCGATGGTCAATGATGGGGCGTTGATTTTTTTGAGAGCTCTCTGCCCTCGCTGTCGATGTAAATTTGATTGGCGAACGCTGGGCTCTGTTGCGATGGAAAGCATTAGTGGTGGATGAAGTCGCGGCAACGGGCGTTGTTGGGCAGTCTCGCTTTTGGAAAGTCTTTGGATACTTTGGTGATCAGGCGCTTTCACTGTTCCATAGGTAGGTAGATGCGAATCCAAAGAAGCAATCCAGAGACAACATCGGCAGTCTAAGCGCGAACGCCAAGACTTTCACGCGATGCTTTGTCTAACCCCGGCATCGCCGACCTTCTCGCTAACAAATGACCACGTCCACAGATTCTCGTTCGGTAAAACATTTCAGCCGGGTATCAATGTGCAACGATTTCGAGGGCTTGCCGAAGGACGTGTCATCGTCAACGTCCAATTAAGCGTAATAGAACACATCGTCCGGGCCCAAACACTCGCGAGATCGATTCGCGGGAGCCGAGCTGGGTCGTGAGAACAACCTCAGACTGCACGTCAAGCAAGACATTCCGAAATCACTTGGAAATCCCAAGCCGGAAGATGGATGTCACCGCCATTGGCGCGGTGGCAGATGCATTTCCAGCAAGGAGAAGCTGGAGCCGATGTGGGATGCTACTCCACGAGAAATTTGAAAGCTCAAGCAGCAGGGAGATTCGACGAAGTCTGTGGATATGATATGCTAGCTGATGATGCAGTAGTGAATCAAGGGCATTATAATAGCGAGGCAATCTTGAACGAGAAGGAAATAAATCCTAGGACCCGACGGACCCCAGCTGGCTAATAAGGTAGATAGACCATGGAACGAGAATTGACTTTTCCTGATCAATCAGTTCCCAAGACGAAAAATGCCTCATCCTATCATTGGTATATGGGACATAGCATGGGCGCTGGAAATTTCTACCATCTCGCCTTGCTGCTACATCCACGACGGCTTGCTCCATTCGCTCATCGTCCTGATGCTGATGGATCCGGTCTTCAGTCAGAAGACCGTCAGGTCTAGAATTGGGCGAGAGAGAGCATCGAATCGATCAAAATCGAAGAGATTCCTGGCCTTCCTTCGAGAAGCGCCGCCGCCGCAGCAAAGATCCGATCCAACGCCTCGGCCTTCCAGAAAATAGGGATTCCCCGAGTCTTTTGGAGAGATATATCGAACCACGGTCTACGGAGTCTTACCCCGAGATTCCCAAAGGATAGCGACCCGGAGGACGATTCCCCCCGGTAACGCTACAAACGACAAAAAGCACAAGAGCAATATCACTACGTCCGAGCAGCCTATCGCGACGAGAGATTATATTTGTCTCCAAGAGAAGACCTTGGCGAGATTTTCCACCCGCAAGACACACAGACGCAAGACCCGCGACCCTTCGATCGCTTCGAGAATAAATTGTTCTACCGAAGACTTCTTCCGGAACTCAGACCCAGCGTGCTGTACGTCGTGGGCCGTGAGTCGGGCGTCTCAAGGGGGGAGCATACGGCAGCAGAGGCTGGAAATCACCTCACCGGGACGGACGCTGTGGGGAAGAGAGTGGCGGTGTGACGCGAGGACGCGTGCAGGAAGCTGTGCTTGACTTGCGGGCATCTGGAGCGACTGCTGCTGCTGCTGCGAGGCGAGTGCTGCGTTTGTGGAGCAGGCATTGCGTCGATGGGATGCGGAGGAGGGGCGTCGTGGAAAGAGAGGGTGGATATCAACGATGCGTGGCGAAGTCATATGGGATTGAAGAAAGATGAAGGCGGGAAGACGCCTCTTCCTCCTGAGAAGCTGTGATATTCGTAGAGCACCGGACCTTGGAGATGGCATTATTTGCTTGCCACTCCTGCCACCCCGCGGGCTCACACTCTCCGCCGGACTCGATCTCCATGTTATCTTGCAGACACGAGCTGCAACCGCGGAGTTTGCGTCCAGAATCCACGCAAGGTATAGACAAATCTGGCTGGCCCTTTTGCAAAGCCGCTCTCCGCTCCATCAGTCGCGTCCACGCAGCTGGGGTACGTCAGGTATACATAATAATCAGATCCATAGAACAAGAACCCGGTCGACGCACGCACATGCAGATATGCCGAATGCCAGGTTTCTTCGGCCCCATATCCGTGACGGAAGCGGTGTGTGTGTGTGTGTGTGTGTGTGTGTTCTATCGCCTCGCTCAATGCCAAGACCGGCCCTTCGACGACACCAGAGAACACTGCCAATCCCAGAAATTCTTTTTCTCGAGCAGTTCGTCCAGGTCAGCCGGTGTCATAGCAAAGCGGGTGAAGGGGTCTTGATGAGTAGCAGTGGCGGCCTGTTGCCGGCCGACGATCACGGTGCGGACACGCTATCCTGGCTTGCCTGGCTTGCAAGCTTCGTCCGCAGGGAACATGAAACGTGAAGGACCCGGGATCTGCCTGATTCTTTTGAAGTCAGATCTCTAGTCCCTGTCTCTTTTCACTTACCTTTCGGCATTCATCGAGAGCCGATTTGAACGGAAGTGGCATTTCATAGCAGCCATCATCGGCGCGCAGAAGATGCGGAAAGTTTTGGTCGGGAAGTGTACCACCGGCTACACGACGAGTTGGTTGAGAGGGCATTGTTCAATTCTGAATTATACTTGCTGCCTCATAAATCTTCAGAGAATCCCAAGCCCTCGGTACGTGGCTGGACTTCCCAGGTTACAGGTTCTACGCTTGGGTTGGTCGTCCAGGCATCTCCGCTGTGTGAGAATCCCAGTTTCCAGCCAGGCCGGAGAGACGACATTCGGCACCACGCGCCCGGGTCCGCTACCGAGTCACTGGTTGAATGAAAGTCGTGCGGTATGCGATGTGATTGTTGCTGCATCTCAACCTATGCTCGGCTTTGTTGTATGCAGCTCGGAAGGCAGAGCATCGCTGTTTTAAAGCCGATCTTGGAAAATCTGGAAATGTCGGTGATGTTGGCCGGGAAGGTCGGACTGAATTCAACCAGCTTGAGAGGACACGGCCGGTGGCTTTGTCATGTGATGCCTTGCTGAAGAGGTTGGAGGTCCGCCGCCAGATCTGACCGCCTTTGCGAAGCCCGCCATTGCTCCTGCGGTGGAGGGTTGCATCTGCGCCACCAGAAGTTGGCAGTTCTCAAAAAGGCGGTAGGTCTGGCCTCCTCTGGCAGCTCCGCTTCCATCTACTCTCTCTCTACATTGTACCCAATCGACTCTCGCAGAAAGCAGCAGCAGGAAAGCAGCAAAAATGGATCAGAGATCATCAAGTTCACGGCCCTTTTCGCCGCCAGACTTTGCACGCCTCCCACAGCGGCAGGAACGTAGCCCTCAGATGCCTTCGCGCGCCGCCTCCGAGGCTCCTCGATCGTCCCGGCATCCAGCAGAAGCACAACCAAAACCCCCGTCGTCCCGAGCGGGCTCGGAAGACGCCCAGTACGCCTCGACGCAAGCAAGAGCCCCGCCAGAACCACAGCCCGAAATGGCCCAATATCCGTCCCACGCGGAAGATTGGATGAGCAATCGCGCCTCAACACCGTCAATTTCTAGGAGGCCAGCCGGGGGGGATAGGATGTCGGCCAATGGAGATCGGGACAGTTTTCACGACACCGCCCGCACGCGCCTGAATGAGAGGACCAGATTCGATCCACGGGTGTATTCGCATCCGCAGCGGCCTCCAAAGTACGGGGGTGCATCGGAGGCACGGAATAATAATTATTGGGAACCGAGTCGCGTCACTGTGTACCGGAATCCACAGTCACCCGTCTCTTCCCGGCACTCGAACAATTCTATGCGTACTGCCGGTCCCGCTCGCAGTAGGACCAGAGGTCCCAGCCGCAGCAACAGCCGTCGCAGCAGAGTCAGCGGAGGAGGTGGAGGAGGAGGAGGAGGAGGTCCGGGAAACCGACTGAAAGCCGCCGCAGCCGCCGCAGGAGCAGGTCCCCTCCTGGCCAAGATCGAACAAAAGACAGGCGGTCTAGAGCAAATCGTCACGCCTTTACGTCTGGGACTTCTGTTGGGTTGCTTTGATATGATCGGCGGCTCGTTGTCGGCGTGGATGACATGGAAACGTTTCGGAGCGGCTGCTCAGGCGGCTGAAACAGCGAAGCAAGCGGAGGCTGCTGCGGCTCAGGCCGAGGCTGGTAGCGGTCGACGCCATCATCGTCGTCGGGGAGAAGGAGCACCACAGTACGACGAGGACTCCGAAACGGATTCCGAATACGACGAGCGCCGGAGGAGGGTTGCGCAGCATGTTTCAGAGCAGCAACGGATGGATCGGAGTCGGAGTAGACGCTAAAAAGGGGGAATGAAAGGAAACGGCAGATCAGTAAAAACGGACATTTTTTCATAGCTTCTCTTCATAACACGTTTTCCCTCGCGCCTAGCCGGCTGAACAGTTTGCCTTTTCGTATCCTCTTCAGTAACTGTTCATTATAAGCGTACGTTGCCGCGTTCGCCAGTCCCACCAGTTGAGTCGAGGCCTGCAAGACTTTCAGCCAGATGGGCGAAGTACCGATACCTTCCGCGATTCGATTAGCGATCCCGGGAATCCACAGGATAATATACAAAATCGGATATCCATTCAGAAGGAGCATTTTCCGTAAAGCTCTCCTCCTCGCACGATCGCTACCGCCGGAAGTGCCGATCGGATGGCCAGGTGGGGTGTGGATATTTGAAGGTTGGCTTTCTACCTGCGCGATGGTTTCTCGAGGGGTCATGCCATAATGCGCATCCGGGTCATGTTTGGACCATGCGTGGCGAAGGGGCTGTTGGTCGTTGTCAGAGTTGATGACGGTAACAGAAGATCGTGCGCGGATATTTCTTGCCTCCGCACCAGCTTGTAGCTCCATGTCGTAGTCTTCGTTGGCCGTGAACCTGCTTACGGTTCCACCCGACGTGCTGGATCCGACTGATAGTTTGCCGTACACCCTCATTAGGTAGATGTAGATATACGTGTAGATGGCGATGGTGGCCACGAAGACGATAATCCTCCATGCATGGGTGAGGGCATATCGTAGGCCGAAGTATTTGGCGGATATCCAGCACCAGTTGCCACTCACTGGCCCGTAAAGGTTGTATGCCAGTGCGATGTTACCTGTGAGGTAGGATGAACTTCGGTTTCATGCATGACCTTGATGAAGGCTGGACTCACTGGTGATGATCGGAGGAATCCACGGTATCGCGCAGACAATCAGCACTTGCCACCATGGCGGTTCAATGGAGATTCGGCTCTGGCGGACGGTCGCGAATACTGATAGAGAGATGATGAGAATGCTGAAGTCGATCGCCTGAACGGAGAACTGTCCAACGTATGCATTCACGGTGCACGCCGCACCCGCGGCCAAGGCTTCCGGATCGTGACGTCTGGACAGAGCGATGGCGCCGGAGAGTGTGTTGTTGAGTGAGTTGGTCCAATCTAAATACCTGTCGGTCAGTGGCACGTTGCGCAATGTGAGGAAGTTAAACCCTTGCCGGCAATAAGTAGGTTCACGATCAATGCCTGTCGAAAGTGCCGCTCCGGAGGGTAGAGGATGTACAAGATGGCGAATGTAGTACTGGCCAGGAGTGACAGCAAGGAGCAAATAAATGTCGGTACGGCGATGACCAGTTGAAGCGGCATCGCATGTTCACAGAGGCAATGCTCTGCTGTGGGCGCGAGTGAGGTGCGTCTGGTGGCATCGCAGCATGTCGAGAGTGATAAGTGCGACGGCAGTTGGGACGGTTAATACCATGAGCTCCCTAGCTCAGACCCCATGCGTGCAGGCGATCCTTGGCTTGACTCAGTGACTAGTGGCAGAAGCGACTCGTGTTTTGCCAGGTCGGACGAGTTACGGGGATTAGGGCCTCATACTCCATCGACTGCCCTGTGCTGCCCTGTGCTGCCCTGTGCGTGTGCGCGAAGATCACCAGCGAACGCTCGAGCGTCTACACTGCGACACCGCCTTAGCGGAGCTTAGGCCCCGTTCACTTCGCAGAGATTTTTAGGTTATTAGGTCGTTTCGAGCGTGTTGCCGAGCTCGGCTGCTAATAACCTGGAAATAACCTAACCGTTCAGTTCATAACCTGCTTCCATTCTAGGTGAATAGATAGTAGGTTATTTAGTAGCCGGATTACCTCTTCTAGAAGGTAGAAGCGATAACCTATGTTCCTTCTTTTTAGAAGAAGATAGGTTATTACACGGGCTACTACGCGCGACTATCTCGCGTTATTAGCTGTTAGTAGTAGTAGTAGCTAATTTGTCTAATATAGTACTCTTAAACTACCTCTTTTACTACTACTACTATAGACTAACTCGTAGTACTTTTAATAATACTCGTAAGCGTGTCGCTAACGACGATATAGCCTACTCTCTACCGGCGGAAGCGTCGATAAGGTGTAAGGCCTACGGGCGTCCGATAGACGTAGATAGAGCCTAGTAAGGCATATAAAGAGGTGTATAAGTACTTATATAGAACGGAGGAGTTTTACTATTATACTACGCGGATAAAGTAGCCGGTTTTAAAGGCCTTTATTAAGGCAGTCGTCGAAGAAGGTAGATTGAATACGGATAGTAAGGATAGAGTACCTATAGATTAGTAGGTAGTAATATACCTAGACTTTGTCGCTTATAACCGGTCGATTCGAGCTCTTCGAAAGGAGTATTCGTACGCGCTAGTAACCCTATCTCGAATTATTAAAGACGTTAGTAAAGCCGTATATCGAATGTAAGACGAGTATATTACTCTACTAGCGGCGGATAAGGTCTATCTAAAGCTCTTAGATAGACGGTTCGAGCATTTTTAAGGGGCTCTTAGAGCGATTAACGGCACCTTTATCTACGCTACTATCGGCGAGAATAAACAGAGCGCCTAGCGTAACCGTAAAGGTTTTATCTCTTAGAATGTAATAGCGGCCTATAACTTCGATTACCGCTTCTAGTACGTATTAGTTAGTTACGAGAGCTCGGCGACAGATAGTACGGTACTACGAAAGGCCTATTAGAGCGGTTTTAAAGTGCCGCGAGGCCGCTATTACTTAGCTAATAGTAGATACTCTTTTAAGGACAGTCGACTGTTAGTTCCGTACTAAAAGACGCGGTATTACTTACGAGAACAAGCGGTAGCTAATCGTCGTCCGGATATACCGAAGGAGCTGTTTAATCTACGGTACGCGTAGCTCCGAAACTACGTCGAGAGGATATTTAGTATCGTTAAGAAGCGGTTTAAGGTTGTAGTAAACGGCCTACGCGAGGGCTACTCGGTACTAGACTAGAAAAGGATTATAATGTCGTACTATATAATCTATAACTTTATCCTTTAGTATAGTACCTAGCCGCTTTAATTAGAGCTAGAATTAGCTCGAATTCGTAAGGATAGCGTTCTCGGCGGTTAAGAGGAAGACGAAGAAGAGGTTAGTAACGATAAGTAGTATCCGCGAGCGAGGTTTCGTAATAATATAGCGGAGGATATGTTTATAGAGTATAAGGAGTATTTGTAGGTATCCGGTCGCGACAAACGCCTACCGTAGGACCCTTTGTTTTAGTAGGAGGTGTCGAAATAGTGTGTAAGCTCGTCCTCCTAGTCTTAGCGCTATCTACGGTAGTAGATAGGTAGTAGTAGGTAGTCTAGATAGGATACTATAGTCTTATATCACATTAATATCTCTATCTACCGCAGTTACGTAGCTAATTTCCCCTCTTTTAGCGAGTCTTAACGTTAGCCGTAGAGCCTATTTTATAACTTATACTACTTTTTAGTCGTAGAAGAGGGAGTAGTTAGGAAACCGTATAATTTTTATATATCTAAAGATATAGACGGGTGTTACGTAACGAGCTTTCGGCTAATTAGCGTACCGGAAATTAATAACACCTCTATATAAATTTATAGTATAGAAAATCCTAGGACATTTTGTAGAATAAGTACTTCCCGTCTACTTCCTTTATATTAACTAAACCGTAAAAACTATAGTAGATACATCCGTAAGCTAGTATAGTATACTACATTTAACGTCACCTCGTCGACTGTCGCTCTAATTCTAATACTATCTACTATCTACTATTATATCTACTATCGCTATAGTTAAATAAACTATTCTATAAGTGCGAGAAGGGTGTCTATAGAGGCTAAAAGCTATAGTAAGGAGTCGGTAACTGACTATAATCGCCTATAAGAAGGCCTAGACGCGGCGGCGGCGGTAGTTTAATCTTAACGAGTAGATCCGTATACTACGCTCTTAACTTAGACACCTTATCCTTTAATAACAAAGCTACGGCTATACTCGCTCGCTACGGTGTCCGCCTAAGCTTATCGCAAATTAGTGTCTTATCGTTAAACGGCAGCTTAATATCGCCCTCTAAAAGACGCTTAAATACTAGGGTTATATTATCCTTTGTTAGCCGTATTAGACGCTACTATACGGCCTTATTTTGCCGTAGGTAATTAGCGAGGGTAGACGTTAATAGCTCTAGTACCTTTTACGCCGTAGCGGCCTATACTCTAGCCTCGTTATTAACCTTTCGGTAACTACGCTTCTTCGGTAGCTACTTCTACTTCTTCTTCTTATTACGCCGTTCGTTCCGTACGGCGAGCCTTATACTACGCTTAAACTCTAATAGGCCCTCTAGATCTTTATCCGAAAGCAATATCTCCGAATCGCTACTACCTACTTCCTCCGGTTCCGAGTCGATACCTAGAGTAGTACTAGTTACCGCGTACGCGCTAGTCGCGACATTGTCGCCTATAATCTTATCTATTAGATCTATATACTCCGGCGCCTCTTCGAGGAAGTAAATGTAGTCTAGGTAAGCGATATTATAGGCTTCTTCTAACGCCGGATTACCGCGTAGTAGTATGCCGTTCTACCTACTAATATAGCCTTTATAGGTAATCTAGAGCTTCTACTCCTCTTTTAGCGTACGCTATTTGTTCTTTAACGACTCGGTAGTAATCGCTCGCTCGAACTTCCGCGACATAGCCTTAGCTATTATATTTAGGTCCTTTAGTCGATAACTATATAAGTCCGTTTATACCGATTTTAGCGCCTTTAACCGCTCTAAGAAGTCCTCGACTATTAATAGCGTATACCTCGATAAAGGCAAATACCTCTCTATAAGTAGAGCGCTTAGATCTACCGGAGCCTACTTACCGCCGCCCTTCTTCTTCGCGCTACCGCCTTCCGTAGTAGCCTTCCTTTTTACTATATCGCTTACGGTAGTAGTAGTTAGAAAGAGCGAGTAGTAGTAGTTAGAAAGAGCGAGTAGTAGTAGTTAGAAAGAGCGAGTAGTAGTAGTTAGAAAGAGCGAGTAGTAACATATACGAGACACGAGAAAACGCGAGAGAAAATAGGTAGTAGACAACGCGACGACGCGGTCTTAATTACTAAGAAACTACACTAAAATCGGACTATATAGTGGAGCTCTTAATATACCGGAGCGTTTAGCTCAGTTTCTAATAACCTAGGTTATTTAAGAGGGGTTATAACCTAATAACCTACAACCTATAACCTGCGAAGTGAACGGGGCCTTAAGGATATGCGACGGTTGCGTGTTGGGATACTTGAGCAATCGCGCAGTCGGAGTGTCAAGAAGCAGGGAGCCCGCAAGGTCTTCGTCTGCCAAGTGTGAAGTGGGGAATCATTTCTAAGGTTGGAGACACGAAGCGAAGGCGCGAAGCCAATCCACGTGGGATGGCAGTCAGATGAAGAGGTTAATTGCGGCGCCGCACAGTAGTGGCGAAGCTATTCGGAAGTCTGCCAGGATATGAGAGACGAGATGGTGAGTGCCGGAGGGATCGTGAGGCATGGTATAGTCTTAAGCAGCGAGAACAGGCCACTTTGGGTATCCGGTGAATTGCCAATCGCATCGTTCCGTGCCGGCAGATTTGAAAATCGCCGCATAGACTGAGGCGGGCATTCTCCCCGAACTCGATCTTGGCGGTGAGGGTAGATGACGTGTGGTGAAAAGGAAGGGGCATCGCTCGATGCCGCGGAGTGAAGGGCGTGCCGTCGTCTGGTTGCGAAGTCGCCCAGAAAGAACATCTGGTATATCCTGTCCCCGGTGGATGATGTGAGGCGTAATGCGAGTCGGTAATGAGGCTATTCACAAGGGCATGGGAGGAAGATTCCAGGGTGAAGTGTGTCGTGTGTCGGTGCTTTGCAGAAATGAAACAAGGCCAAGTCTGGAGAAGAAGAGTGAAACATTTTCCACCGGGAGCACCGGATGTCACGTGCGTTCTTCGGATCATCCCGCTCCGTTTCCCGGCCGACTCGGCTTACTCGGCTTACTACCGTCGGCACGGCTTACCTTACCTTACTACTACCCCTCTGTCCCTCTCAACCAACAACCACTCCGTCCGCATACTGCGCACACTATCAACCTACCTGATCTATGCGGAGACACTGGCGGTGCCCGTCGGCTCGCAGCGAATGCACGGAATCGCAAGCTCGGATCCACGAAGACCCTGACGCTCCAGGCCCTTTCCATGTCGTTATTACTTCTATGCCATATCTGATCCTCGTGTCTCTGCCACCGGGCGATTTACTGACTAAGTTCTGCCCGGCCCCGCTCTTCCGAAGATTCTAGTCAAGCTCTCCCAATGGACCATCAAGCTTTCGTCCTCTTCTTGTAGTAAGTGGAGACGGAGAGACCCATGATGGTGCCCTCGCCGTCTCAGATATCACTATCGGGGCTTCAACCGAGCTATCATTAGAAACACGCGACTCCATAACGACTCAACAACACCGAGGTATACGTGGCCTTATTCATGTGAGTGGGCGACTCAGCGAGTTCTGCGAATCCTCTTTCACGCGCCTTTCCTGGACAGAGTTGTAGAAGCCTGCTGAATAATCACCCGATCCTGCCGCTGGATACCTCTTAGCGTCAGGCGCGGGGTCGCCCAGTCCGGCTAGTGGCTTGGCGGGCACGCACGGTACATATATCGCCACTCCACATCTCAGAGAGGAAAGGATCCGTCGATCTCTTCTCTATGGTAGCACAGTAGCCTACCTACGCATTACGACTGGTTATGAGCCTGTTCATGCCTCAACATGAATCAACCCTACTACATCATTGGATGACACGCTTCCTGCGACGGCGTCCTACCAAGCCAAAGCACAATCTGGTGCATTCCATTTGTGAAAGAACCACGCCTATGAAGCATTCATGCTTCCACTCTCATTTGTGAGCCAGAAAATGCAGAGAGAAAAACACACATGTCATATGGAGAGAAGCAATGCTATGAAGTGAGGAGCAACACTGCAAAGCCTTATGGTTCAGGAGTCTTAAAAAGCTGGGGACCTTCGGATGACCCGGAGTCTCTTATAGGGGGCATAGGTATGCAAAGCTTCTTGGCAAGTCTCCCGTCTTGGCTACTCGGTGAGGAATGTGCCCCGATGGAGCAGCAGTAGTGTCCGGAGTGAAGTAGTTCTTGGTCAAGTGACTAGGTGATGGAATCACACCTCTGACAGTGAATAGGTCCTTGTCTATTGAAGCAAGCCTTTCCAGTGTGCAGTCTTCTTCCTCCTCTGGATCTTCGTGCTCCTGCATGAGCTGGAAAATGGCCGGTCTTCTTGCTTGGGAAAATCTGAAGTCGTCCTCCATTCAGCCTCTGGAATTGTGGAGAGATCAGAAACAGACATCCTTGCTTCTCCATTCTGATATTTAGGACCTCTGGGGACCTTGAGGCGCCAGGCTCAGTATTCATCATCATCCCATCAGCATGCTTGGACCAGAGACGATCGGTTTCTTGGCAAGGAGCAGCGACCAAGCGATCACCAAGCTAACCGCGCCAAGACTCTTGGATACAGCAGATGCTCCACGATGAGTTCTAGGATCCGCCGGGCACGTGCAGCAAGCGCCGGTGCAAGCAGAAGTTGTTAGAGAGAAAGAAGGAGCTGAGGGTCCCCAATGATCTCTACAAGGACCTCATGAAGGTAATGGGAAATGGCACCGGGGTTGTTGCAAAGCATTCATCATTGAAACAGATGCTTCTGAGTGGGCTATCGGGCCCGCTCTATATCAACATGATGAACAAGACAAGCTCCATCCTGTTGCATTCTCTGGAAGAAAGCTTCAAGGAGCTCGCTGCGTCCCATGTGGTCTTGAGGATGCTGGGAAGGGTCGCCTTGCTCTGTGTCGTCATATGCCAGATGGGGTTGGTGGATCGCTGCTTGGGGGCGCTTGTGCCAACTATGCCTGGACTCTTGGCCACAACAGGTGCTCTTTGAGCTCAGGAGTCAGCAGGGCACGTTCAGCAAGCGCTAGCCCAAGCAGGGGGTGGTAGGGGTTTGGGTCTTGGCCCAGTCTCTCACAGATCGGAGTAACTCTCTTCAACCAGAGCCTGATCAACATCCGCAACATGCTGAATGCCAATGAGGCCATGCGAGGCCTCATTCACTTCAAGCCCGACATCATCCAGCCGCCTGAGGACATCAATAAGCTTGATCGTTGCTGGGCTCGGGCAGTCATTCGTGCCTGGAAGAGATATAGCAATGCTGCTGCTGCTTTCAACGCCCCATTGCCTCAACAATCGACGCAATGCAGAGCCTATGGATGCCATAAGTGAGGAAGATCTCGAGTTCCACCCCACCAACACTGCTGATGAGAATGACTCCAATGGTGGAGGCATGTACACACCATGCTCAGTTGCTACCACTCAGAGGAACCGCCAGTTTCACAAGGGCAGCAACATGTGCACGAGGTGTGGTGGCATGAACAACATTACTGGCAGCAAGCATGGGATTGGAGGAGGAGTTGGAGAGCCTGCTGGAGAGCTGCTGTTGTTTACTGGAGTGGCTGCTCTAGCATGCTCTGTGACATCGAGATTGAGGAATTCCAAAGGTCGGAAGGTCCTGTCTCCAAACTATACCGCGTTGGGGCTGTGGTTGTCTGGGCAACACACAGGCTTTGAATGGAGGGCTGGGATCGATCGATTCTCAGGAGAAGAGATGGCCGGTCTCAGCTACCAAGTTGTGGGAGCTCCAACAAGCAAAGATGTGTGTGACTCTCCCTGGAGCCTTCACTGGTGCCTGCACGAGGGATTGGAGTGTTGACTTGGACCATATGGAAATCATTGGGCGCAAATTCGACAGTTGTACCCAGATTGGTGGAGTCCATAACTTCATCCGGGTACTGGAGGGTCTGCGGAATAAGCTCCATGATCCTAAGCCTGATGACTTTGCCTTCATCAGAGGATTCCAAGCTGGCCTCAGGAGAGATGTCAGGGATGAGCTGGACCAGAGAGGTGTCTACACTTCAAACACCTCTGCTGGAGACTATATGAGACAAGCCATCAATGCAGACAAGAAACTCTACAACACCTGGAGGGTACAAAGTGGAGATGCCTCTGCTCTGAGGGTGAAGAAGCTGATCTCCCCAGGTGGTATCTCCATCAAATGAAATATGGGGTGGGAATGTCACCCTTGCTTTCCATTCTCCCTTGAATTCCATAAAGGGGAGGTAGACTTTGTAGTTGGTTCTTGATCTATCCTTCAATGCCCTACTGCAGCAGAACACTGAGCAGTTGGCAGCCCTGGGAACCCCCCCAAGGTTCCAAGAGTGAGAAGAACAAGAGCCAGAAGGGAAGGAAGGACAAGGGCAAGAACTTTTTTTCTACAACGCCGGATTTGAAAAAGAAAAAGAAAAAGAAAAAGCTGTACGATGATAGGAAGTTACCAATAGATACCGCCACCGAAGTTAACTTGATAAGTGAGAGCATGTCCAACATTGCTCAGGTTAGAACAGAGATCATCGATCTCTCATGTGATAGCCTGCACATTACGACAGAGAGCACGACGATGCTATTAATCCGTATCCGTGAATGGGAAACCCGTCTGGTCTTCCTGCATTTCCCTTTCCTCTGCCATCTCCTTCTCACCCACGATACCGCTCGCTTCCCCTTAACACTGCAGCAGCAAGCTCGGCGGAGCGACAACGATGGCTACTAGATCGAAGTCTGCTCGCAAGGATACTCATCACCATGATATCGCCGTTCCGTCAAGCTTCAAGATATACGAGCCAGGTACTTCGGATGCCAGAGACGGTAGCTACGTGGATTTACAAGATCGCGAGCGCGAAGTGGTTGCTCTACCAGATTATAGGGAGATGGAAGAGATGGATTCGCAAGAGTCCAGAGCCCGTAGACACGGCATATTAAGACGAGGAGTGCTAGGAAGCTATTCATATTCTAAGACTGACTCAATTTTCGTGTCTCCCATTTTAGCAGGTCAAAGACCTGATCACCACGGATGTCCATGTCGACGATGCGACGATCCTGATATCAGCCCGTATACGTTTCGACCTTTCTTCCTAGGTCAGTAAAAGCAGAGAAATCGATGGAGGGATGAAGACTGACCTTGTCTAGGTATTTTGGACTATTTAGCGATACTAATGGGTAACACGCGCTTTCCTTTTCGGCTTCACAGATTCTTTACCATTCTGGGTTGCTCATCGCTACTCCGACTGGGCCCTCGACACAAGGACAATCTTCTTGTCCAGGACGTCGCTCTGTGTTCACCTTACCATAGACCCGAAACTCCAATAATTTCTTCTTTCATCCCGCAGTGGACAACCTCTCCGTCGGCGTCAACTCCACCCTCACCACGGTCTTCATCATCGCCTCCATCTCCCAATCTTTCTCCGAAAGTACCGTGCTCAACTCTTCGTGAAACGGACTATGGATAAAGGGACTCAGGTGCTTGTTTGTTTTCACTTTTGCGGGTTTCCTGAGGAAGTGAGAAGGGTGTGGAGTTTCCTTCTTGGGATGAGACGCCTGATCCGACGTCGAGGAATACTGACTATTGTATGATTAATCCCGCGAACGCGGGTTGAGGCGAGGTGGGGATAAGGGAATAAGGTGTTGACGACTAGTCTATGATTGATGCAGGTGATGAACTCTATGCGTGGTATGTGCCGTGCGGTATGAGCTCCCTATGGAGTTTTGGCGCTCTGTCAATGCGAGGAGACTGATGCAGACAAGATGCGAGGATGATGAAGAATATTTTCGAGAGGGAGAAAGGCGTCAAGGTCTGGATTTCAGGGAAGCAAGGATGCGTGCGTGATATCGCGGTAACCGCGTCGGGTAAAGTGAGGAGATGGCCAGGAACGCGTGGCCGTTCCTAACTCCTTCAACTGTCAACTTCCTTCGAGACCGAACAACACCCTCATCAGTCTGCGACAGCCACAGCATCATGGCGACCGGACAATATATATTGCCTTCAACGGTGAGCTTTCCACCGACTCTGTTGCGGGCTGCTGCACAACGACATGTGCATGGATTGGAACGGATACACCTATGGCCATAGTACCGGCACAGCCTCACCACGAGATCCACTTCGTATGCAGATCGCTTCCGACCATTCAATGATTTCTTCGACGGCGACATGCACGACCCACAGCCAAAAACGTCTCGCTCTCTACTTCTTCTACCTGCCCTGCTGTCTGTCCAGCGTTCTCTCCTATCTTCTCACCACATACATTCCTTTCCTCGCCATCTTCGCCCTTTTCCCTCGCACTCTAGTACCATTTCTTAATTTTCACTACCTCTCACATTCTCGAATATGCGTTTCTCACCAACCATTGCTGCACTCGCAGCGTCCCTCCCGTCCGTCTTCGGGTACTACAAAGGCTTCAACGTGGCCGCGACCAACATCGATGGGTCATGCCGGACCACGGCGCAGTGGGAAGAAGCGTTCAACAAGCTCAAAGCTCTGCCGCAAGATATTACGAGCGTGCGACTCTATGCCTCGAGCGATTGCAACACCCTCGCCAACGCCGTCCCGGCGGCCATCGCAACCGGTACTCAGATCCTCGTCGGCGTATGGACGGAAGACTCCGCGCACTATACTGCCGAGAAGAACGCTCTGGAGGCTGCCATCAACGAGCACGGATACGATTGGATCCTCGCCATTTCGGTCGGCAGTGAGGATCTGTACCGTGGGGACACGAGCGCCGCCACACTCGCACAGCAAATCTACGATGTTCGTGGAATGGTTCGGCAATGGGGCGTAGAAGCTGAAGTTGGACATGTGGATACTTGGACGGCTTGGGTGGATGCTGCCAACGATGCTGTGATTGAGGCTTGCGATTTCGTGGGCATGGATGGATACCCATACTGGCAGGATGTGGCGATTGAAAATGCCTACGACACCTTCTTCGCATCCTACCAGAATACTCTGGATCATGTGCAGTCCGTCAAGGCTGGAACATGGGTCTGGTATGTTGGCCTCTTTTTTTCCCATTCGCATCAGAAGCAAGTCGGACTGACGGATCTGTAGGGTCACTGAGACTTCTTGGCCTGTCTCGGGCGCTGCTCAGGGCGCAGCAATCGCCAGCGTGGACAACGCCCGTACTTACTGGCGCTCGGTCGCTTGCCAGCTCTTCAAACAGGCGCACGTATTCTGGTAAGTCCACCAATAAGCGGAAACTACCTCCTCACCTCCAAGATGTTGTGCTCACTTTGTGTCTTTCTTCGTCTAGGTATGCTTACCAGGACTACTCCGCCACGCCATCTTTCGGCGTCTTCGACAGCAACGGCAACGCGCAGTACGATCTTTCCGCGTGCTAGAGAATGAATACTTGCACATTGAAGGCATAGCGATGGAGTTGCAAATTTCTTGAACATAGCGACCAGAGGGCTCTACATGTCCCCGAGAGGAAGAGAATATATGTACAGCGCATTGATGACAGAACACTGCTAATCAATAATTGAAACGGCCCCCCCGTGGAACTGGAAATTCCCATTCCGCAGCTTCGCTCCAGCTCCGTCAGACTCTTGTATTGTGGACGCAAGCCAAACTTCCTTCAGCTTGTCAAACGTTCCCACCAAGCCACTCCTATACGAATCCACATCCCCAGGCTACTCAAAGCCTTTCGCGGTCTACTGAATCTCGGAGTCTGATATGGGGATCATGCCGTTGGCGCCTGTGATAAAAGGCCGTTTTGCCCCTGTTGCACAAACAAATATTCCAAGTGAACAACTGATTCACGTTCCGGACCGGACCAGACCAGACCGTCTCTTTAAGAAAAATATTATATTATCGGCAGGGAGAAAAGCTTTTCCAAGGCGAGAAAGGAGAGACGGGATCCTAATCGAAAAAAAAAGATCCGCTATCTACTAGCGACTATTTAAACTCCGGTCGGTCGGCCGACCGATGGAAACATGTTTTTTTGTTTTTTGGAGATTGGACGGTTATGCCGTGTCTTGTCTTGTTAAGAAGCGTCGAGAAACATTTCTATAGTAGTACAGGACCTAGTAAGCGTCGGGCAAGAATTGATACCGAGTAGGTCAGCCTGTCGATGTCGTTAACATGGTCACGCGTCTACCACGCCGCCAAGCGGATGTCTACAAGACCACCCTCAGCCAATCTTAAAACAAACCATCACATCAACTGCGAGGCACTACTACATCCTGCGGATGGCGAAAGACGATCGCCGCGCCTCTTTCCCAGCCTCTAATACAGCATCTACGTACCCGGCTCTGCTCCTACTACCTTATATACGGCTATGGTTCTCCTGCTACCAAGAAACGAAGAAAATCTCCTGAACGTATACACGACTCACTAGTCAAAGGGAATGCATGTCTCCCATGGTGATACGGCTTTTCCCTACCGATCGACTCTCGTCTTCAGAATGTTCGCCCGCTTCTGCACCCAAGGGCAAGCCGTAATCACAGCAGACCGGATCTCTTTCTCTTTGTCAGGCTGAATTGTGAGGCACACGAGTGCTCGGGGCAGTGGAGAGTCACTTCCCCCGGATGGTCTCACATTGGCATCGAATCGTCCAGGCCCATTCTTTCTCTAGCACTCCAGTCGCTCAATTTCTAGCTTGCTACAAGCGTCCGCTCATTTGACGACCATGCCTTCATCAAGAACCATGTGTTTTGGCGGGATTGTCGGTATTGCAGGCACTAGTTGCTGGGCCTACAAGCATCCGAGCACAGAGCGCGCCGCAACGGCTCCAGGTTCCTGGAGTGACTGCATTGAGAACGACTAGTATTTCGAGGATGCTCTCTCAACTGTCACGGGAAATACTGGTTTCAATTCCAAGGCCGAGGCCGGTTACACCATCGGCGGTGTGGAATCATTCGCTTTCGACGGCGACGGTACGGTTCTCGACGCTGGGCGCCATCACACATGGCGAATCTCATACGAAAGTTTATGCTTCCATTCCCTATGAATACCTTAGCAAGACCCCTCTCAAGCGTCAGTCATGCAACGAGACTTACAAGGTGCAGAGTAGCGCTCCTTGTGGAGCTGGAACGTATTTCTCATAGGCAACCCGGAGCGAGGAGCTAGCTAGCTATGTCTATGATGCTTCTGCCGGAGAGGATACGTATATTTCCGTTATCGATACTGGTGTCTACACCGAGCATTCCGAACTACCACGAGCGCTTACTTCAATCGTGGTGGGGATGAGACCGATGGACAGGGACACGGGGCTCGTTGCTAGGGTATTGCCGCTTGTACTACTCACGGCGTGGTATGTGTTGATTGAATGCGAACTCCGTACGCCTGTTCTAACATTTCTACGGGCCAAGAAAGCAAACATCATCTGCGTCAAAAGTTTTTCGCAACGATGGCTCGGGCACCAAGTCTGGCGTTCTGAGAGGGGTCGATTGGGCTGTGAACAACGCGATAGAAGAGGGTCACATCGATCGTGCTGTCTTCTCTGTGTCCCTTGGACACAAGGACACATCTTCAGTCAGCCAACCAATGGCTTCAGCGAGCAAACAACAGTTGCTGAAGGCGCTTTCGTCTCCGTCGCAACGGGAAACTATGACGAGAATGCGAAGAACTCCTCTCCTGCCTCTGCCCCGGACGCTTACCCTGTTGGGCCAACAGACGCGAATGACTCCCGGTCTGACTTCTCAAACCGTGGCGAGATCTTGAATAACTTCGCTCCTGATAAGCCTTGTCATCACTCTAGGACAGAGATACACATTTGCCGACCACAATTCAACCGCAGCGAAGGACATATCAAGTTCGTAACTCGGCAGCCCGAAGGCCACTAGAGGGACCATCAGCGATACTTCGACAGCTTGCCCGCACACTGCAAGCCTTGCTACCTACCCAATCGGTCTCGAGAGTCCTCACTCGCCGACGACCGAACTTTGCTGTCGCATGCAAGAGCCCGCGACCAGCCATGTGCTCGAAGAACGTAGGCTCTGACAAGTCCTAATCTGCTTGCTTCAAACGAACGGAACCGGAGCGTGGAGGACTCTTAAAGAGATTTTAGTTGTCTTAATTTACGATTCATAGACTGTAGCTATAGCTATGTCCAATCACATCGACGACACGATTTTATGTAGCATAGGTCTCGTTTGCCAGTCAAGCTCAAAACATTCATTCCAGGCATGCATGTGAAAGTGGCCCGTGCGTCGACGGGACTTAACGAGCGTCCTATTAGACTTTCCCGCCGTTCTGGATTTTTCTGCGTTGCTCTCGAACTCGAAATTCCGACAAATCCGACACGGCTGCTAAGAACTAGGAATTTATCGCTTTCACGAAGAGCGAAAAACAAAATCGCCGTCTTGTCTGCCGACAACTGCACAAAGAAAGCGTGATAATCAACGCGGGAGGCTGACTTGGTCTCTAGCGGATACCATCCCATTCACACCATTATACAAGAAATGAGTCGAAAAGCTTGCTCCTCGGGCCTATCCTCCTTCTTTTAGAACATAATACAATGAGTACCGCTTTCCTTGAAGCTACGTCGTGTTACTTTGCCCCTTTTTAGGTCGGTTGGTCGAGCGTAAGGATGTGGACTTGACGGGTTTCCAATCTATACACTCTACTCTACTCTACTCTACTCTACTCTACTCTACTCTGCTCAACCCAAAGGGCAGACGAGACGAGACGAGCCCATCTTATTTTCGGACTTGCTCGTCGGTCCAAGTCGCTTGGGCTGGTCTTCCTGTTTCAGGTATTGAAGCAAGCCAAGCCAAGCCAAATCCATTGCTGCGAGACATCATCTAAGAAGCTCTTTCTTTGTCCACTTCTTCTTCTTCTTCTTCTTCTTCTCCATGCTCTTCAGCATGCTCGTTACAGCCCATCCGATTATTCATAAAACTGCTGGGAAAGCGATCTCTCCCTTCTCGAGCTCTAAGATTTAGAAGAAGGGGTTTACTTAGCGTGCTTTTTAGAAAGCGAGGAGGTGGTTGTGATGGCAAGAGCAGTCCATAATAATAATGGGATGAAAAGTTCTCTGGTCTCGGTAATTACTGGCCGTAAGCGTGTATTGGGTATCAGAGAGGTCTTGGAACATCATATATGTGCGTTAGGCAGAAGGAAGGGGTGTTTGAGAGGAAAGGTTATGCTAGGCCTTGCGGCTCTGCAGATGGAGATGGTGAGATTGCGTGGAGGGAGAGGGAGAAGTGATGGTAGTCGAGGCGTAGAACTGAACAGAATGTGATCGAGCGTGCAAGAAAGGTGGTGTTCTTTACGACTTCTGATGTCTACCATCATCACCCCCCTCGTAAGGCCCACCACTCTCCTTGACATATTCATTCTTCTCATTATAGTCTTTGGATTGCTGGCTCCACTCGGGGGCTTCGTCCTTGCCGCTCTCCTCCTCTTCATCGCCCTCTTCCTTGGTCTGGTGGACGGTCTGCGGATCGTGCTCGGCGGGAGAGTAGATTGTGACCAGCTCCAGGGGTTGGGTCTTGCTGGTGTTGATGAACTGGTGTTGGGTGCCGGCTGGGACGATGACGACGTCGGAGGCTTTCACGTTCTGTTCGTAATCAGCATCGCTCGTTCAAAGACATTGCTAAGAGAGATATCCTACCTGGTCCTTGCCAGCGACGGTCGCCTTCCCTTCTCCGCTGGTGAAGAGCAAGACCTGGTCGACGGTGTGCACCTCATCACCGATATCGCCTCCGACGGGGATCTCCATGGACACGAGCTGGGAGTAGAGACCGGTGTGGAGGACCTTTCTGAACTGGCCGAACGCTCTCACTTCGGAGGTGAGGCCGGGAAAGTAGACCATCTGGTGCTTGGGCCGGTCGGTGGGCATCTTGGAGTCTTTGCCCATCTTGGTGGAGGTGGTCGAGAAGAAGAAGGCCTTGGGTGCGGTTGTTCGGAGAGAGTGGGATCGTAGAGTGGAGGTGGCGGTGGTGGAGAGTGCGCGACGGGCGGCGAGCATTGTTTTTGGAATGGAATGGAAGCGAGGATGAGATGGGAGAAAGTGGGACGGACGTAACTTACTGGCGGTTATTGATATCATCAGTTACATGTGCATGTTGACATTGACGCTGCACGTGGGATGCGTGGGAGTGTGGGAGAGGAACAGGAACAGGAAGACGCGACGACATAACATAATCTTGACGACATGCATCGGGGAGCTGTCAGCAGTGTGAAGACGGGTTTGATTGGACAGATGGTCGGCCCGCTCCTTACCGTCTCCCGCTCTCCCGTCGCTGGTCAGAATAGCACAAACACCAACATGCGGCGCGGCTACAGACCAAACAGTCCACTTCATCGCATCTTTCAGTACACCGCTTCATTCCGGGTGAATGGAATGATGGATCTGGAGATGAGACATTATTGATCCAGCAGCAGACCCTCTGCGAAAGTGCTGTGCTGTGCTTGGCTTGGCATGTCACGTTCTAGGTTGGTTGGGATTACCTTATCGACTGGGCTGGGCTGGGATCCGGGAGTGAGTAGTGAATAAGAGAAGAGACGACATGGAATCGGCAAAGGTTTCATCCGCCCATCAACTACGACACGTCGCCATCGCGCCAGCCGCGGCCGACTCGTCACACCCACCAGCACTACACAAGAATGGAGGCGACGACGACGACGACGTCCCGCAGATGCCCTACACCTGTGTCACGTGTGGCAGGCGGAAGGTGAAGTGCGACAAGACTGGTCCCCCCTGTGGCACGTGCAAGAAAGCAAAACAGGAATGCTTCTACCAGGAACCGCCACCCCGGAAGAAGAAGCGGAAAGCAAACGACGACATTCACGACAGATTGGACCGATATGAGCAGCTACTCAGAGAGAACGGTCTGCTCCCCAAGGAGGATCCCAACATTCCTGCAACCCCTTCCATGCACTCGCCCGACGCCGGCTACAACCCGAGCACAACCGCTGCCAGTTGGGGGGCGCACGAGCATACTACTGAGAAGCCGCAGCTTGCAAGCGGAGCCGGGAGACTGGTCAAAGGCCGCAACAAGACGCGATACATTGACAGCCAGATCTGGAGATCCCTCGGTGACGACCTCCATCCCTCCTCGGACGAAGAAGATGGACCCGACCACGACCACGGGCCAGCATCACTGGCTGCTGATGCGATTGATCCCCTGACCGGCGCCTTCCTTCCTACGGTCGTCTCTTACCAGAATCTTCTCAATCTTCACCCCACATACGACGTCGCCATGAAGCTGTGGAAGCAGTATGTTCAGAATGCCGATCCAGTCTGCAAGCTTCTGCATGTTCCCACTGTCACCAAGATCCTCCAGCGAGCCGCTGCCGACCCGAGCAGCATGTCCAGGGTCACCGAATGCCTGCTCTTCTCCATCTACCATTTCGCCGTCTACTCGTCGACAGACGCCGAATGTGACTCCATGTTCCTGCAGCCCAAGCATGTCCTCCAGAAGAGGTACCACGACGCTACTCGACACGCCCTCGTGGCTTGTCGCTTCCTGAGGACTACCGACTTGACCGTGCTGCAGGCCTACATGCTGTATCTGCTGGGCATGCGGAATACCCTTGATCCCCACACCTTCTGGATCCTGTCCGGCGTCGCCGTGCGAATCGGTCAACGCATGGGCCTTCATCGTGATGGCGATGAGATGGGTCTGAATCCATACGATGTGCAGATGCGGCGACGTGTCTTCTGGCAGCTTCTCCCCATCGATGGCATGTCTGCCCAGCTCTCGGGAACAGGCATCGCCATTACCGCGGATTCCTGGGACACTAAACAACCGCTGAATATCAACGATGAAGACATATGGCCCGACATGGAGACTGCACCGGTCCCCCGAAAGGGTGCCACGGACATGATGTTTGTACTTGCCAGAACTGAAGTCGGCATGTTCCACCAAAAGGTCAAGCCTGCTCTGGGGAACTGGTCGAGGCTCTGGGAGGGGACAGACATACCCTTCATCAACGAGGCGATGCAAAAGATGGAGGAGACGATGGAGAACAAGTACATCCGGTACTGCGACATCTCGGATCCCATGCACTGCCTTACCCTCTCCATGGCTCGAGGTTCGCTCTGCGTCGCTCGCTTGCGCGTGGGGGTCGCAGCCACCAAGGGGAAGCCCATCACGTCCGGCGAGAGGAAGGAGTTGGTCGAGTTGTCCTATAAGGTGCTGGACCACGCAATTGCCGTCCGTGCAAATGGCAACCTCGCGCGGTATCTCTGGCACATGGCCGCATTCTTCCACTTCGATCCTTTGATATGGCTCTTGAACGAGCTTCGCCGCGACGATTGTGCCGCAGACCCGGATACTGTCTGGTCCAAGACGGAGCGGATATTCGACCTCCATCCCGAAGTGCTCGATCATCGACGCTCCATCGACACCGCCATGTCTCGATTGACGTTGAGAGCCTGGGACGCAACGCAGGCCAAAGCTGCCGTCCCCAGACCGGAACCGCCATTTGTGCACAAGTTGCGCACAAGTCTCAGCCGGAAAGAAGCGTCCAAATCATCAACCCAGACGCCGGTACAGAAGCCGAACCCTTTCGATCCCGGCTTCGAAGCCTCCAACGATATCCCTGTGGCTTCATACCTGAGCTCCAACCAGCCTTTTGCCTTCTCGGACTATAACGCGCTGAACGACATGAATGCTGATATTGACTGGATGTTCTGGGACCAGTTAGTGCGAGATCCGACGGCCTTTCCCCAACTTTGAAAGGAATATAATCTTCATTTTACTAAAGACACCAAGATCGGCAGACGAAAATTGTCCTCGACAATTTCCCTCTCAACCGAATTCGGCAAGTTTGCCGAATGCCCCAGGGTCGACGCTGGTCTTGACGTAGCTCCGTTGAGAGCTTTGCCCCCGCTCCGACCAACATTAAATGTTTCCGGTCCCGCAGTTGGTGCAATGAGAACATCGTTATGGCACTGGCGAATCGACTTGGGATTATTGTGGGAGGGTTGGGAGGTGCGGAGCAGATCATCTTCACAAGGACATTCCACTGAGACTACATTCAGGCATCGGCAGCGTGACAGCCAACCTTCTTCGCTCTCGCGGAACAAAGTTGGCTCTCTTATACGCCCCATTGGAATCAGAAAGAGTTCGACCGGTCCTCAAAGACATTTTTGATACCGAACCAGAATCATCGTCTGACATCAAAGCTTACGAATGCGACATCACCTCTGCCAATTCTGTTCAAGATGCCTTCGACGCCATTGCATCTGACAATACCGCCTTCCCAAGCATCTTGGTCAATACCGCTGGCTACGTGAGCCTCCATCCCTTCGAGACATTCCCCACGGATGAGGTCCTGATGCATTACAACATCAATCTCCTCGGCCCTACCCTGACCGCACAAGCTTTCGCGAGACTCTACTTCCAATCCGCCGAAGCCAACCGAGCCAAAGCCCCCGGAGGCAGAATCGTCAACATTGCCTCCCAGGCGGCCCACGTCGCCCTGAACCATCACGGGCCTTACTGCGCGAGCAAAGCCGGCCTCCTCGGCCTCACCAAGTGCATGGCCAGCGAGTGGGGCCCAAGGGGCATCACCGCCAACACCGTCAGCCCCGGTCCCGTCATGACCGCCCTCGGCCGGAAGGCCTGGGGCGATCCCACCCTGAGCGAGCCCTACCTCGCCGGCGTCCCCACGGGCCAGTTCGCGGAGCCGATGGAGGTGGCGAGGATTGTGGAATTTCTGTGCTCCGATGGGGCAAGGAATGTTAATGGTGCTGATGTGAGGCTTGATGGGGGGTTTACGATTCGATGATGATGGGAAATATGGAAAATCTTAAAAACTAAAAGTCATTTGGAACTCGTATTCTAGAGGTTCATATGTAGTTATGAAATATCACTACATAACGAGGTTTGCCTTTACAGGGAATGCCGTCTGAGGGTCAGGAGAGCCTAGAAGCGATAAACGATAGCAGAGTCCCCTCCTCTGGCGGTGTCAAAAAAGGGGTATTTCTAGAAGCCCTACTAGATCTAGAGGGTAGAGCTTCCTTTCCTTTCCTTGCTCGTAAGCAAGGAAGGAAGGAAGGATAAGGACACGCTCTGCTGGTCTGGATCATCCATCTACTTGTCCTCGTCCTTCCACGACATGAGCGCTATCCGGCCAGCCTTTCGGGGCCGCATGGCTGTCTCTATCTCTCTATCTGGAAGAGACTTTATGCCAGGTATTCAGAGAAGCGTGATTGGACGGACTGCATTGTTGCATTGTTGCATTGTTCGCTGTTATAGGTTCTTTGGTGAGTGAGGCGTCTTTTGTTCAATTTGTTAAGACGGGACAATCTCTGGTATACCGGGACTTTCTCCCGCTCATGGGGTTGGTTGGTTGTCGAAGTTGTGAGGCCGTAGTTAGGGAGGAGCGATTTATTTTATCTCATCTCATCTCAACTCATCTCATCTCATCTCATCCCATCCCTCCCGGCCCTCAAAGCGGTGCAGAGAGGAGAGAAGAGCGAGAGAGGAGAGGAGCGGAGAGGAGCAGAGGAGAGCAGAGAGAGGATGCAGAAAAGTTAGTCGCCCGAATCGAATCGAATTGAATCGAAAAAACTTTGTATTACGTACGTACGTCGAGGGAGGGAGGGAGGGAGGGAGGGCTTGCTTAGGTTCTTCTTCCTTCTTTCGGGAAGGGAAGGGAAGGAAGGGGAGGGAAGGAAGGAAAGGGAAGGAAATAGATCACGAATTCGAATTCTTATGAAGCCAAGTCAAGTCAAGTCGTTCTGCGTTCGGGGAGTTCGAGAAAAAGGGGAAAAAGAAGGAAAAAAATGAAATAGAAAAAGTCCGTGAATGGATAGCGTATGTAACTTTGAATTCGTCTTGGACGATGGAGTTGAAGCCCTCCCATGGATGGCGGCGAGGAACTGGGGAGATGTGTTGAAGACTGCGGACCGGGACGGATTGACGGTGGTTAATACGCTCTATTTTGATTCGTATCATAGGAATTACAGGACTGTTACGGATCTCCATGGCTACAGCACTATAAAGCGAGGGAGTTTGTTTCTAGATGGTATTACTTTCCGTCTTAGCTTTTTGGTTTCGGAAGGATCCATATAGCGAGGGCAATGAGAATGAATAGAGATAGATGAAAACTTCTATTGGCTAAGAAAAAAAAAACTGTCTTGTCCGGTTTCGCGAAATGTCAGGAACTTTTCAACGGAGTTTCGAGATCGTAGTAGAGTTTCGAGAGATACTGTCTGATCATTGCATCTGTAGTTCGTAGTTTACCTGAGTCTATCTATATCTACTCGTGTTCACGTCCATGGAACTCGCTCGCTCGCTCGCTCGCTCGACTACCGAAAAGCCACCCCAAATCCCTAAAAGTTACACACACACCACGATCAGACCCACGACCGATCATTTTCCAGTTAGTTGACAAGACAAAACCGATACCGCGGCTTCCCAGCCTCGAAATCCAGCAGCGCCTGGTTGGCCTCCTTCATCGGCACCTCCTGAATCCAAGCCTTCACCTGCTTATCCGCAGCAAGCTGCAGCATCTCCTCAATCTCCGCCGGCGAGCCGATCAAGCTACCAGTCATCGTGGCCTTCTTCATCACGAGCGCGGCGGCCATGAAAGCCGGCAGCGGGTTCTCGGGGATTCCGAGCTGGACGTAGCGGCCTTTGAAAGCGAGGAGCTGCAGGTAGCCGGCGAGGGGCATTTTGGGCGAGGACACGCTGCTGATGATGAGGTCGAGGGTGCCGGCGTTTTTGGTGTCCCAGCCTTCCTCGCCCGTCGCGATGAAGTCGTCTGCGCCGAGCTTGCGGGCGTCGGCCTCTTTGGAGCGGCTGCGGGAGATGGCGACGACTTTGTCGGCTCCGAGGGCTTTGGCCCAGAGGAGGCCGAAGTGGCCTAGGCCGCCGATGCCGATCACGCCGACCTTCTTGCCTGTGAGGAATAGCGTTAGAGATTGTCTTCAAGTGAGTGCTGTGAGAGAGAGGTTTTCACATACCAGGGCCACAGCCGTTCTGTTTCAACGGACTATACGTCGTCACACCACCGCACAGCATCGGTGCTGCCATCTCACTCGGCACCGCGTCGGGGATCTTGAACACGAAGTGACTGTTGCCTCTCCAGTGCTTGGCATATCCACCCTGCGCAGTGGCCGTGTCTTTGCCGTCCGCAGTCTTGATCTCGGACTTGTATTTCTGCCCATACGTCTGCACGAACTCGTTGGGGCAGTGGTTTTCTTCGTCATTCGAGCATCGCTCACAGTCCGGTTTCAAGCAGCTCTATTTAGAAGGAGTTAAGTCAGGGCTGTCAAGATTTTGTGTGCGAGGGGCGACGCTTTCCACCTTACCTTGCACTGTGCTCCTACACCGACTCGGTCGCCGACTTTGATGTTCTTCTTGACATTCTTGCCCACACGGATCGCTTTGCCGACAATCTCGTGGCCGACCACGGCAGGGTAGGGCGTTTCGCCCCAGCCTGAGCGGAGAGTGTGCAAGTCCGATCCGCAGACCCCGCAGTGGGAGACTTCGATCTTGTCATGTGCGTTAGTCTTGCATCCTTAATCATACGTTCGGCACCAGCAATACCCACATCAATGTCTTCCTCTTCGAACTGCTTGGCGTCGAAAGCCTGCCATTTCATGTTGCCTTCGGCGGCATTCTTGTCGAGCGCAACCCAACCTTCAAATTTCTGCTCGGCCATTGTGAATGTTTGTTGCGAGAGGGAATGCAGGATCTGGTGTCGATTGTAGGAGATTGGGAGAAGATAGTCTTGTGCAGAATCAACCGTCCATGTGTACACCCTTCGCGGCGACTATTATATCTCTCGTCGCGGGGAGTAATGACGTTAATCTTTCGCCATGCTCTTCTGCGTCATCTCTCTTAGCCTTCAGCCTTTTTACATGCCTCGAAGAGAGGTCACCGCTGGATCACCTCCCACCCCGGAACCAATGAGATGAGCATTCCATTTTCTTCGGGGGGGGGGTTGTTGGGCATGGGCAGGTGGCAAAGCGCGCCCATGTAAGCAGATAGCAGACACTAGACATCTGACGTAGTGTGGTAGCTTATTACAACGTCATACTTTTTGTGCGTCTGCGGACTCCAGAGCTTCAGAGTGCTCAATTAGCTTTTTGTGATTTTCCGAGTGGGATTTGTTGTTGGCGGCATTGCGCGGAATGATGGTGGTTGAAGTCATGTAGGACTTTCAGTTGCATTCAAACTGGGGCCATGAGATGCTTACGTAATGCGGACCAGCGTTTCTAGCAGAGATAAGGGCGCGATGCACTCTCCAATAAAGCCTTACATGCACAGTGAGGATTTTCTGAATACATCCCAAGGGCTTCCGCAGGGTGGCAGGCTCTATCATTTTCCAGCAGCCAGGCGAAAAGAGCCACAGTGACTTCACCAGCAAAGAGGCTGATTGTTATGGCATCTTGTTTCTAGGACTTCAGGCACGGCCAAAGAGTTCTCCGGGGGGCAATGAAGATGATATCTTGTGTCGATGAGCTATGAAAGTCATAGTACAGATGGACGATGCTGCAAAAGAAGCTGAATCAATATAAGAATCGTCATCGAAGCTTGATGTTTCGAGCGGACGGCAAATCGATCGTCCATGCGCTTACTGAAGACTAGACCACGTGGTACCACGTGTTCTTTGCGGGCACTCCAGACGCAGTCCATCAATCCCAATGTGGCCATTCCAATGAGGTACTGCGCTAGAACGATGATAGCCTGTTCAAGAACGAACGCAATCAGGACGACTCCTCTGCAGCGGGAAAGGCATTGATCTGTAGCTGGCGGAAACGCTCCGAGTAGCCAGAAATCCAAGAGCAATGTCGAGAGGGACATAGAGGCCCGAAAATGCAATGCCTTGAGGAACGGCTGAGTGCGGGCACGCTGAGTGAGCATTATTAGTGTACAGAACGATGCAACACAACACGCATGGACGGACGGGAAGCCGAAGATCCCTCACTAGTTGCGAACGGAATATTGGCTGGAAGGGATCGTCGACATGCCCAATGCGGCCGCAGATTGTCACACGTCATTATCAGGTAGTGGAGAGCTTCGAAGGATTCAGCTGTCGTAGGCCGGTGCCGAGCTGCAGGGCGCCGGACTCGAGTGAGAGGTGAGCTTGTTGTAAGCATGCTAGATCCCCCAATGCAGGTGCTAGATAGCGCTATGTTGGGTGCTGAATAGCGCTGAGTCAGGTGCTGGATAGCGCCGGGTGGCCTAATCCGTTTGAGTGGCTTCGCAGTCACACACTCTGTATAGCCACTTTCACAGCTCAGGTAGAAGGGATTTATCAATCTTGATGTGATAGCCTACGCATCACCACAGCAAGAGCTTGTCGGAAACGGGGTAGTGACGCATTCTGTAAATGTAGTTAGACCCATATTAACGTTCTCAGGTAGTCGTGATTCTTGCAGATTTCGAACGTCATGTCGCAGCTGTACAAATCGATAGCGAAGCCGCCTCGTTATCAGGATTGATTGCTGCATGAGGATCTAGATGGCGCAAGACGAGTCACGCGTCCAATGGCCAGGGTAGTGTGGAGTGGATGTAGCTGCGAGACTTGCCTGAGCACTCTGCTAGATTGCAGTCCATTGCGCCTAGAGCAGTGTTGGTTCTTTTTGGCTCTGTCCACTCAATGGGCCTGGGCGCACTTTCTCACGGGATAGCTTATGTCCGGTGATATCCAGCCCCTACAACGCGGCTTGGAGGATTGGTTGCACAAGGAGGGGAACGGGATTGCTGGATGATGATCTCGAGCCAGCCATGCCTGACGCAGGTCCGCCCTCAGCCCTTCGTCTCTATATATGTGGCCTTGGCGCTTTCTGAATTCGTCGAATGTCATTGTCCGTGAGATGGCCAGCAGCTTGAACCTCGACGCATTTTCCGAAGATCCAAAGAGGAAGAGAAACAGGCTCGCCCAGCGTAGGCACAGACAGCAGAGTATGTGTAGCAAACAAGGAGACGTGAGGGTTGCACATCTGACGGCCGTTTGCAGGTAACGCAGGCCGCGAGAGTGAAGTTCCCAGGCCTTCAGGGCCTGGGTGCTTTCCAACCCAAGCCACAGCGCCTTTCCGGGTGTCCCATGGTACTCGGCCGAACGGCACAGCAAGTATGCTTCGTCTCCAAGACTGCTTGTTGAATTCTCGGTCCTGATCTCGCGTTCAGACCCATTGCCAACTCCAACTCATGAGGGGTCGAACACCGATTTTCAAGACGAGTCGATGGTCGCGTTCGAAGACCTTCTACATGACACGAGCGGCAACTGCGATAGCGATCATCTCGAAATTTTCGAGTTTAACGATTTCCATGGCGGGCCGCACCGTCATAGTGGACCAGCGACAGCAGACTCAGGTGTTGCCATGTCTAGTGGCTACGAACCTCGTAGGGCCGAGCAGAGACAAACTCCCAATCTTGGCACGCTGGAAGCGAAGTTTGAGCATATACTGTATGCGGTAGAGGAGGCCGGTTTCGAGAGCTTCGATGATTTGCTGACTCAGTACTACACCGCGCGGTTCAAAGACGACACTGTAGCCTACTGGGCTCAATCTCGGAGCCGCAACCGCTTCTTGCACACATTCTTGGCTGCACTGCACGAAGACACAGGGAGCTGGAGTGACCGGGAAGCGCAGGGATACCGCCAACATATTGCCTGCACAGCAGAGAGACTCTACGTCTCTGAGTTTGCGTACGCCAAGCGACACCGACCGATGACACCCAACATCGACGTCTCGCCCGTCTGGAGAGCTATGCATGAGCTAGACCAGAGAGTTCTCAGTAAGGAGTATCGCACTTTTGTGCGGACGTCAATGCCTGAGACGTATGCGCTCCTCACAGAAATCAGCATGAGGGCAAGCTTGCAGCATGCGCAGCGCTCGCAAGCTGTGTCTGCCTTCTTGATACTGTTGCTTGAATCCATGCCAAATGAGCAGGGAGGATGTCGAACGTGACTGCAGAGGCCGGCGGGCAGAGGGGCGCCTGACAAGGAGTTTGGTCGATGGTGTCAGGGCTTGTGCAGCGCACTAGAACTTCACTCGTATTGGAAAGCGAACATCATACTCGTCGCTCATGCTGTATGTCGACTCATTTCGAACAAGATACCCACCATCCTCGCGCTTCGCATTCGTAACGAGTTCGTAGTCAGCCTCGACCAGGTGGGTAAGCTCATGGTGCGGTACTTTTTTGCCGCGGCTTGAAATACGAAGGTTCGGAAGTATGCTTGTTATGTGGCTCCTTCCCCCGTTGTCGATAAGTTTAATAAGGATCGAGTCTCACCGATGAGTGGAGCCGTACGCAAAGAGGGCATCTGGCCCGCGGAGATCCTTCCAGCAGTGTCATGCAGGATTTGTGACCCTGCAGGTACACGCTAGGCCACGTGCGTCTGCAGGGAGCTTTTCGCAGATCCCGGCTGTGGCCAAGGCCAAGTCCTCCCTGTCCGATAGTGGACCAAAGCAAGGCAAAGATGTGTTGCACGATGTTTCTCCACGAGAGGAAAAGCATGCAACAGCATGAAGTCCTTCGTAGCGCTATCGTTTTTGACTGTCGTCGCGGGAGACCTCAGTGCTCGCCAGGTAGCCCAGCAAGGCAGGAAAGAGTCAGTAGAAGCGACACCACAGGAACGCCGCGTGGATTCCCATCTATTACGGAACATTCTTCGTCGAGTCTCTGATCCTGAGGACGTTTGCTATGGAAGCTTCCTGGACCGCGACGATGTGGACGAATTGTTCCCAAGATCAACGTGGTCTTCAAGCCAATCACAGAAGAGAGACACGGTGGACGCAGATAAGAAAGTGTCTTCCCATGTCCGAGACTCACACGGACAATCTCTCTCGCTGGACAGGAGCAATGTCTTCCAAGAGCTCAGATCCGAAAGCCAGACCAGCGACTGTACCAACACCTTCTGGACTCCCGAATGCCTGCGACGCCTATATGGCGTTACCGATTATGAACCGAGCTCTTCTTCCGGAAGCAGGGTAGCCTGGGCTGCTTTTTTCGGCATGGGAGCCAGATACGAGGATGTTCTTCAATACGAAGAGACTTACAACATCCCACGCCGGAATTTCACCATTGAAATGGTGTCTGGAGGCAGTGCATCTCAAGATATCTCGGACCCTGCGCAAAGACCCAATTTGCACTCGACGGATCTCGATGCGTTCGACATCGTCGCGCTGACGAAAGGGCGCCTTCCTTTATTGCAGTACAGTGTCGGTGGTATGTCGCCTCCGTACAGACCCAATGCAGCTGGACCAACGCAAGATGACAATAGCAATGAGCCATATCTCGAGCTCTTCGAGTACATGCTGGGCAAGACGAACGAAGAAGTACCACAAGTCCTGACAATGTCTTTCAGCGACGATGAGCAAACAGTGCCACTCGAGTATGCGGAGCAGGTGTGTAATGCGATCGGGTTGCTGGGCCTTCGAGGGATCACCGTGATTCAAACACTGGCAGGCAAAGGCCCCGGGTCCGTATGTCTCTCCAATGATGGCGACGAGAGACCCGAGTTCACACCGCAGTTTCCAGCAAGCTGTCCATATATTACTGGAGTCGGAGAAGTCAATCAATCAGATCCATTGGTGACGTGGAACATTTCTTCAGGAGGCTTTTCGAACCTATTTCCGAGGCCTTGGTATCAAGAGGAGGCGACCGAAAGATATTTCGAAAATTACGCCGACAAGGATGCTTTGGAGTATTATCGGCCATTCTTCAACCGATCAGGACGAGCCTCGCCAGATCTGTCCTTGATGGGGTTCTCTCCAGAATACCAGGTAAGACATCCACCCAGCTCGCGCGCGTCAATGCCACCAAATCTGACTTCGAGATAGGGTGATTTCACATCTCCCCGTCCACAGCCAAGCGGCGGTACGAGAGGCAATGCAGCCTGGGCTGGCCTCGTTGCGCTGCTCAATGACTCTCGGTTACGTGCTGGACTGCCTGCGATGGGATTCATCAATCCTTGGCTGTACAAGACGGGTATACGTGGCCTGACTGATGTCACCCAAGGCGGCTCGCTGGGCTGCATGGGCGAGAACATCCAGTTTCATCGGCCTATCTCGGGATCCCAACGCATCCCATGGGTTGGTTGGAATGCAACAGAGGGATGGGATCCGGCCACAGGTCTTGGATTCCCCGATTTTCAGAGATTACAGCGCTTGGCAATGCAAATTGATGTCGATAGGAAGAAGTGTCCTCCGAGATGGTGGAAGTATCCGTGGTACTGGCAGACAGGTATTTCATAGCAATGTGGAAAGTGACTTCTCGGTCACGTAATGCGTGGTTCAATTCAAGAAAGTCGTTTGAGCAAGGTTGAAGTGTGAAGGATGGGAGTGAGGTTCAATTTCAACATACAGGCAGATGCCAAGACAACTCCGCGTCACGTGCACGGTGATGTCAGCAGCGCTTAGCGCGTTTGCGAAACAGACGCGTCAGGACACTCTTCAATCTCATATGTCAACTACTTTTCCGTCGGCGTCGAGAGAAGAGCCCTTTGGTAGTCTTCAACTCCTCCTCCTCCTCCTCCTCGATCGTCAGCATCCGCGCATTCACTTTCCTCGTCGTCCATATCACCAGCGAGAGCAAACGAGTCCTTATCGCCCTCCCGCACCCAAACTGGCTGATATGCTGTCTGAGCCCTCCTTACTTGCAACCAGCGGACCGCCACAAAGAGACAGATACCTTCGAGACAGCCGATGATGATGGTGGAGATAACGAGTCCACTGTCAGATTTCAACCCGCGCAGGCGAAGGCCGGTGACGAGATTGACCCAGCCGGTCAGCATGAAGACTCGGCCGAGCCAGACATGAAGATGCGAAACCCACGTGCGCCGCTTCAAGCGAACAAACCTCGCATGATGCCAGTATCCAAGAAGCCCCTGGGCTCCAACAAGAGCCGCCAGACCAATACCTACGCACTGGTGGACTGTGTCTACTCTGCGGTGTTTCATGAGACCGAGGCTGAAACCCACGAGGATCAGGAAGGATGCCGTCAGCTGAATAGTCCAGTGAATTATAAAGCCTTGTGAAGATCCGCTGCGGAGACCAATCACACCGGCAGGAAGCAGAAGCATGAAAGCTAGTGCCATACTCAGGCCGTGGATGAAAGATCCTGGACCAGAGGCGATTTGTGCGATTGAGCCGCCGGTAGGGAAGACTGAAGATCCTAATTGATCCACATGCGGCCGCACAGGAGGCAATGATGGAGCCACGGGAGCTGTGTTGATCGACCGCTTCATATCGAAGAAGAACCGGCCCCAGCCACCTTTGTCCGCATGATGCTTGTGCATCTGAAGATGAGCATCGAACGCGTACACCTCGAAATCCTGATCTTGATTCCACGCCCAGATCCAAGGCTGAGAGGTTGATTCTGCGGAGATATCTGTGCCAGGCCAAAGATGGCATGAGTAGCAGATAATGGATACCCGAGCCAAGTGGTACGCTGAATTCGTATTGCTTTTGCTCTGAGACAAGTCTGCGCCCGCCATCCAGGCTGAGCTGACCACTCTCAAGTCCATTCCGCGCGGCAGATCAGACTTCTGAAGAAGTGTTGGTTGGGAGTGTCCAGTCGTTGTGCGTATGCTGACAATGGGCTTTTCGTTACCCCGGGGATCTCCGTAAACAATGAACATGAGAGAATCTTTCATCATCGAACCCGGTCCAACAGCTGTCCTGCACGTCAAGTCATTCGGTCGGCTCGCAAGTTAGGGTGTTCAACTCCACAACATACCAGCCCTTTGCAGATTCTTCATACCGACGGACGGTCATCGTCAAGAACAGATCATGGGAGCTGGTAGTGTCGTTGCGAAACGTCAGAGCTCCAACGCAGAAATCCGCTTCTGTTCCAGGACGTTCTCTGGATCCCTTGCGGCAGTACTGAACTGGCTCCGCGGTCACCGTCAAAGCCAACAAAGCCATGACCAAAGCTGTAAGGAAAGGCATGATGGTTTTTCCACTCCGGAACGTCCCCTTTCAATCGATGGAGGGTCAGTTTTGTTACAGTCGCAAGGCTACCGCAGAGACTCGACAATCAACTTTAATCGAATGAGGGTTATCTAAGTCTGTGCCTCTACCTACTTAAGCCCCACGACTGCAGTGGGGTAGGATCAGCTACCTGGCCGCGCCAAGACAATGCCAAGTCGTTCTGCAGCGGGTGCCTGGCGATGACAGTGCATAAGGTGGCTAGCTCCCAAGAACGCACGTGTCTGCGCACAACCCTTTCGCTTCTGATACTTGTTGTGAAAGATGATTGTCCAAGACGATGGCAAGCATCTCATCATCCTGAATCCAATGCGCCGAAGAGATGGGCAGACCGAACATTGCGAATCGACCAAAGGATATCGTCGTCCTCGCTTTCTGCTCATTCACCTTGTCTTTCGCCTCAGCACCGGGATACCTTATCAAAGACAGTCACCCGGTTCCTTCGACATGGCGCACCGTGGCTCGCGCACCAGACGAGCAGCTTGTCCGATTGCAGTTTGGACTGAGAACGGCGAACTGGGAAGCTCTTGAACGCAGATTGCATCAAGGTCGGCGATGAAGAAAGCACCAAAACCTATCTTTGCTGATGATACCAGTCTCGAGTCCCGACCAGTCCACTTATGGTTGTCATGCCTCGAAAGAAGAGGTTAGAGCTCTGATGCAGCCAGACGAGGACTCGATGCGGCTGGTGCAGCACTGGTTAATGGAACACGATATTCACGCCTTCGGTTCCTCTCCTATGGGTGATTGGCTCACCGCGGACGTTAACGTGGCGAAGGCGGAGGCCTTGCTTAATACTCACTACTACCTATTCCAACATGAACTTGATGATAAGGCTACACTGGGAACAAAGCAGTGGTCACTACCAATGCATCTGCATGATCACATCGATGCAGTGCATCCGACCAATGCCTTTTTAAGAGGCTCCACACGTCAGGAAAAACGAACGAAGCGTTCAGAAGTTGCTCCGCTTGGTCTTGGTGAACACGGAATACCCTCTTTCGACGAATTGGTGCAAATAGATAAGACGGAGCACGGCCACATGGACGTCCCAGATGTTATGGTCCTGCCATCGAATGCGCAACCAGACGAAGCCTGTAACTGGGTAGCGACGTCGTCGGTCTGTTTGCGATCAATGTACGGCACGCTAGGTTACGAGACGCGTGCACCACAAGACACCAGCATTGGACTGGTTAACTACCTTGAGCAAACCAATAATCGATCTGACATTGAGCTCTTCCTCCGACGTTACAGACCGGATGCTCAAGGCGGGACAGCAAACATTACCACCAGGGTCATCGCAGGTGGCAATGTGGACCAATCACCCATTACAGACGAAGTATATCGCGCAAACGGTCCTCTAGGGTTGGAGGGCAACCTCAACGCGGAAACGATACTAGGCATATCGTCGCCAATACCTCTGACAGCGTACAATGTCGGTGGAAGGGGCGGATTCGAGAAAACACAGTTCTCGGTGCAGAATCGTAACGAGCCGTATCTAGAATGGCTACAGGACGTACTTGCACAGCCGGACTCCGCCCTTCCCCGTGTCATATCCACTTCGTATGCAGACGAGGAGCAGAGTATACCGTACTGGTACGCCAAGCGAGTCTGCCAAGGCTTTGCAGCACTCGGCCTCCGCGGAGTGTCTGTCTTGTTTGCCAGTGGCGACGAAGGCGTCGGAATGGACGGGAAATGCTGCAGCAGCAAGAACGCAAGCCAGGCGATGTTTCTGCCCACCTTTCCTGCATCTTGTCCCTATGTCACCGCTGTTGGTGGTACAAGAGGCTGGAATCCAGAGATTGTCGGGTTCGATGCCCGCAGCACCTTCGTTTCCGGCGGAGGCTTCAGCAACTACTTTCCTCAGCCCTCATACCAAAGAGATGCTGTGAATTCGTACGTCGACTCGCTCGGCGCGATGTATGAGGGCCTTTACAATCGCTCTGGTCGTGCCTATCCGGATATCTCCGCTCGAAGCTACCACTACATCACGGTCTGGAACGGCACTGCACGTCTCATTGACGGCACCAGTGCTGCATCGCCTGCTGCAGCAGCTATCTTTGCGCTTGTCAATGATGCATTGGTGGCAGAGGGTAAGCCAGCGCTCGGATGGCTGAATCCGTGGCTGTATGCCACCGGACATGCTGGCTTCACGGACGTTACAGCAGGATCAAACTCTGGATGCAACACGGCTGGATTTCCTGCGAAGACGGGATGGGATGCAGCTACAGGATTTGGAACGCCGGTAAGTGAATGGCCGCATCCAAGTGGCTGTGATTTGCGGCTGACTCTCTTGACCTTGCAGTGGTTTCCGGCTTTGAAGGATCTAGCGCTTGGTAGTGCATATCGGGCAGCCAGACCGTGGTACATGCAATCCTAGAGGATCTTGGGCTGATGAAGCTTGACGTGCAGCCAGATGTAACGCCGCGTGGGGCAATATCATATGCAATGAAGCTTAATTGATTACTGTGCAGAGAAGCTTGACATGCGAGCAAAGCTGAACATGCAATGAAGCCTGATTGACCACCATGCAGAGAAGCTTGACACGCGAGCAAAGCTAAACATGCGGTGAAGCTCAATGTGCTCTGAACCTTCCGCGGTTCGCACAGTCAATGGGGTTGAAATGCTATTTATTTCTGGTGGGTCACATTTACGAGATGCAATGAAGCTTGACATGCAGCTATAGTTGGTATGCAAGGAAGCTTTAAACACGCAGCGTACCTTGAACTGCAACGACTGCACCGTTATCCCTGCTCGGCCACGTGCTGATATCAACAAGTCATCCTTCCATGCACAGTCAGGAAGCGTCGCCACTTGCTTCGCTGGATCACACATCTCCATCCGTGTCTTTCAGTGGTAGCTCTGACGCAGTCCAATGCTCGTCTAGCCCTTTCAACTGCTGTCGACAAGCAATGCAGGATGGCTGGCAGCGACGGAGAGGCATACGATGAAGCGGAATTCAAGCAAATCCACGATGCTGCTGTTTCAAACTTCACCTCAGACCCGTACAGACCGCTGGATTTTCGGAGTGAAGATGGCGAACGAATACTCACGTTCCGCGCGGTGCTCGTTGGACTACTTTGTGGCGCTCTCATTAATGCGTCCAATATCTACCTGGGGCTCAAGACCGGCTGGGCAATGTCTGCCAATCTGTTTGCGGTATGCCCTTCAAACCAATCTTCGGGACAGTAATAACTTATAAAAATGATCGATCTAGTCCTTGATTGGATTTGCACTGCTGAAGTCCCCGAGGAACGGTTTACAGTGCTTGCCTTTCATGAGAGGCAGTTTCGGTCCCCGCGAGAACAACATTGTGCAGACGGTAGCGACATCCGCCGGTGGCATGGCAGCCGTCTTCAACTCGGCGATACCAGCCATGTATCAACTGAACCTGCTCAGTACTCCCGCTTCAGATTTCCACAGATTGGCAGCTCTGGTCGCTATCGGGGGCTACCTGGGTCTTTTCATCGGAGCGCCGCTTCGAAGATTCTTCATTGTCCATGCGGCTAGAGATCTGTCACTCATATTTCCAACGCCCTCTGCAACAGCGATTGCTATCCGAGACATGCATGAGGCTGCCGATGACGACTCGTCAATCACCCAGCGCAAGATGCGAGTCTTGACGCAATCTCTCTCTTTTGCACTTGTACTACGGGTCGTTTCGCAGTTTGCAATTGGCCTCTTTTGGGTATGTGTGAACCTTGAAACTCTGTCTCTGGGCTACATTGACCGTGGCGTCAGGACTGGCATCCGTTCGTCTGGTACATGCTTTGGAATCCGGCCAGCACTACTGCGCGGGGCTTGGAATCCTGGGGCTGGTATTTTGAATGGACTCCCGCCTTTATTGGCACGGGCATGCTGGTGGGTCTTCCTACGGCATGTTCCTTTTTCGCTGGATCGCTGCTGGCCTGGTGGGTGCATTGAGACCCTTGAAACTTCCCAATTGCTGAGTGTCCTCATCAAGGGGCGTAATAGGGCCATTCCTCGTATCCAAGAGCCTAGCCTTTGGAGAACTCTTGCCTGGGTCTAACTTGGTTTCGTACTACTCTATGTCTGCAGACTTCACGACCGCAGACCATGCAAGTCCCAGATATTGGCTGATCTGGCCGGCCGTTGCCTGTATGCTAGCAGTGTCTTTGACAGGTTGGTACTTTCACGTGTATAGGGCAGGGTAATTCGCTTACCAATTACGCAGAAATTGTCTGTCAGTGGCGCCTGATCTGGATTCTTTCGAAATCAATCTGGTCCTGGTTCAAGCAGTGGAGTACTCCAAGCGGCTCGAAGAGAAAGGAAGGCTCTGCGATCTCGGATGATCAAGTAGGCCTACACATCTGGCTCCCAGGCCTGATCGCAATAGTGACGACGGCATGCTTGCTCATGAACTCCATGTTCGGCATGCCAGTTCGTGAGACTATGCTTGCGGTGTCGATGTCGTTCCTGTTTACAATCCTCACCGTCCACGCTACCGGTACAACAGACATCACACCCTTGACCGGAGCATCTGCAGCGACCCAAGTTGCTCTAGCATCAGAAACATCAAACCGAGGCTGGGCACCTCCAAAAGTCCAGCTGCTCTCCCTTCTCGGTGGTACTTTGACTGCTCTCGGGGCTAGTCAAGCATCTGGTACGTTTCAATTTCAACACTCTCTTACACATTCAGCTGATTATTCCCCAGACCTCACCGCCGATTTTCGAGTCGGCTTCCTGCTGCGAACGCCAGCCCAAACCCAATGGCTAGCCCAAGCAATCGGCACGGCATTCTCATGCATTGTCGCACCAGGCATCTACATCCTTTTCAACTCCGCATACAGTTGCATTGGTGATGGGAATGCGTTACAGTGTCCATTCCCGGCACCGGCAGCATCTGCCTGGCGGGCTATCGCCACAACGGCACTGAGTCCATCCGACAGCATTCCCCGCTCTAGCATGTATTTCTCAGCTTTCATGGCCAGCCTGGGAGTGATTGACGTTCTCCTGAAGCGTTTCCTCTGGACTGGGCGTTGGTCGTGGATACGTGATTTCCAGCCAAATCTGATGGTTTTCTCCATGGCTTTCATGCTTCCGGCAACTATCTACAGCAGCTCTATGGCTTTGGGGGCGCTGCTATCGTGGGCGTGGGCAAAGCACAGTCCTGCAATGTTTGGAATGTATGGGCCAGCGGTGGCGTCGGGATTCATAGCAGGGGAGGGTATTGGAGGAGTTGTGAACGCAGTCTTGCAAGTTTGCGGAATTTCTGGGGATTCTTGGGGAACTTCGGTTGGATGTCCTGCCGGTCACTGTTGATTATACTCTACATACAAAGACCTTCTCAGACTTGCGCCGTTGCCTCACAGCGAATCAGGAGATTCTGGTCATTGATGCAGGTCAACGTCCTTTGACATGTCTGTGTCATGGCCGTTGTGGAAGTCACTGGCACCTTTTGACTTCAAACAGCGGGACGGGATCGTCCTGGGCATGGTATGATGCCAAATTCGACTTAACAGTCAATGCCGACTCTTGCTGGTCCTCCACATATCATGAACGCCATACTCGGAAGCTGGGCTTTCTCTACATCGACAAGACGGGATCCAATGAAGCGATAATGAGATTTCCAGAGTCAGCGGTGACATGACGATGCGCATACAGTGGATTGAACGATTGAGGAAACACGAACGTTTGACACTGCACAGCCTTCATTTCGCAATCTACTGGAAAATTCAGAACCTGAACAACCCCCCGTCCGTCCAATGACCTTGCAGCTGCGTCGTCACGCAACCGTAGTAAACGAATGAGATAGGTCTTAGCGCACATCTCTCAGAAAGCAGCTCCACCGTTCACCAGAATCTGATTCGTCTTGCTCCTCGTAGCTTTGACCACACGTCGCCGGCCGGTTCGACTCCTACCTCGGGGCATGATGGTAGATAGGTTGAGGCCAAGAAACAAGTCGGGTTATCCACTTAGTCGACGACGTATGCGGAGGCAGTGTCAGCGTCCGAACGCTTGTCCACGACGTAGGCGGAGGCAGTGTCGGCATCGGATCGCTTCTTGTCGACGACGTACGCAGAGGCAGTGTCGGCGTCAGATCGCTTCTTGTCGACAACGTAGGCGGAGGCAGTGTCGGCATCGGATCGCTTCTTGTCGACGACGTACGCAGAGGCAGTGTCGGCATCAGAGCGTCTGTCCACAACGTATGCGGAAGCAGTATCGGCATCAGAGCGCTTCTTGTCAACGACGTACGCAGAGGCAGTGTCGGCATCAGATCGCTTCTTGTCAACAACGTACGCAGAAGCAGTGTCGGCGTCAGAGCGTCTGTCTACAACGTACGCGGAAGCAGTGTCGGCGTCGGAGCGTCTCCTGTCGACGACGTATGCGGAAGCAGTGTCGGCATCAGATCGCTTCTTGTCGACAACGTATGCGGAAGCAGTGTCGGCATCAGAACGCTTGTCGACGACATAAGCGGAGGCAGTGTCGGCGTCAGAGCGCTTGTCGACAACGTAGGCTGAAGCAGTGTCGGCATCAGAACGCTTGTCGACGACATAAGCGGAGGCAGTGTCGGCGTCAGAGCGCTTGTCGACGACGTAGGCGGATGCAGTGTCAGCATCAGAGCGCTTGTCAACGACATATGCGGAAGCGGTATCGGCATCGGAACGCTTGTCAACGACATAGGCCGATGCGGTATCAGCGTCCGAGCGCTTGTCAACAACATAGGCCGAAGCGGTGTCTGCGTCCGAACGCTTGTCGACGACGTAGGCTGAGGCAGTGTCCGCATCGGAACGCTTATCCACGACATATGCGGAAGCTGTGTCTGCATCCGAGCGCTTCACTGGCACGGCATCTAGTAGATTTCAACGGAGTTAGCTTGAAAGTCAAAGTGGTATACAGCTGGCCTACACACAAGGAGGAAGGAGTGGACGAAGAGGTGGTGCAAGTGGGAACGTACAGCCAACTGCAGCCAAAGCCGCGATCACGGCCAAAACGCTGGTCTGCTTCATTTTGTTGGAGAGCGAGTGATGTTCTGGTGTCGGTGGAGTTTGCTTGCTTTCTGGCGGAAGTGTTTGATGGCTACGTAAAGCACGCAGCCACGTTGTGCTATATATGCTTGATCTGGAATTTCTTGTGACTCTGCATGCTATCGAATTCGAATGTCCAGTTGAAGCAACTCTGTCAGTCTGCTCCCATTGGCCTGAAATCCTACCATTTCCATCCTGCCCTCGCCAATGGAAGGCGATGGTACCAGTTCTGACACCTGTCTCCGTAGAGCAAGGAACAATCCCTTGCTGCCCTGTCACCAGTTGTCAGCAGTCTGCGCAGTAAAAGCTCCCCCTAGTTCGAGGCCAATGTGAGCTCGGACCATGGTGTGGACAGAAGAGGTTGACAGTACATCAAGCTTCCCTAGAACAGTGTGTGTAAGGCAACTGTGTGAAGCCCCGTTAATCTCTGACAGAGCAGGAGGATTCACGCCAGTGGAAATCTCGCCATGTGACAAATCTCGCACCATGAGTGGAGAAAGCAGACTCAATCTCGCAACTTCCATCCAAGGCGAATTGCAAACAGACGAGAGACCAGAAGTCGCAGAGAAGCTATCGTTACCTCCCAGAGCATCGTAGTCAATTTGCCTTTTCTCCACTACCCTTGCAACATCGTTCACATCGCAACGTGTGATGGAGGCTTCTTTGCCATCCGATCGCCCCTCTATCTCATCAGAGACCGATTCAACGATGATAGGGTCGCCCCAAAGGCGAGATTGTGATGCTTTCGACGACTTTTCCGAGAAGACTTCGAGATCAAAGACCGGGTGGAGGAGATATCTACCAAGTATCATTATACATATCACAATCCTCTCTGTCTACCTATCGTTGGCAACACTTGCAGTCGACTCTTGGACAAAATCGAAGACAACAACCACCGGCATTATCAAATGTACGCTTCTCCCAGACAGTCCTTTTTCCCGATCTTCGTCACTAATGTCACCGCCTAGCTCCAGCAAATGAAGCACTAAGGTGGTCCCTGCAAGAGTTCCACTCAGGCGATGGTCATGAAGGTCCGTACTCTGGGCCGCCGCGACCAGAACTAGAAGAGGCGTGGGAGCAACTTCTGGGCAGTGAGCATATTGCCTACCGAACAAGTGGTGGCACGATTTGTTGACACTGGAATCAGATATGAATGTGAGGATATCTCATGAAGACCTCAAAGCAATTGGTCGAGAAGATGATGCGGTTGAAATGCCAGATGGCTCGGGATACGTCGGGACACTCAACGTATATCATGAGATACACTGTGTGGTATGTGTTTCTATCGTGGCTATCTTCTCGAAAGAGGCAGCTGACACAGTGGATAGAGATGGATGTACATTTATGTGTACCAGGATCACTATTATCCAGACGCTGACGAGGAAATGCGTAACATGAACCGACTACACTCAGGTGTGTACCTGCGCTTTACGGAATTGTCAAGTGTTGAACTAATCAGACTGCCAATGTTCAGAACACTGCCTCAACCACCTCCGAAAATCAGCAATGTGCCACGGCGACGTAGGCATCATACCCTACCGTTGGGGAAACAACAGTCGGATTCCACTGGCATCCGCAACGGGACATCAATGTATCGACTGGTCTCGATTCGCAGCCTGGACTGCAGACAATACAGTGAACATGTTTCGACCGGGTTGGCTCGTCCATCCAACTATGGGTACGTCTTCATCCAAATGACTTCTTCAAGAACTGCAAAACTAATCAGAGTGTTCGCTGGCAGGAGTTTCATACGTAGAGGGCTATCGGCCCGATCTGAGGAACCCTTGAAAAGTTAGCGGGAATTGATTGCCATCTTTGGCGAACGCATCTAGCGGCGCACCAATTAGCTGTCAGCCTCGATAGATTAGCCCTTAATCACAAGACACGTTGATAACCTTGTTCATGTCTATTCTTTTGCTGAAGAACAATAACGAAGTTCTAATCATTGTTCCACCGGGTGACTCTGTTCTCCGAAAGCCATGTCGATGCTGTCTGTAGTCTACATCGATGGATGCGAGTTGCGCAAAAGCTTTCGTCGCGCACGAAGCGGAGCCGAGGCAGAACTACTGCACGGCTGCGTGGTTATCTAAGTGCACAGCATGACAATGCATGAAGGGGAGGTTGGGTCATGTGATGCGGGTCAACCTGAGAGCAGTCGTTCTCCTCGTGATTTCAAAGACTCCACCAGTTCCTACATCGCCGTTGGAGAATATTCGTATTGCTGGACGGTGTGCATCAGAGATGGCCACCCTGCAAACATCTGAGAAGCCGAAGCTGGTCGTTGAGCCTTCAGAATCGAAAGACACCGACGAGAAAGGTAGTAGCACGGACAAAAGCTCTCAGTCAAGTGAAGATGAGGAGAAGCGGTTTTTGGCAAGTTTCGTACTGCTTGGATGAGATGAGTTAAATAATAACGAATTCAGGTAACTTGGGACGGCGACGCGGATCCCGAGAACCCGTTAAACTGGAGCTCTGTTCGACGATGGATTATCACCCTGCTCTGCTCTCTAGGCGGCTTCGTGACAATGATGTCCGGCGCCATGATTGCACCAGCGCTTCCAGAACTTTCACGAGACCTCGACATGTCTGAAGCCACGGCAGGGCTTGCTTTGTCGGTGTTCATTCTCGCATTCGCGTTCGGCCCCATGATTTTGGGGCCGTTGTCTGAGATTTATGGCCGCCGTCCGGTGTGGCTAATCAGTGGACTTTGGTATTCGGTCTTCAACATCATGTGTGGATTCTCGCACAACAAAGGCACTATGATTGCGGGCAGAATTCTTTCCGGGTTTGGCGGGAGTGTGGACTTTGTCGTAAGTGTTGGGAATCAATGGCGTAATATCCCTACTCACGTACTTTTACAGATATCTTATCCCGTGCTCTATGATATCTGGAGACCAGAAGAGAGGGGCAAGTCGATCGCCATCAACAGCGTCTTGCCAATGCTTGGACCCGCACTTGGCCCATTTCTCGGAGGAGTGCTCACACAAGCCGCCGGATGGAGATGGCTCTTCTGGTGGGCCGCCATTTTCAATGGAGTCTTGGTCTTTGTAGCCATCTTTCTTTTTCCTGAAACCTCGTCAGCAAAAATTTTGGGCAACAAAGCACGGCGTCTCCAAAAGCAAACAGGCGCGCCATACCATACAGAGTATCACGCTGCGGACTCAAAGCTATCCGAGAAGCTTTACGTGAGCTTGAAGAGACCGGTCAAGATGCTGTTCCTACAACCCATTCTACCTCTGGTGTCAATCTACATGTCGTACAACTTCGGCGTGTTGTACGCATTTCTGTCGACAAATTCGTTACTTTACACGGAGAAATACCACGAAGATACTCTAACCAGCGGCCTGCACTATCTCGCCCTGGCCGTTGGGTATACTATCGCTCAACAAGGAGGAGGAAGACTCATGGACCATATGTACAAGCTGCTGAAGAAGAGGCATGGTGGTGATGCAGCCGTGCCGGAGTGGAGAGTTCCAAACATGATTCCCGGAAGCGTCTTGATCCCTGTGGGACTGCTCTGGTACGGCTGGTCAGCAGAAGCTCGATTGCATTGGATCATGCCCGACATTGGAGCAGCGATCTTCGGCTGCGGGTTTATTCTCAGCACAGTCGCCATGCTCTCATATCTTCTCGACTCCTTGCAGAAATATACGGCCTCCGCAAGCGCTGCTGGGCAGTTGATGAGAATGATTGCAGGATTCGCCTTTCCCATCTTTGCACCGGCGATGTTGAACAAACTTGGCTGGGGCTGGACAAATACAGTCTTTGCGCTGATCGCTATAGTCTTGGGTATCCCTGGGCCATTGATACTTTGGAGATATGGTGCAAAGATAAGAGCGATAGGTAAAGCACTATAGAAAGTAGCAAGTCTGTGTAGCAAGTCTGTAGTGCATAGAAGCATGTTCGAGGTCGACAACAATGCTCTCAACAAGGAACTATTAGGAGTCTCAAAAATATTATCACCAAATACAAATATAAGCTACTGCATATTCCAGTACCATGGACGCTGCTCCCGAGAGCGGCGGGCAAGTGCCAGTTCCTTGAATCGCGGAAACCAAGGTGTTCCAAACCCGCTGGCTGGATCCCAGCCTTTACTAGCAGGAAATCCATCAGTGTCACATCCTTTTGTCGAGCCCATTGTCATGTCTCGAAAGGCTTCGAAGCCTGCGGAGTACAGCCTGGAGGGACAGGTCAGGAACTCTCATGATCTCAAAAGCGATATAAATGCTTACCATGGATTGAGGAAACCGAGCGTAGGTTTGCCCTCTGCAATCAGCGCATCGTTGACTAGAGCCACAATTCCAGCGAATGTAGGCGCTGATACACTGGTTCCGTCAACCAAGTAGGTATTGCCATTCCAGACCATAGCACGCCGGTAGCCGTTGACAGCCACGTCAGGATATCCCCGTCCTCCGGCATTATAGAGACCACTGTACTGTCCTTCTCCAAAGCTTCCGTTTAAATATGCGTCGACAACGCCGCTCTTGTGCTGATATTCTGGACGAGAGAAATACTTGCTGAACCCTCCTCCGCTCACAAACCCGTTGCGATCGTTGTAAGCTACCGTCTCTTGACTTCCAACACCCCTGGTAGCACCCACGGAAGTTCCGTACGGACAGGAAGCAGGAAAAGACGTGAGGAACTCAAACGCTTCCGAGCCATTATTCGATTGACAGTAGCCTGGCTTTCCAACTCCTGAATCCCCCGCACCGAATATGACTGTGACTCCACGTGCGCCTAGCTGAGCGAAGCTATCGCAAATTCTCTTTGCGTAGTCGTAGGGTACTGTTTGCTCGATATCGCCGTAGGAAATGGAGATCACGTTTGGTAGGTTTTCGAGCGCGAGGATGTAGTGTAGCCACTTGAGGAACGGCTCGTTCGTATTCGTTGGGGTGTACTCGTCGGGGTGGAATGCTGGAGATATGCCGGCCACTGAGTAGGCAATGAAAGGTGTTGGAAATGCGACTCCCATTTGAACTTGGGCGTCCATGTTACCTTCGCGTCCTTGCTTGTGCTTGAGCTGGTCTGGGGAAGCTGGTGTCTGTTGATTGATTGCTCCATCGATATTGATCGTTCCAAACGAAGTAGCTGCTCCTGCTTGGGCGGCGTCTGGTCGGAACTTTTCGAAGAAGATTTGTATATCGGATCGGTTGTTGAACTCGCCTGCGAAGTTTACGATTCCCATTGAATTTCTTTCGGCTGCTTTGACTTCGTAGTCGAAAGTCCCGTAAAGCTTGCCAATGCATGTGGATGTCACCGCTGAGGCGTTGCAGACCTGCTCCGCCGACCCATTTGGTAACTGATCCAGTGCCATGAGCTCAGACATTTCTTGCTCGGACAACCCCGTGGCGACTTGATTGAGACTCTCGACCTTTTCAGGTTCATCCACTACGGCTGATTCGTGGGAATTGCCTCTTCGATCCCTTGAATTCATACTGGAGGGCTGAGCCCAGAGAAAGGAATCCGTGGGCTGGATAGTGTCGATATGATCTGCTAATCGTGGAGGGACTGACCATCTCGCAGTCCGAACAACGATAGCGTTGATTTCTTCGTGTAGATACTCAGAGTAGTCTGCTTCGAGTAACACATTCGCTTGCTCAACGGTTACTTCGAGTGTGTACCAGTCCCCACCTGGACTAGATGAAGCCTGTGAGGTCGAGATACCAGCCTGATCGAGCCATCCCTGGAGCAGACTAAGGGTATCATCGGAGGGTCGAACCAGATCTCGAATTGATGACGCCGAAAGATATTGTCCATATTGAGGATGCCATGGATCAGACACCATAGAAGAATCAGCACCCGGCCAATGTGAACGTCTTGCGACATACCTTGGTCTACCAGCCGCATCAACTCATCTCGACCAGCCTGTCTGAGACCGACATTGAGCTCGATCAAATGATCTTGCGCTGCTCTGCCAATGAGCCGATAGCCAGCGGCCTCTTTGGGTGCAGAGTGACTGAAATGGGTCGCGGTACTGAGTGATGCCAGAAGCATCAAACTCACGAGCAGGTGACATTTTGCCATAACGAAACATTACTCGTCACTCTTCTCTCAGGATCAATCTCAATATCCTCGCTAGTCTGTAGATGCCATTTCGCAGATGGTTTGCCACGTGCCAGGGTTGAGGTTGCTGGGATGTAAGCGTGGTCCGAAGGATTCACGCTAATGCACTGTCAACGCTTCAGAACTGCAAAGTACAACGAGCTTACATGGACATCTGAGAGGCTTGCACTTTCAGGCGAGTGACCTGATGTAATGTCAAGCCTGGGAACAAGCTGCTCGTACGGTCACAGGGTCCTAGGTTGAGTAAGTCGTCGGCTTCTGTTCCTCGAGCTAGCAACGGTGGTGTTGAGTCTTTCCATTCCACTCTCTGGAACCTGACTTTCTGCAATTCGTCTGCAACATACCATAGTCCATTTGACGAGACGAGCAATGATGCACCTCTTTGCAAGAGCGAGCCGAGCGGCCAAACTCTCAGATGTCCACTACTCGCGAGTAAGACGTTCTGACGAGAGCCCTTCAAAAGAGGGTCTGCTCCAAGACGAGCAGGACTACGTGCTCGAAGCGCGCCCATTCTGGACTCGTTACCGAAGTCTGATCCTCGCACATGTTGTGCTGTTGGGACTGTATCTTACGTCAACGATCTACCTGGTCAGAGAGCTGCACTTACGCACATTACACGGTCCCAGATTGGTAGACAGTGAGAAGGTCCGATGAACACCCAAAAGGACACACTACTGACGCAGCGTAGGTCCTGCCTGGGATGCTGTCCATCTACGGCAGCAGACCTTCACGCTCGGCGACAGAATTCAAGAGCATAGTAGATTTTCTGGCAAGCCTAGCCCTGAGGTGGATAGGGCATGGCACGACCTGCTAAATGGTAAGAGATGACTTTTCGAATCGCAAGGCTTGACTCACACTGAACAGACGAAAACATCCGGATCGAGCCAGAAATCATGAAACGACTCGGCCGCGAAGACATCGGCGTCCGGGTGCCTGGAGAAGACGCATACATTGGAACTCTGAACGTGTACCACGAGATCCATTGCTTGGTATGTTCTTTCACGATCACAATCAGCCGGAGTGAAGTATAGAGAGCTGATGAGTCCAGAAACGCATCCATCAGTACATGTATCAAGACACATACTTTCCCGGGATCGATGACAAGCAACGCGAAATGAACCGACTTCACAACGGTAAGAGAGGTCTCCCCTCTTCCTTGATCGGATCCGCTGATTGATATGACACGCAGAGCATTGCATCGACTTTCTGAGACAGAGTGCTATGTGTCATGGCGACGTTGGCCTCATCACCTTTGAGTGGAGTCCTTCGAATCGCATCCCGGTCGCCAACGCCACGACACATCAATGTGTCGACTGGAACCGGTTGGACAAATGGACCAAACAGCGATCGCTGGACATGTTGAAGCCTGGCTGGCTAGTCCATCCGACTCTTGGTAAGGCATATCCAATCCGTGTGATGTTCATCAGAGACTGACGATGACGTTTCTTGTAGGGCTTGCATATCCGCAGGGCGAAGGCGACAACATTGGTGCTGCAGCTTCTCCGTAGTAGTACATAGACTCAGGGGCGCTGTCACGTATGGGTAGTTGACTTTTGCCTGTAATTATCCATATGCAAGAAGTTCCTTGCCTGAAGGCGGAGTAACACGTCGATAATCAGCGTCCTGTCTCGAGTATCTCTCGTGGTGATTCGAGAGCTTCACGAGATGATCGGTTCTGGCCCCTGCGGTCTCTTGAAGGTCCTGCTCTTCCAGGCGAAAGGCAGACTTGGCGCTGCGCGTCGATTGCAACCAGCAGCTTTTGTGATTTCACCATCCATACATTTCCGATGTTCGCTTGAAATCATGGAGAACTCGTGATGCACAGCCTCTCGATGCAATGGAGGAACAACGGTGGCTTCTCTCGGCAAGCTGGCCTGCAATATAGCTCTAGAGTGTCGTGCTTGCTGATGGTATAATGCTGTACGTATGCCGGGAGCGCTGTGAATTGCACAAGATAAGACCGAAAGTGGTGTACCAGCCAAGATTGTTATCTCTGCTTATGTATTATCAAAACGCTAGTGAGGTTTAGTTCTGCTTCACCTCGCCTCGCCTCTTCCTGCTCCCCCTTTTCCATTACCACATCAAGATTAATACCTTACTCTTATCCCTCAACATGCAGCCTTTCCTCTGTCTTACAAGATCTGAAAGGTTTATTGGAGCATTCGCAAGTGCACGACCCCACCACCACGAATATGAGCTGCTCCGCCCACTCCCGGCAGCTGTGCAGCCTTGCAGCTCAGCCTCACAGCAGAATTGAAGCTCAGCCTCACAGCTCGAGACGTCTTGCTTTGAACTTGATTCATTTCCTTCCTTCGAAAGGAGTATGACCGGCACTCGAAACTCTTCCATAGCTAGGTCAGCAGGAACCCGAGCTCAGCAGCCTCTCACACAATCCGAAGGGCGTGCTTTTCCCCGGCGGGCCCACGACTCTCGAGCATCTTCGCAATTGGCCATCCAAAGTAACTGCGACCTTGCGACATGGTCTGCGCTACATGTCAAAAGGTTCTACTGCGCCAGTCAAGTCCGTACGAAGTCGATATAGGGGGATACGGAACGAAATTCCCTCATCACCTCTCTGCTGATAGTCTTCGCATAGCCGCTGAAGATGAAAACTGTTTCGTATGCAGCAAGGTCTGGTCAAAATAGCGTTCCTTGATCAACGAAACGTCAGATGACACGGAACTTCCTGTTGAACAAAAGTCGCGCGCTTGTGCGGACCAGCAGCCAGTCACGAGTGCCAACATCACCTTAGACGACCACACCGGGCAATTCACGATAGTTTATCGTGGAATGGCTCCGTTGCATGAGTCGGTGTCTTTTACCCTTTGCTGTGAGGGGCCCGTACCGCAGAAAGTCAAAAGACGAGCGTCTGAATTACCATTCGGTCTGCTACAGAATTGGATCAGCTTGTGCTCAACAACTCACAAGAACTGTAACCAGCATGAGCCTCGCCAAGGATGGAATCCCACGAGGCTTTTGTATCTTGAAAATTCACAAAATGATGTCATAAGTCTCGTGGACACCACGGACTCCTCGGAGGAGATCACATATCTGACTTTGAGCCACTGCTGGGGGCACGGAAAGTTCTTGAAGTTAACTCCTGACACAGAACAGATTCTGAAGGAGGGAATACATTTGCGAGATCTCCCAGCAACGTTTCAGCATGCGGTAGGAGTTGCGCATTTACTTGGATATCAATTCCTCTGGATCGATTCCTTGTGCATCATGCAAGACCAAGCGGATTTGACGGACTGGCTGAGGGAGTCCTCTGCCATGCACAAAGTTTATGGACATGCGTTTATTAACATCGCAGCTACTGGAGCAAGTGACAGCTCAGAAGGTCTCTACGAGGACAGCTACATCGATTTTTCCCTGTGTGAACAAGTTTATGCGACTGTGCCCGATAGCAGCGGTGATTCTGCGGAATTGAAGCTTTACACCTTGTTTGATGGCTCATTCTGGGAAAGTCAAGTGTCTTCAGCCCCTCTCAACAGGCGAGGATGGGTTCTACAAGAACGATTGCTCGCGAAAAGAGCTATTCATTTCGGAAGGAAGCAAGTATTGTGGGAGTGTTGCGATATGGACGCCGCCGAAGTGTTTCCGGAAGGACTGCCAGCTTCAATGAAAGGAATGTATGTTACGGGATTCAAAAGTTTCGACCCTACCGTGAAGGTACCCAAAGCCTTCGGATACCGCGGTCAGAGGTCCTCGGCGAACAAGATCTGGTGTCGCATCGTTTCAACATATAGCCACTGCAAGCTCACGAATCCGGAAGACAAGCTAGTTGCTATATCAGGCATTGCAAGACGCATGGAGAGTATCATCCAAGATAAGTACCTTGCTGGCATGTGGCGGCAGACTTTGGCGGGCGAACTTTTTTGGGTGGCCCATGAGATGGGTTCGCACCACCGTTCTTCGGTGTATCGAGCACCCACTTGGTCATGGGCGTCGATCGATGGAGCTATACACATGGAACCTGTGCCCGATCGGGGCTCACGTTACACTGTCAAGCATTGTCATCTCGACTATGTCTCAAGCGACCACACTGGTCTACTCAGAGGCGGCGAATTAGTGCTCGAGGGGATCATCAAACGCATCACCATTCAGTCAAATCTTCATCCCCCAAGATGGGTGCTTGGAGTGAATGGTCATGATTTCTCTTCCCAATTCATGAGTTCTTCCACTTTTGTGAACGATGTCGCGCTGGATGACGATGAATATGACTTTGAAAAGGACAGTCGGGACGGGCGGCTGTATCTCATGGAAGGCTCCATTCACTTATGGCCGTTCGAACTGTTCAATCTCCTACTACGCTGCGAAGATCCAATGACCGGCACATTCAGTCGTTTTGGAGTCTCGACGCATTTTGGCTTTGATCTCGAGAAAAGGGGCGCCTTGCTTGCCAGAGACCCAGAGGAGAGCAGACTACCATGCGTTCGATGGGATGTAGAGGAGAAGATGCACACGATACGGGTAATCTAAGCGAGCGGACAGCTCGATATAGATCTGACGAAGGTTCGTCTCGCGCGCGTGTTCCAATCTCTTTGAGTTTTCACGTTCTCTCGGTGTGAAACTTCGGAGTCTACCGGTCTAGATCTATATAGTCGCTTCAGAATCCATACTTGCTCTTGTCAAGGCTTGACTTGGAACAAAAACGAATCACTATCATGTGACGTCTAGACAACGAAGGAGAATCCTTGGCGGCATGCTCGGGGGCTGAGCCCATCACTGACCAACCGCCATAAAAGCTTGTAGCAGGAGTTTGACTCCAACAAAATACATGTGACCTGACACGCAATTCAGTCAATAGCGATTGCTAGCTATCTCACAGACTCGGCGCCCGGCAGAAGTTTTGAAGGCGTGGATTGGGCGATGCTTGGCATTACTTGTCCGTCTTGTGGAGAGATTAGGAAGAGGAAGCTTGTTTATATCCTCTCCGTCCATACGCGTACGATTATTTCAGACGAGTTCGAATCCGTCATGGCTGGTACGACATCTTACGATCAATATCTTGCGTCGAACCTGCACGAATCTCGCTACGTAACCAAGCAACGTGCTACATTAGGTCAGAAGCAAAGATGTTGCGTATACACGTGAAAGTCCTATTCTCTAGAGTCCTATTGGCTGGCTCATACTCTGAATCAGACTTCGTGCGTGCCACTAGTAATGATGGGTCACTGATGGGTCCAAGATGCATGCCATCTCGTTTAGACAGCTCTAAGTTCGGGGAACGTATACCTCCACAGCTTTACAAGCAGCCATCTCGCGAGCGAGATGTCTCAGATCCGGTTTTCATTCTCAAAAACATCATCGAGGCTCCAGAGTTTGGCTGAAGAACTATCAAGATGTCAGCCACAGCTCCAAACTGGCTCGGCCAGGGCGATAAATGCCTGGAAACTCGCCGTAGCCTCTTTGTCGCCCTGCAATCCATTCCCGGCCTCTGTCCCCCCCCCACGTCGGCATCGTCAAGAGAACATGGACCATCAATGGAATGCTCATGGTCTTCTGCGCTTTCGCAGAAGTCCTCGTCTGCTAGGTGCTCTAGGCACATAAAGTCAGCTTTGGAATCTACACGCTCCCTTTCGCTGAAAGGCTTGGGCCGGTCGTTACCATGACTTATGAGCTGGAACGGAGTGCCTTGCTATCGGCTGATGTTAGCCAAAAGATTTTTCAAGAGCACGATGATCTACCTTCAGTTTTGTCCTTGCAACTAATACATTTACGCTTGTTGCCGGAGCATACCTAACGAGGATGAGCTTTCGTGCCTAGGCGCTCTTTATTCCACTTTAGTTGACGTTTAGTGATTGCATTGGAACGTACAGGCTTTGAGGAGGGGACTTCTTATACAAGCTCGGTGTTGTTGATTACTCTAGAAGGTATGTCATCCATGTGTCATCTAGAATTGCCGCCTTCATCGGATCGTGGTGGATTGGACTAAGACTGGGGCAAGATTGGAGGAATATTCAGCCAAACCATGTATTGCTCTTCATGATCTCATCTATTCTCAATCATCTAAGTCTCTGCCGGTGAATAGATTTCCGCGCTCAGTTCTGTCTTCATGTCATTCGGTATGTCTTGGCGCCAAGGCTGTCACATGTCACCGCTAGTCGACCGCCGCCATGACGCATACAGCTGCGAATACCCGTCGAGTAACTTCTCAGAGCTCTGAATGAGAGTAGAAGCCGAGAAGCAGAAGCTGAAAATTGACGAAGTAGCTCGCCAGGCATCGAAGCATTATAATGGACAAATTGTTCAAGTGCGCATCTCATCGACGTTGCCTTGTGGAGGACCATCTCAGCAAAACGCGGCGAGGAGAATCAAACCCAATATTTATGCTTGCGAATATTCAGATACAACGGCAAAACAAGAGCTAATAGTGAGTCCTGCGAACAAGGCACCGCTGGTAGAGCATTCAGAGAAGGCGTTCTGATGGAGCAGAGTGCTGTAGACGCAAATGCCGGTATCTGTTATGCATACAGATTGCGTTCTTCAAGGGCGGCCTCCTCCACACTTGATCCACCTCAAGGCATTCAAAGCGTTCTGCTTTCAAATCCAAGCGGAAAGCGACCCTCGGATTCCAAAAGCAGACACCAGTGAAAGGTCAATGCGAGAGACTTTATGCCGCTGGAGAGTGTCTCGTAGCTGACGAGCAAGAATGTCTCCAAGGCGCCAGCACAGGTCGGCGGTAAGAACGTGATACTGCATACAATCTGTGTGTTGCTCTTGCGCCCTTCGATACTTCTTCACGCACCAGCTTCCCTAGGCGAGTCATCTTCTCCGCCTGAGGAGTCCTCATCTCCATTCGAACCTTCTTCTTCAGGCGAGTCATCTTCTCTGTCTGAGATGTACTCCTCTTCACCCGACCATTCCTCTTCGTCCGATGGGTACATCTCCCTGTACCATTGATCTTCTCCTTCCCAATCAGGATGATAAGCCTCGTAAGGCAATGCCCGTAGCTCGAGGATATTAGAGTATCTCATACGGAACCACCTCAACTCGTCGTTGATCCCGTAACGATGATCCCAAAGAACTGAGACATCGTGGTCATGAACGCCTTTCGCACGCCTTCGAGCGTGGGTCTTCACAAGCCAAACTGTCGGGGATTTAGTCTTGGCATTCCATCGAACGGACAATAACGGTATTCTCGAAGCCAGTGGTTGGATTTCCATTCATAAGATAATTCATCCTCAGCAGCACTCTTGGAACCATGCAAAAAGGGCTCGCTATACCTTCGAGGGCGACGAAGAGTTCTTGAGCTCCTCTCTACGAGACGCATGATGCCACCACAATCATCTTGCGGCCTTTCCATTTCGTCTCTCAGAGGATCAGACTCAAAAGAGCTTTGCCGAGCTCGTTGGTTGGCCTTTTCGTCCGCACTGGTCCTGGAGTAGATAGTAACCAGACAAATGTATTCCCAACGCCATACTTCTTGTGATTCTTCCGGATAGTAATCTGGCCACCAACATACGGTATTGACACTGTATTTTCCATTACCCTGGAACGATCCAGGAGGGATCTGGAGCTCATAGATAGGTACTGTGGTCAGATGATATGCTTCCACTGCCCAATCTTCCACATCCGGACCAAATATGAGCCTGTCAAAGCGGAAGTCGATGCCATTGAAGCCGCGGGGATGCGACGTGCTCCAGATCTGATATTCCTTCTGTCCATAGATGCGCAAGTCTGTCCCTGCTGTCTGCATGAGTCTTGCCCATGTACGTACAAACTCGGTCGGTAATTGCGCCCCGCACCGGACCAAGCCTCTCATAAGCGGCGTGAGACCATCCATATTCTTGTGGTGAGGATCCGCCCCACAATGGACTAGTCCTTTTGCGAAGTCCGCGCGTTCAGATGAGGGTGTTCCCCCCCAAGCCAGGCTGTAAGCGAGCGCATGTAGAAGCGTGTCTCCATTTTCGTCTTGTGCTGATGCGATTCTTCTATTGGTGCTTCGAGAGCCTAGCATCTCCAGGAGACGAGTTGGTTCATTATTATTTACGAAGCATGCAAGCATACACCGTAAGCTCAAATCTATACGCCCACGGCTGATATTCGAATGCAAATGTATCTTGGACCAGACTCTGGCAACTTTCAGGACAATCTGACCAAAAAGATTTGCGCCGAAGCTGTTGTAGGTCTTCACCGAGTCCTGGCTCAGTCAAGAGTAGGCGGTACATCTCACGTGCCTCATTCATATTCGCGTATTTGTCTATCCTGGTGTGATAAGAATAAAACTCCAATGGAGCCCCGCACTGAGTGGGCCCGGGCGGGAAACCAGCAATTTCGATCAGATATCGGCAGAGCTCCAAATGGCCGTGCCACGCCGCCTCCTAACAGAATAGTCAGTACATTATCGCTCTCTGTCGTTGCCGGATTGAAACTACTCACTTCTAAAGGGGTTTGTGCGTACCCCCCCTTGGGATCATAGTCAAACGGAGATGCTTTGCCATCACGAAAGAGCGCTTGGACCTCTGAGACATCGCCGCTCGCGCACGCTTCCCAAATCGGGCTCTCCCGTGATACAAGATTGGCGGTTCTCAAATTGAACGTCCAGCCAGTCTGCGCAACGTGAAGCGAGAATTCCCAGGTTCGTGATGCAAACCATGGACTGATACGAATCCGCCACTTTTGCTTGGCCTTGTATTGCTTGGTCTGGTGATAACTGCCAGAGCACGAGCTCGGCGCAGCTTGGAAAGCTTGTCGATCGGAAATCTGCGTTGTTGATAGACTCGCTTTGGTGTGCACCATGTCTTGTCCAAAAGCCTGGAGTAGCTGTTCCGGGGGCGAGATTGCGGGCTTGTTGCTGGAGATCGTCTGAAGTATGAGCGTCGTGTACGCTATCTGTCGGGATCTAGACTAGTCTCAGTAATGAGTGAGAATGATGCGTAAAGAACCTACCCCATGTAGAGCTGATACGCCAATGCAAGCGAACTTTTCGCCTTGTCCAGCTCGTCGCAGTAGTGGAGGATAGCCGGTCGCTCCAGCGTAGCATACGCCCATTGTTTCGCTTGGGACTCCAGTACCATGGTCTTTAAGCTCCGGACAGCCGATCGGATTCGGTGACCTGCGCGGATCGACGTATTTGCACATTGCTGCAACGTGGAATCGTCCATAGGGTCGATATTACGACTCTGGCGATCTCGTTCTAAATTGTGAAGTGCGAGAGCGAACGTCTCCAGCTCGTCCGCGACCTCAGCCAGAGATCTTGGTGCTCGTTTGAGAGATTTATAGCACTCCCGTACTTCCCGGCCGTTCTCTCCAAGCTGATCTGCAAGGGTCGACAGGCTTACAGTACTCGATATGACTTCCTCCAGCTCCAGGGAATCCAGATCGTCTTCGCGGTCATCGTGCCAACGGTTCGTTCCCATAGGGTGCTGCTCTGCACGCATGCGTTTTCAGTACGCGAGTCCTTGTCTGCTCTTTGCTGTCTCCATACCGGATGCTCATGCTAACATCGAGAATTCCAAGAAGACAGTATGAAAGATCTTCTTCTCGCGTTGCCTGCCTGTGTTTCGCCCATTGAAGCTTCTCATCAACACGCAATGTGTGGCTCTTGTCGTAGTCCTGGAGTATGTCTCCAGGTATTCGAGTGATTGTGGAGATGCGATCGCTGAGCAGCGGGCCAATTTCCATCTCTATTCCGCTCTTGCCGCAGCCGTCGCTTCCTTTGTGACCGATTATCTTCCAGTTCTGGTCCAAGAAGATAACTGTGGCTGGTGCGAGCAGCTCTTGTAGTGTCCACGCGCGAGTGAACCATATACTCTTCTGGAAGCTAGATATGTCCTCTGGGGTCGGCACATCCTGCATGAATGCAAGGCACACTTCTGACTCACGATACCAGCGAAACATCGAGTTGATTGCTTCTGACAGCTCCGGGCTACTCTTCTGGTCGATACAACACGTGTCGATCCACAACCACTCCAGAGCGGGGATCTCTTGTCGAACATATCTCGCGAACTCTTCCATTTTCTTGTACCCAATTTTGTCCACGTTCCGCCTTTTCTCGACATCTTTCAAGCTGGTTTCAGAGCTACCGACCCAGCGATGAGAAGCTATGGCATACGGCGGCCTCGTATCTTTGTGCTGGAACCATGCGAATTCGAGGGTCTTGACGTTGAGGAGCCTCATCTTGCTTTTTCAGTTCAAGTTCGAGGCTGAGGTCGGGGGTTATGATCTTCCCTAGGACGTAGGATGGCGAGAAAGAAAAGCCTGGCCGCCAGTTGAGATGTCGGGCTGAGGCTGAGCTCGAGCGCAGCCGAACAACCTGCACCCACCACAGCCCCTGCAAATGCATGCAAGCGCTCTGCCTCTCGGATGATCCAGTTCCGGAATCGGAGCCATCATGACAAGAGCTTCCAGACCACCAGACGAATGAAAATTGAGAAAATTCAAACTCCAAACCCCTCAGGGCAGGCCTCATCACACATCCTTTCAATTCCATCATTCACTACAGACGACGACGACGACGAAAACACAAACCCAAAAAAGCAAAATCTGTCCCCGTCACGTCTGCGTGCGATAAGGTAACCCCATCTGACCCACACACACTCCGCACTCCCATCAAAACGCCATCTCACCCGTTGTAAAAACATGACATTCCATCCATCATCGTTCAAACATCGTACTCTTCTCCACCTCACTCCCCGTACTCTTAATCGAAGCGGCCGAACTGCCTTTCGTTGTCGTCGTCGTCGTCGTCGTCGTCGTCGAAGACGAAGAAGAAGGTTCCGCCGCAACGACACGTCCGTCCAACAGACTTTCCTTCCCTTTGCCTTCGTCTTCAGGCTTACCTGCATCGGCTTCCGCACCCTCCAACAGCTCCCTCCCACCTTCGTCTTCCCCTTCATCGTCATCGTCATCTTCCGTTCCCCGAGTCGAAGCCCCGCGATCGAGTTCCTTCTGCGCCTCATCCATTCTCCTACGGACTTCCACGGCGACACGCATCCCATCCGTGACGATATTGTCCAGCATGCCTCTGAGACCTTTCCCGGGAGCAACGACACCCGCACCAGGTCCACCGGGGCTGATCGCAGGAACAAGAGGATGGGATGCCTGGCCTGGGGCTGCGTTGTGTAGATTCAGGAAGGATGGAGATGTCAACGTAGATGACGGGAGAGGTGCGTCGGCAAGATGGAAACTATTCGCGAATCCAGAGTCGAAGAAAGATTCCAGGGTTTCATCCGCTAGTACCAGCATGCGGAAAGTCGGGAGGGTGATGTGTACCGGACTCGAAGGATCCAGCGCAGCATTCGCTTCGGCGTTCTTGGGCGTCGTAGGCGTCGTTTGGTCAAAGGTGTTCGGCGAGGATTGCGCAAGTATCGAATCATCCTCGGCGGACTCGAGGTCTGCATTTTCCTTCTCATCTTTCGCCCCATCGTTCTCATCGCCAAGAAGGTCCTCTTCATCGTCATCGATCTTGAACTCCCCAACTGCCTTCTCAACCTCACTCTGTCCTTGCCGCGAAGGATGATCCGGATCCGCATACTCAAAACACCTCCTGATGAAAGCACTCACGGCCCCTAGGAACTGCTCATCCTTCGACATCGGAATCCCATCAGGTCCTTTGACACTTTCATCACCTCCGCTATTCGACATCACACCACCATGAACACCTCTCCTCGACAAGAAAAGCAGCGCTTCGGAGATTCTCAAGATTCCCTCCCTATCGACCTTTCCATCCTTATCGTCATCGTAAAGTTCGAAGAAATACGAGATACTGCTCATAATGTCGCGATTGCCCTTGATCGGCGCAAGTCCGTACACCACGGTCTGCAAAGTCAATGAACCATGCCCATCGGCATCCCATTTCTTGAACAGACGCTGCATGAAGTCGTGATCTGCCGGCTCTGGTCCTGATCCCCAGGGCGACAGATTGATTGATCGACTGCGGAGAGTATTGGCAAAGTACCCGTGTCCGGCACGATCCTCTTTGCTCGGCGAGCTCGGAGAGTCCGTGACAGCCCATTTCGAGATGCCAGCGAGGAACTCCCGGAAGGCATCGTAGTCCATTTGAGTCGAGCTCGGTCCCATGCCTACTCGGCCCAGCTCTGGCGCACTTCCTGGTACACCTGTCAAAAGTTCCGAAGCTCGTTGTCTGGCCTGCTTCTGCTTTTTCTCGTTCTCCGCCTGTAGCACGGATGCTCGTTGTTGTCGCTCATAGAGCACGGTGTAGAAGCGATCGTACAGGAAGCCAAGGTCATTCATGGAAAGCTTCTTGCTTTCCGGTCCCAAATTCCGTATCGAAGTGCGCTTGGCGAATGATTCGATGTTGTCCAGCACTGCCGCTTTGTGTTTTGATCTCTGCTCAGAGATAGTGTGTTGTGTGATACCTTCAAACTCCTTGAAAGCAACGACCATGAGTGCCTGAAAGTTCGTAATAGCTCGATGCTTTGGATTCTCAGACTTGGGGTGTGCCGACTCTCCAAGCCGGGCAAAGTATGACTTCAGAACAGAAATGAAAGTGCCGTCGTCTGTGGCGTCCAGCAGTTCCTCACCATTGATGCGCAGAATCGCGAGGCCGACCTGAAAGAGTACCTTCGGTCCTTCCAAGAAGAAAACATCCAGTACCCGGAAGGCGAAGATGAGTGGCATGCTGTTGATGTAGAGTGAAAGAAACCAAGGCAATGACACCACCGAAAGCTGAACGTCGTTCTTGACCAAATGGTCCCAGATGATGGGCATCGTCTTCTCCACGAGACTTTCAAACACTCGCTGGTCGAGTAGTGTGCCGTACATTGTCGTTGAGTAGTACCCTGGTAATAAGCGATCACAGAGGATTGAGAGGAGATAGAATGCTTGATTCTCGGAGAGATAACTGGAGAGAGCACTTAGCTTGAGATCTGCTACAAAAGGGAAGTGGGCTTACGTACATCAGCAGTGCGGCGACTACAATGTTCATAGCCTGGCAGTATCCGACTTCCTGGTTCGTCCAGCTATAGGCGGTCAGCACTCGACGTAGCCTACCGATACCCTCCTCGCTCTGGAAGCCGGCATATTCCGGAAGACTGCGATTGAGATCTTTCTCGATCTCATCAATCGCGAGAGAACCCTCGCCCTCGTGCTTGACGAGCATTTCCTGGTAGAGCTTGGGCTTCTGAAGTCGGAGGTAGAATGATCCAGATGTCAACTCCCAGATCTCTCCTCGGAGCAGATTGGGCAATCCGACTCGTATCAGACGATGGAAGTCCGGCTGGCGAACCAATGTCGTATTTCGGCCATTCTCCTTCATGTACTCATGCCACAGCCTCATCTTGCTACGATCTCGCAGTTTCCTCGAATTGCCTGGATACTTGAATATACTCCCAAGTCCCGTATCCGGCGGTGCTCGCGGCGCTCCATCGGGCTTCTCAGCTGCAGGTATAGTATCAAAATCGCCGTAGAGGAAGTGCTCCGAAAAGCATTCCTGGGCGACTGTCCGCATGTTCTCGACCTCCTTGATGCCCTGTCTGAGACCCCTCTTAAGACCATCGCAGAAGCGCTCGCATTGCTGTCGGCTGCCCTCCAGCTGGATCGTCAGTTTAGGTGGAGACGGAGCGCCCGGCTTATCCTCGCTGCCTGGGTCGAAGCCATTCCATGTCGTTATCGAGAGAGCAAACATGTAGGACTGGGTATGCAATCTCTCCACCCTCCGCACCGCGCACAATGGCAGCGTGAAGCCATTGCCAGCCGGACCGGTCCCATGCGTCCTCCCGGTGAAGCCGCTGCTGGCGCTTGTAGAAGCTGTACTGACAAACGAAGTATTGACCGTGGAAAAGCAGAGGAACTGCTCACTCAAATGCAGCTGTCCCACATAATGCGTCCCTCGCTCTCGATCCCAATTGCTCTTGTCCCAATTCTTTGACGTTCCCGACTTGTTGGAATTGGTGCGCGGCTTGGTAGGAAGCGTAAGCTCGGCGGAAATTTCGTACAGCGGATTCTGCGTATCCGGGAGTCGAAATTGATGTCGGAACAAGTGAGACTTGGAGGGTCTTCCGGACGCTGCAGCGCCCAAAGGACCGGGCAATTGGGCGGGATCGATGAGCTGTTGGGCTTTCTGGACCAGATTCTGGAGGAACATTGTGCGCGCTGGCTACGCTATCCTCAGCTCTGTCGCGCGTCAGATCATCGTCTGGTGGGATGTGTAGCTCATGAGATCGTATGCATCGTGTACGCGTCGTGTTGTGTGTGCGGATTGTGAGTGATTGTCGCCGAAACATAACAGCAAGAGCGATTGTAGGTTGCGATTCAGGAACGTCTCACGTGCCAGCCCGCCAGAGAATGAAATCGCCGAGTATTCACCGAGCCAAGAGCGGCCGCGTAACATCTCACTCTGCGTCTTTCAAAATGTGTGTTGGAGTCCTACCAAGACATCGAACCGATCTTCAGAAATGCTCGAAATGAATTATGATGTCTACAGAAGCGGTCCACGAGCAGGCCCTTGACTGTTCATACCTCGCCAACACGCTGACACTCACACATCGCTAACATTACAGCAAAAGGGTATCAACTAGCAAGAACACGCCCTTCGAACTCCACCATATGCTCGTCAGCACACTCCTCGTCCATCAGATATGCTCGCGATACACCATATCCATCTCCGCCGTCGTTCCCCGCACGATTCCACTCTCCATCTTCGTCCCCATCGGCGCAGGCACCGTGTTATCCTATACCTTTGCACGGCCCGTGTGCAACGTCCTGTTGCTCCTCGACCGGAAGAAGATGAATGTCGCGTACAGAGCGGTGATGAGCCAGAGCAGCATGTTGACGAGGTCGATCCAGACCGCATGCTTCATCCGCCACTGGCCATGCTGTTCGGGCGTCGGGTGGGCGCGGATGTAGATGTCTCCGAAGAGGCCGAAGAGGGCGGTCCAGAGGATACTACAGGGAGCGTTAGCGTGCTTTCATCCACAAGCTCCAGGAGCATGCAATCTGGTAGACCTTACAAGAGAAGCCAATCCCACCCGAAAAGTATCTCGCTCGGCAGGAAGAACAGCAGTCCATACACCAGACAGGTCACGGCGGACAGACCCGCGACGACTTCAGCGTAGACCCAGTGGCTATCCGATCCAGCGCCATCCTTATGGGCGCGTGCGAGGTCGACGCCGTAGAGGCCTGCGACGGTGATTGCGAAGATGAACTGGAGGAAGCGCAGAACGAGGCGCGCGAGGCCACCGATGAGGCCGCCGTGGCCGCTGCGGTTGCGGACGGGATCGAGGATGCCCATTGCGATGATTTGTGGTGTGGTCGGTCGTGAGAGTCTCGGCTGTGGGTTGAAAGATTTGGACGACGGAGTGGATTGTTAAGGGTGAGTGGATGTCGGGTTCTTCCCTGCTCGTGAGTCGTAAAGGCAAAGGGTCAAGTCGATCGCTATCTGTCTCAGGTTCTCCGAATCGATCGGTGGTGGAGCTGTCTCAATTACTGATTACGAGTTGGAAGATCGCAGCGCGGTGTATGATTGTGAGCCCAAGGTATAGGATGAAGGGTAAGTGTGCCAGACACTCGTGAAGGACAATGGAAGGAAGAAGAGGATGTCGCGGCCGTGAAGAGTGGGAAGCTTGGAGAAGGAGCTCAGGAATGTAACAACAGGTCACACTTTCAAAATATATTGCTTTCCATATCCTTGCACCTCACGGCAGGTAAAAAATCAGACCACTCGTTAGTTACACAGCGTAAACAATTCACAACGCGCCCTCCCAAACCGTCAGAGCAGTTCGCGCCGAATTGACTTTGATAGGCGCTTATCTCCCGTTTCCTGCTTTCCCTGCTTTTCCAGCCGCCGCAGACGCAAGCGCGGCTCGCGCCGTCGCTGTTTCGACTTCACCTCTTATATTCGCAACGATTGGTGAGGACCGACCGGCTCACTCGTGGGAGACCGCTTAGGCACACTGCACGTACGCAAGACCAGCTCTCTCGACCATTGCTTGATTTGTCGGCCTCGATGCTGCGACCACGCGTCGAAGCAATCTCTATTGGCAGAATCTAGAGAGGGAGTCTCCATACCCTGACTACACACGGAACGGATACCTTAGAGTTTCTCGAGAGGGAGTCTCCATACCGTAACTACACACGTGACGGATGCCTTGGGGTCTCTTGGGGTAGCCTAAAGACATATGACCGAGTACGAATGTTTACGGATTCTGCCGATGATCAGCAATTTATTAGAGCTCATCAAGTTCATTGTAAGACCGTAAACAATTTACTTATAAGGCGTCGGTCAGGAAGAATTCTACCCGTCTTTCGAATCGAATTCGATTTCGAATGATCTTGTTATGCATTCAAATTTGAAAGTATACTCGTCTACCTTTCGCACGTCCCGCAAGTCACATGAGATAGATAGCCAAACACGCACCAATCAACCAACCAATCAAGTCAAAAGAACTCCCCCACAATCACACCACCATGACGAATTGATCACAACACTAGATCTATCTATTTCCGAACGAAACCATGAAATGAACAGACAGACAAACAGACAGACAGACTTCCACTTCTCTCTCATACACATTCACACACTCTTCTTCTTCTTCTTATCTGATCTGATCTTATTCCACTATGATACGTCTTTCTAAAACGTGGAGGACACAAAGAAAAACCAAAACCAAAAAACAAAAGGTAATTCCCATTCGCATCGAAGCCGAGCCCGCCACGCTTTCTCGTCAAACCAAGGCATTGCATTCTTTCACACACACACACACACACACACACACACACACACACACACACACACACACACACACACACACACACACACACACACACACACACACACACACACACACACACACACACACACACACACACACACACACACACACACACACACACACAGAGAGAGAGAGGGAGTGTATACATAGTCTGATTCGAACAAAGAAAAAAGTTATTCCATCGCCGGTGTGGGTGTCCAGAGCTGTCGTCTACCAACCGCTTCAATGCTTATGCGAATGTCCGTGGGATTGACCATGACTGCCAAATCGATTGCCCATGCTCGAGTGTCGCCCGGCTCGTGAGAGCGAGCCTACGTCGTGCTTACCTGCAAGAAGTTAGTCATACGTCTTGCCGAAGCATGTTCTATCGACTTACCATCGCAGCAAGCCCTCACGTTCTCCAGCCGATCAGCCTCCCGTTCTTGCTGCTCAATCACAGTTCTCAGCTCCTCGGCACTGTCGGTAGCGACACCGGCGTCATAGATACTCGCCGGATCATCGGGACGCCGCACAGAGGCACTGGACTTGGCACGGTGACTGCTCGACGGCCTCGTGAACCGGCTCGTTATGCTGCTCGTGATGCGCCCAGCCATACTTCCTGATGATTGGCGAGATGTGTTGGTGACAGTCGCGGATAAGCCCTGGTCTGCGGCAGGAGGCTGCAGACTGCTCTTCTGCTTGACGGTACCCGCGTCATGCCGATTCGTGAGTGTCCTGTCTGGGTCTTGTCGAACAAGACTTGTGTTCCTGGTCGTTCGGCTATTGTAGCTGCTCAAGCTTGTTCGACTCTGACGGCTCTGGCTACGCCCTGTGCCCGTCACCTTGGCCACGCTTTTTCGCACGCTGCGCCCAAATGAAGGGTTGAACTCCTCAATGTCGCTCTGGTTAAAGTTGTCGCCAGCCTCAGACTTCTCTCTTTCGGTTCTCAAAAGCAGATAAGACAGGGCGTTGAACCACGTCTCGTGTCGTTGACCGGTAGGTGCCGTGAAGACGATCTCTCGACCAGGGGTGACTACGACCAGCGACTTCCTGTGCAGGCCAGGCGGGAAGGCATTGTCGTCAGTGATGACTCTGACTGCTTCGATAGCAACACTCTTTGCTTTGAGCATTTGCTTGCCGGCCGTGCTGGGATCTTGCTCACTCCAGTAAAGAGTTCTCGTATATGGATGTACCCAAAAGAACCGCCTGTGCCGAGTGGACGACGTCTCACTCCGTCCAGCTTTGCGGGTATACTTCCATAGATACTCGCCGATCATGGTTTGCGTGATGGCTTGGATCATGCGTGGGTCGGTGGCGGGTTCAACGTCGGTTGGATACAAGATCTGGCCGCGGGTAATGTTGAAGCGCTCGTCCAGCTCCGAGGCAAACGACGATACGGAAGTCCGATGCGACATCTTATCAGAAGCCATCTGTCCGCGGCTCTCTCTTGTTCGTACAGGGCGTGGTGTTGTTCCGTCACGAGAGCCTTGACGTCCTCCTGGAGTGTTGGGTCTTGGCTTGTACGCAGAAGCGGGCATCAAAGGTGGACCCATAATCCCAGCTGATGATTGTCCCGTGGGCGTACCTGGCGCTTGCTGTGCAGCTGCTATCTTCTTCTCGTGATCGACAGGCAGAGGGGGTGCGCCAAATGCGGCCTTGTTGCGCATGCTGCCGGAACTGCCCTGCCGACGCGGTCCTTTGAGGGTAGGTGATTCAAAGAGCGATGGTCTGGTATCGACTGCCAGCTTCTCCTGATTGTATTGCAAAGCGGCGCCAACTGCAGCGGCGGTGGCGATACCACTCGCTGCAGCATTTTTGACAGGAGTCATTGGTGAGTTGCCAGCGTCCCTCACAGACGAAGCGGTGGTCTCGACTGCGTTCTTGTTTCGGAACATGCTGTCAATCTCCTTGCCAGACACAATAGTCTGCGCACCTCCATCTGCCATGGATTTCCTCTGCTGTACCATGTTAGGCGCGACGTCCATGAGTGGCGGTCGTGGGAAAGCAGCAGGATCCACAGACAGTCCATCTTGGGCCTGACTATCGACAAAAGAAAGATCGCTGTATCTGTTAGCTGCGGAATGATCCGCATCGAAGCCGTCACTGTATTTGGTGACGGGATCCTCAGCGAAGCGCACGTTACGCTGTGTAGATGGCATCGACTTTGACCGCTTCCTGACCAGAGTGGGGGCAATCGCACCGGCAAACAATCCAGCACCAATTCGGGAGGAGCCTGTGCCTGGAAATTCCCGTTGCTCGCTGATTTCTTTAAGAGACGACTTCGACTCAGCGAAGTTGCCCATGGAGTACATCTGATCTGGCCGTTTGGAGCTCTTGCGAGGGACCAGTGGTGCCATGACATCCTCGGGTGAGGCGGGCTTGATATCCAGCGCGACGACCTCGGAGAAGGAGAAATTGACGGGTACGGGGTTGGGCACTGAGTCGGTCAGTCGTTGAAGGCCGCCGCGGGAGTTGGCGCGCACTGATGTCTTCGGATCTGAGCCCCTTTCGGCATAGGTTGTCTTCGACGGTGAAATGGACCGAGTCTCTTCCGATGTCATCTGTGACTGCGGCAGAGGCGTATCAGTGTCTGGTACCCCACCGTCGGCCTGCCTGTGACCAGTGTCGAGAGGAGTGTTCTTGCGATCCAGCGCTCTGCTGACACCAAAGCCAGCGAGCGCACCTCCAACCAGTCCGCCAGCGGCATCTTTGATGTCGTGCTTCTCCACTGGAACCTCAACAATCTTCTCCACAGGCACCTCGACAATCTTTTCCACGATTTTCTCGACCGGGACCTCGACAATCTTTTCGACGACCTTTTCGACCGGGACCTCGACGATTTTTTCGACGACCCTCTCGACCGAGACCTCGACGATCTTTTCGACAACCCTCTCGACCGGGACCTCGACGATCTTTTCGACGACCTTCTCGACTGGCACTTCAACCGTCTTCTCGACGATCTTCTCGACAGGCACCTCGACGATTCTCTCGACCGGCACCTCGACCGTCTTCTCGACGATCTTCTCGACAGGCAACTCGACAATCCTCTCCACAGGCACCTCGACAATTCTCTCAACAGGAATCTCGACGATCCTCTCGACGGGAACCTCGACAATCTTCTCGACAATCTTCTCGACAGGAACTTCCACGATCTTCTCCACTGGAACTTCGACGACCTTCTCGACGATCTTCTCAACGGGCACCTCAACCATTCTGTCGACCGGCTTCTCGACAATTTTTTCCACGGGCACCTCAATGATACGTTCATGAACGATCGGTTCTGGCTGCCAGGGCTCAGTCATCGATCCCAGTTCGACCATGGCAGGCCGATGAGCAGCACCAGCATCCCCTGTTGAGTTTGCATCTCTCGAAGCTGCGGAAGGAGCCGAAATCTGGGTTTCGTTCGATAGGTGTTTGCGGAGTGATGCAGGCGAATCCGGCTCGACGCTTAATTGCCGTTGCGTTGCGGGGGTGCCCTCGCGCGACTCATCGTCTATCGCGCGCCTTGACTCGGGAGTTCCCTCCATGCTTCCCTCGTCAAGTGCATCAAGTTCATCCCCCAGACTTTGCATGGGCGCAGGCTGTGGGGTGCCGGTGCTGGACGACGGACTGTGATTGAGTGCATGACCTGGAGAGTCGGAGACGATGTCGCTCACACGACCAGAACGCCTGCCACTACGTCCGATTCGAAGTTTGTACTTGGGCTGATTGGCATGGTGGACCGGGGTGCGAATGACATCTTCATCGTCGTCGTCCCCAGAATTCGAAGCTGTCGACATGTAGGATCCCCGGTTTCCCGGCTGGCTCGAGATGGTTCGAATGGACCGAGAGATACTGCCAACTGAACGCAAAATGCGGTTGTTGCCACCTTCGGTTTCCGTCAGGTCTCCTTCAGTGTCGTCACCCACGCCCTCATTACCTGTGGCAAAAGCCTCGCTTTCGGTGGTCGTGTCTCGTTCGTTGGCCGTTTCGAAGGCATCAGTGGTATCTTCGTCGAATCTGCCGCTTTCGAACGCTGCACCAGCTACGGCACCCGCCGCCGCAGCGCCTGCAGCAGTACCGAAAGAGCGTGGCTTGCTGGGCGTCTGCTCGACCTCTTGGTCCTCCCAGTCCGGCTCGTCTTCCAGGATCTCAGTCGTGCTAGATCGAGGTGCGCCGAGCCTGTGAGTGGACGGCCTCTTGAACTTGACGCCCTCAGGCTCGCTCCTGCGCTTCTTGGCAACGTTTGCGGAAACACCGACACTGTCCCGACGGGTCTCGACCTCATCACGTGCATCCTGCAGCATGCGCTTGAGCTCAATCTTTTCGGTCTTCTCCCGGTGAATGGTGTTCTTGAGATTCTGGATCATGCGGTGCGCGTGATTGAGACTTGACTTGAGCGTCTCAGTCTCGAGCATGCCATGACGAGCTGGGGTGCCCTTGATGGGAGATGCCGGCTCGCTCTGGATGGGACTCTGGTCATCGGACTGCGCACCTTCCTCTGCCGAGACAAAGTCGGAGTCTGCAGGCTGAGCCGCCTGATTGAAGCGATACGAAACCGCTCTCGCGAGTTCGGTGTTCTGAGCGGTCAACTCTTCAATCTTCTTCTGCATTTTGGACTTTTCACTCTCATGCGAAGCAACGTCTCGCCTTAGCCCGTGCATGTCGGCTTCCTGGACCTTCTTCGACATGGCATGATCTTCTGAAAGCTTGTTGTGCGAGACCTTGAGGTCATCCAGCTCGCGTTCCTTGGACGCCTTCTCCCGCTCCGTGGATTTGAGGCTCTGCGCCAGCCGATTCTCCTTGTCCATGCTCTGCTTGAGATTGGCCTCCATCTCCTGCAGCCGTGTCTCCAGATTCCAGTTCTCATCCTTGTATTTCTGCTCATTGTCGTCCATGTGGCGGATGCGCTGTACCAGACCCGCGGCTTCGGATTCGAGGTGAGCCTTGGCAGCGGTGGTATCTCGAAGCTCTTCGTCCTTTTCCACCAGAGCGGCCTGTAGTTGCCTGACCTGGGCAAGTAGCGAGGTACTGATCTCGGTTGCGAACTCAATGTCGTGGACCCGGTTGTTCGGTTGATTCCGTTGTCTCCTCGATGGCGCAGTGATTTTTGTGGGAGATTCTCTACCGGATCCAGATATCATTGCGGGTCCCGGACCGGACTCGTGACTATTATCATTGCTGACCACCCGTGATCGCGGCAAGAACGCACGCGCAGACTCGCGCCCAACCTCGTTGTACTCGCGCTCCAGCTCAGATAGCCTCTCTCGTAGATCTTCTGGCACCTCATCTTCCTGCTGTATCTCTTCAACCTCTTTCAATCTGGCCTCCAGATCTTTGCGCTGCTGTACCAGTGTATTGCCCAGCCTAGAGGCATCCTGTAAGCGGCGGTTTGTATCCTTGAGGTGGGCTTCGAGGGCGCGTCGTGCGGTGGACGGCGAGGTCGTTGACAGGAGGGAGTACTGTTCGGCATCGAATGCGGCATATCGCAATGGAGCAGGATGAGCGTGCAGTGGGCTGTTGGTGAAGAGGTCACCGGAGCCAGTGGTTGGCACCGCACCGGGCGGCGCATTCGCGGCGGTCGACATTATGTGGTATACTACTCAAGAAAAGAAGAGGAATGAATGTAGGTGGCAGGAGGAAGCCGGAGGAGCTGAACGTGAAGCCCGTGCAGAGGCGGCGATCCAAAGATGCGAGATTGTCTCGGGGAGAGATGCAGCCCGTGAAACAAGGTCGGCGGTGAATTGGAGGCTATACAACAACAGCGATAGGAAGACGGATCCAAACCAGCACCGGGCAGATTGATCCAGGCGCGGCCGGGATAGCAGCGCAGCGCAGCGCAGCGAGCAGAAGGGAAGAGGATAGTGCAGCGCAGCGGCTCGGAAAGGAGGAGACGGAAGGCGAGTCGCAGGAGATGATGTCGTCGCGGGTTGTTGGGTATCTGCGTGCTGCAGCGCGGAAGCGGGAGAGTTGACGGGCTGCCTTATGTCTCGTGGCCTTCAAGGTTTCTTTGTTTACTTCTCGCCAGGCAAAATCCACGTTCAGTATGCGGGGATGCAACTTGACATGCCGGGGGCAACCCTCGCATTCCGGTGCTGACGAAAGCAAAATCCAAGATGCTGCGAAACGGATATAGGTGAACGAATGAACGACGCGAGACGCGAGCGGCGGGCTGGGAGAGGCGGAGGAAGAGGTGGCGGAGGTGGTGGAGGTGGTGGACGTGTCGGCGGTTGTGATGATTGAAGTGGGAGACGTCGCGGCGGTACCGCAACGACTCACAACGCACCCGATGCAGCACGCGCGCAGGAAGAGAGTTTCGGTTGGTATACCGATACACTGCACAGACCAGAGGCAAAGTACATCCGATGATTGCCCGGCGACGTGATCCCGTCAAAACATCCAGTAGTCGCTCCTCCGGCAACACACAACAACAACTCCTTCCTCTTCTCCTGTATTATTATTATTACATGCATTTTTGTTGATGCGCGTTGGAGTCATGTGAGAGCGCCTCCACTCTGTTGCTCTCCTGCAGCGTGCAGCGCTCCTACTCGCGTCCGACGCGTCCAGCAACCCGGCGAATCAGGCGACTCCCGTCGTCGGGCGCAGATTGACTTTTGGCTTTCGGATCCGACAAGCGAGGCCGTCTCGGGAGGGTGGCGCCTTTTGTCAGCCTGAGGCATCCACAAGAATACCACTCCACAGCTTTCCGTGCTTTCACAACATCTCGTTCCTTCTGTCACACTACACTCTGCACGCCACCATGACGGACGTCGCAGCGCCTGTCTTCAAGAAGAGGACCAAGAACGCCAACATCCGCAAACGGCCGGCCACCCCGCCACCAGATCAGTCCGCCTCCGACTCCGATTACACCGACGACGAGGCCGGCGTGAGGATCAAGCGGCGCAAGAAGGAAGGCGTCTCGGCCAGCACCGTTGCGCCCAAGCGAGCGCGAGATCTGAACAAATCGACTGCCTTTGCAGCAGATCGAACCACCAACATCATCGCCAACGAAGATGCGACCAAAGCTTCCAATTGGTACACCGACGCAGCGCTGGCCGCGAAAGATGCACCCACCACCACCCAAATCACAAAGACCGAGACAGTAGTCTCAGATGCCACCGACGGCAGATACCAAGGCACGGCGAAGTACTCCAATTTCATCCAGAAGAATCCCGATGCATCCAGCAAGCAGGTCGGCCCGGTGAAGGCGCCCACCAACGTTCGTGCCATCACCGTTACCGACTTTGCGCCCGATGTGTGTAAAGATTACAAGCAGACTGGGTTCTGCGGCTTCGGTGACAGCTGTAAATTCTTGCACGCAAGAGAGGACTACAAGCAAGGTTGGCAGTTGGATAAGGAATGGGAGAATGTGGGCAGGAAGGACAAGTCGGGCAACACGTCCAAGGGCGATGAGGATATGGATGAAGAGGAGAAGATGTTGCAGCAGATTCCATTTGCGTGTATCATCTGTAAGGAGAGCTACAAGTCACCCATGGTGACCAAGTGCGGTCACTACTTCTGCGAGAAATGCGCCACGAATCGGTACATGAAGGAGAAAAAGAAGACGTGTGCCGCTTGTGGCACGGACACGGGAGGTAGCTTTGGTGTTGCGAGGAAGTTGAAGGACCTGCTGGAGAAGAAGCGCAAGCGGGAAGAGGAGCGCGCCGCTAGAGCTGACAATGAGCGCCAAGACCGCGAGGACTGAAAGCCGACGATGAATGAATCTTCCATGACCTTTCTCCAAGACAATTTCCACTGACCATCCGAGGACACCGTCTCTTGCCCTACCTCAGTTGCGGCGCATGCGGTGGAGTCTACGCTGTCTTGCTTCTTACATCTTGTCGCAGACATGTTGAGACGCTTCAGAGTCACGCGACCCATTCTCTGTCGCAACTGGGAGACGATATTACTTATTGACCGTGGCCAGAATCTGAGGAGTCTGGACTTCCAATCAGGCCGTTCTCCCGAAAAAGCGTGGTGGAAGCATTCCTGGAAGCTTGCACAATCCTATTGTCCACATTTCGATTGTCCACATTTTTCCGCGTCGGGACAATAGGAATGAATAAGGTCTCAAAGCGGAGGTCAAAGAAGCCTCCAGGAACGCGAACTCGAACTTCCTCCCGCATCCTGCAACACATACTCGAACAACAACTGCAGACCAATCCACTTCCTCGGGCTTTTCGAGTCACGAACCCATTCTTCACTTCTCTCAGCGGCGCAGGTTCACCGCAGTTTGAAGCTTCCACAAACACATCTCATCATACACATCCTGTTCTTGCGAACAAGAGGATTGTACATCTGCGCGAGCAGGCAATGTTGCAGAAGATGATGCCCGACACTTACCCTCTACATGGTCATCCACTCCACGGTTATCCTCTCCACGGTCTCCATGGCGAAACTCAAAGCATACCACAACCGCGAAGCAGACCGCAGCCATTCCAGATCGATGTCCCCTTGCATCTCCGCACAGACCTTATCAGCCTGCAATTCCGACTGATCAACTCCCTCCACCATTCTGCTGCCAGTGCAGAGGCGCTCGACGACCTCGACCCTGCGGCCTGGACAGTCGAGCTCCGTTATCCGTCGGGATACAGTGAACGCTTCCGCCTTGATCCCAAGTCCAAACTCACCAAACATGCACGAGCCAGAACTCTGGAGCCTATCGACGACGTTCTGCGCACGGTTGACATGGTCTTGCAGCTCGCTGGTGCTACCGATGAGCTGCGGCGACTTCTTCGTCTACGCCTGACAACTTCCTGGGAGAACAAGGCCCCTGGCAACTTCAAACCCGCACTGGCAACTGTCAACTCGCTTCTCGACGAAAAAGTCCAGAGCGGAAACATTCAGCCTCAAGTCACAGGCCGTTTTGCGCCAGAGTTCCTCGACCATTTCTTCGATCAGCTCTACGACCGCGCCGCTTCGCCTCATGTCCACGTTCTGAAGTCCGGAAAAGGCGAACATGCATACGGGGAACTACGGCCTGCCTTTCTTTCGAGAATCTTCCGACTGCTCGGCCTGCGTGCAGACTCGATCTACTTCGACATGGGATCCGGCATTGGCAACACGGCCATGCAAGCCGCTCTCGAAATCGGCTGCGAAGCTCAAGGCATGGAACTCGCGTCTCAGCCTCACCTCCTCGGCAACTGGCACCTGCAGCAATTCAACGCGCGGTGTGCCCTCTGGGATCTCCAACCCGGACGAGTCGAACTGCACTACGGCAATTTCCTCCGGTCTGACTACGTCGCGGCTCTGCTCCCGGATGTCGACGCCGTGCTGGTCAACAACGTCAAGTATGCACCCGACACGGATTTGGGCATCTATGAGTTGTTGGTCAAGAAGCTCAAAGTCGGCGCAAAGGTCTTCTCGATGAGACCTCTGACTCCGATGGCTCGGGGTGGCTTGGCGGGTGGTGGATCGAAGGCCGTGACCGGGGATGGAGTCTTCCAGGTGGAAGAATTCCAGTATGAGCAGGGAGCTGTGACTTGGACGGACAACGGGGGCATCTTCCACATCTCCACGAAACTGCGGGCTCGAGTGTAGTTGGAGGGGGCTGCAAGACGGAGAAATGGATTGTGGGCGGGAATGATTGTACATACATATGCATGAGCTGGAGGGCGATTGAACCACTCGTGACATGAGACGTTGATGAACGAAGGCATTGTAGATATGAGAGATGATTGATAAGAGGTGATGGATCCACTGCCACTTGTGCCATGTCCGATGATCCAATACTCATTGTCGCCCCAGGTGAAGCACACTGCAGTATGTTGTGAGGTCTCACTCCGCTCCGCAGGGCTGTGGCTGCGTCTTTCCAATCAATGTTTAGCGAGGGTCCATCAACATCGTCCGGATAGGGCTTGGTGTCACGCGGAACCCCCCGAATCTAAGACTGTGCTGGTTCGCGCCGTCCCGTCTCTTAGCGCCTGCCCTACATCTGGTGCAAGGGCATAGGTAGTGCTTTTCCTACGTCTTACCAACGTCCCGTCGGGTCTTCGAGCGGCGCAGGAGTCATCAGAAATTCTGCTTTACGATCAGGATATGGGACTATGAACGCCGCTCTCCCTTGGAATTTTGATGGAGCGATGACCGGATCGGATCTAAGGCTTGAACATCGTACTTCGCCCTTGCCCTCCGAATGGCCCTACGGCCAGCTGGTCGCTACCTTCGATTCCATCGGCACGAGCCTCGAGTTCGTTCACATCCCAAATTTAGCTCTCACACGGATTCTCATCTCAAGAAACGGGCTTCTGGACTAGCGGATCGGACGTAGAAGCTTCCTAGCAAGGGCACTACCATTTGATTAGTCAGGATTCAGGCTGTACAAGGGGGCCGTTTTGCTTACCATGGTTCCCAACCCCTGTCTGCTATACTTATTGCCGTGTTGATAATACCGGCTGAACATGGAAGATGTTTGTTCCTGGCCTGGACGAGGCTAGATAGTCTCACATCCGGCTACCGCCATGTGGCGACGCTGTAGGAGACCCATGAATAATCTCGATCCTTCAATGCATGGCAAAAACGTGGTCTGGTCCACGCCCGTTGCACCGCATCTTCGAGAGACGTCTTCAGCCGAAACGGTCATGAGACTGTTCAGTCGTTAACTACGGACGTTGAAGCATGTCTCCCTCACCATTCTTTCCGGCCATACTCAGCTTGGCTTGCCTCTGGATAACTGCATTAGCGGACACTCAACATGGACTACAATTGAAGCTTTCCCTAGCAGATGGGCTTGTGAGCAGCAGCGTTACTGGTCGTGTTCTGGTTCTTTTCGCACCGCTCGGTGTGGACCCTCTGGCATCCACGGACGTCGCGTCTACGCCGGATTACTTCTATGGCAAGAATGTGTTCAATCTCAACGCTGGCGATACGGTGACGCTTTCTGGCGGTAGCGGCAGCGACACCAGTTATGGAGTCTGGGGCTTTCCGAATGCCAGCTTGGACGACTTACCTACTGGACAATACACCGTTCAGGCATTTTTGAACCGATATGAGACTGTAACCCGTAGCGATGGCTCGCAGATCAGCGTCCGCTTCCCCTGCGGTGATGGTCAACCACCTATTGACGCCCCTGGAAGCCTTTTGACTCCAGTGACCAATATTACGATTTCTGGAAACTCCCAGACTGTCAAGCTCACTTTCGACGACACTGTGCCTCCGCTTACTTTCTACGGTAAAGAGATTGGCGGCTGTCTTCAAGGCAATTTTAATGATACTGAGCTTCTGAAACACATCAAGATTCGCAGCGATGCTCTGAGCAAGTTCTGGAATAGGGATATGTATGTCGGTGCTACCGTCTTACTTCCACACGGATACCAAGCGAGCGACACAAGCACACGATATCCCGTCATTTATTCTCAGAACCATTGGGCCGGAGGTCAGACTGCATTTCTTCAATACGACGAGACTTATAACTGGGTGGATCCTTGGTATAACGGTACCATTCCGGGAGTGAATGGTACCGCAGATCGAAAGACACCGAGATTGATCTTGGTCAGCTTCCGACATGAATCGCCGTACTATGACAATTCATACGGGGTCAACACGGCGAATTTCGGACCCTACGGCGACGCGATCAACGAGGAGCTCATTCCTCATATCGATAAGCTTTTCAATACGATTGCCAAGCCATACGCGCGCATCCAGGAAGGTGGCTCGACGGGTGGATGGGTATCTGCTGCCAATGTCATCTTCCGACCGGATCTGTTCGGCGCTTGTTTCTCTTCTTACCCGGATCCTTTGGACTTCCATCGTCATCAGGACATTCCGTTGTATGACGCTACAAATGCATATACGAGACCGGATGGAAGCAAGATCTACTCATTCCGGGATGTGGTTGATGGTACTCTGACGAATGTGGACACCGTAGAGGAGGAAAACCATTGGGAATTGTCGCAGGGGACTTCGTCGCGATCCGCCTTGCAATGGGATGTCTGGAACGCCGTGTTTGGCGTTCAGGGTCTGAATGGCTATCCCCTCGAGCCGTGGGATAAAGTCACCGGAGAGATTTACCCGGAAGCGGTGGAATTCTGGAAATCCATGGATTTGTCCAACTACATCACCAGCAACTGGGACAACGAGAAAGATCTGGGAACAGTTCTTCGCAACCGAATCTTCATCTATGTTGGCAGTTGGGATAACTACTTCCTCAATGAAGGCGTCGAGGAATTCCGGAAACGCGTCTCCGCCAAAGGGGGATCGGATTGGGCGAATGTTACCGTTTTCGCGGACGAGCCGCATGAAGATGGACTCTACCAGAAGCGGGAGATTTGGAATTACTTGGAGTTCCTGGAAGGCTGGATTCGCGATCACTCCCCGAGTGGTAAGACGCCACTGTCTGATGCTGTTACTACTTCCAAGGCGAGAGGGAATCTCTGGAGCGATGTGATTGCGAGAGGCGGACACCAGGCTGCTCTCGCACGGCAGGCTGCGCCAGAGCTGAAGGTGGGCAAAGCAGGCCTTGAGGCGAGTCCGGGGCGTTGGGATCCTGGCGTGGTGCTTACTGCGCAGTGGGTTGTTGATGGGAAGGCTTCGGGGGAAGCATTCAATGTGAAGCAGGGTGACGTTGTTGCGTACAAAGCTACGTCTCAATCTCGGAAAGGCGCTGTGCAGCTTGCTGTCACGGGAAGGAAACGTGGGTATTCTGACGAGACGAGGAAAAGCAACGCTCTCGAGACTACCTTATAAGTCGCAAAGGGCCCAACATGATAATTTCGGGCCGGAATTGTTCCCTTTCTACTTTTGTATCTTTATCTTTCGAATCTCTATCCATATGGCCTCTTTAAACGACGGACGTCGAGACTGGCTTGATGCTGGTCTTGTTGTCGACCTTTTCGTCCATCTCCACCGCGGTATCCTGTAGGTCTGGGTCGCGCGCAGCCAAACCCGCAGCTTCTCGTCTCAGTTGTCGCTTATGAAGGAGATCGGCAATCACTACGTCGTCAATGTCAGTCACGAATTGATCATCTTGAGAAGCCGCAATCTTACGAGTCAGCGCAACAGCAGCAACAGTGAAGGCTGCAATGGACGGAAAACCTCTCGGGAACCTGGGCCCAGTCGTCTGCGGGAATATTAAAATTGGTAGAAAGGAGTCTGTGGGTAGCAACGTCAGTCCCTCCACGAGATTAGCAACAACAGGGGCACAGATCGTCAAGCTTACTCGTCGCATAGAACAATCCATTCATACTCGAAATCGTCAGTGCGCGCTCCTCCGCATTCCCTGAGTTGACTTCATTCGCCCACGTCCAGGTCACGGCCGTGACGTATCCGCAGGCAGTGAGGAAGAACGCCGCGACTCGTGCCGCGTCCACACCGGGCCAGGCTGTCAGTATGGAAGCTCCGGGAAGCGTTTTGAGGAGGAGAGGTCCCATGATCCAGAGCGCGCGGTTGCCGGACATGTCGGATCCGAATCCCCAGGCGAAGTCGCTGAGCATGGAGACGATGTTGGCGCAGGCCGGTATCACGTTGCGTTGGGAGACGGTGTAGCCGGCGCTCTCTGGGCATTTTTTTAGCAATGTTTGCGACGAGGTATCTCTGATTTTCGGACTTACTTAAGTAGATGGCGAAGTAGGTATTGGCTTGACAGGAATTGCCGTACTGTGAGGTTTACATCAGTACCGCACTGCCAAGCGAAGCTGTATGAAAGAGCTTTTGGCAACTCACGAAGATGTACATCAAACACAGAACCCACCAGCGCCAGCTGCCGAACATACGCTTGACGAGTTTCATGTCCATTACTCCGGTGATTTCCGTCTTGTTCTGCTTCGCTGCTCGATGTATGGCGAGTCGTCTGTCGTCTTCGGTGATATACCATGCTTTGGTATCATGAGGGTAATCCGGAAGGAGGAACCAGACCAAGACGGCGACTGGTAACGACATACATCCGCAGACTGTAATCTGATTAGCCTTCGGACAAATAATATGGGTTCTATTTGCACTGACTGATATAGAGCCATCTCCACCCCGCCAGGCCTAGATGACCATCTAGCGAAGCAAAGATTCCAGCTTGTAGAAAGCCTAGGGAAGCGTTAGCAGTCGTCCTCTCCCGTTTGTAGGATAAACCATACCACTGGTGGCCGAGCCGAAGAAACCGGTAATATGCCAGATTGCCACTCTCTTCGCCAACTCCGTCTTTGTATACCACGCTCCGAGAAGGAAGATGATGATGGGCGAGAATGCCGATTCAAACAGTCCAATCATAAACCGGAAGGCGTACATCTGGTTGGAATCTGTCGCGCCGGCTTGTGCGAAGCTGATCCATTTCCACATCAGCTGGAGATTTTGGAACTGAGAGATCCCCGGGGGGTGGTACTCACGTGAAGATGGTCCAGCCAATTTCGCAGACTACAATGCAGATTCGAGGCCGGATCTTGAGCGCAATCATATTCGACGGGATCTGCATGATGGCGAAGGAGATGGTGTAGCACACTGCACCACCCCGTCAGCATGGTCCCGGCAATAAAATGGAACTGGACTTGCTCTGCATGTATGTGTACTCATTGCCCTCGATTGATAGATCCTCTTTCATCCCGCTAACATCTGGCGCGAATTAGTATGCCAAACCTGTCTTCCGCGAGTCTCCTTTCCCGACTCACAGGCGTTGGTCAAATTGCTCTGATCAATATCTGCAAGGCTTCTGTTAGGGGCGTACAACTGTGGCCCTGTGGTATGCATCTGTGATCTCACATTTGATCCACTAGAATTACCTCGATCATTAGCAAGCTTGACCGGTAAGCACATTCAAGTTGTGGTGAAGATTTACCCAGCCAAGCGTTGCACATATCAGGATGCCAAAGTCAAGCTTCCGTACCAGAGCACGTTCCTGCAGTAGCTTCAGCCCGGCTCTCAGTGTGGAAGATGGCTCCGCCATACCTGTGGACTCTTCAGATGCTGATCCGAGTCCCAAATGTGGCTGATGAGTTTCGTCCTGAAGGAGGCATATTTAGGCTCTTGTTGTCCAGCAGCAATGTCCTCCACTGGCGCCGAAGTGACTGACGCCGTCTGCTTCTGGGCATCCATACTTGCAGTGAATGTTGTTCCGGTTTAGAAAGGCAAACGTGCGCGAACTCCAGCGTGGAATATAATCCATCAAGTGGAGGCATCTTATCTCGTGCCAAGACGCATTCACCTTTGCTATCTTGCATCTACTTGCCCCCTCGACTGACTGCCACCCACACATTCGGTGATGTGTTGGGAATCCAGCCAGATATTCTTGGCCGCTGACCGAAGATTGGAGACCACATGCAGCGGCAGCAAAGCCCTACATGCCTATCTCGGATGTTGATAGGGCGATGACACGGATGAGTTCACTCTCGCTTTCGGAAGAAGCACATGGAACCGTGACAATTGTTCGATCGTGAGTGCTTTTGATCATTATCTCTTGTCAGTGTGACAAGCTTTTACATCTGTGATCAAATCCTGAAGATTCCTCAAGAAGAATGGCACAGAGCAATGGGACCATCGATCAGGCCGCGCTGGCACGAGAAGTATGTCGTCCGAATCTCGTCAAGCAGCTGATGCTTGAGAACAAGTTGGCATATTCCTTTGGGCTCAGGATAGCTTTCTCGGCGGAAATGCCTTTGATGGCCAAACGGGCTGGATATTCGGCCGTTCTGATGAACTTGGAGCATATGGCGATGAGTATTGAGACGATGAAAGATATTGCTGTTGCATGCTTGAACGTCGGGTGAGTTATTGAGGACTTGAAATCGATGGCTGTTTGACGAAAATGCTAATCTTGTCGAATCGTTCAGTATTTCTCCCGCGGTGGTCGTTCCTACTTGCTCGACGGAATGGATATCCAGGTGCCTGGACTCTGGTGCCCAGACCATCATTGTGCCGCACGTGAACAATGTCGAGCAGGCACAAATGTGCGCGAATGCGGCAAAGTTCCCGCCAGTGGTAAAGCCACGTTCTTTGATGGACAAAGTCTCAGAGTCGAAGCTAACCAACATCCCAGGGCCATCGATCAGTCACAATGGTCTCGGCGATGACACAGTACGAGACTCGGCTCTCTTACTCGACCATCTCAGATGTCGTAAACGATGCCGTGATGATAATGCCCATGATCGAGACAGTTGAAGGCGTTGAGAATGTTGAGCAGATAGCTGCAGTGCCCGGGGTTGATGCCTTGTTCATCGGGTGTGCGGATTTGTCCATGGAGTAGGTATTAGCTTGGTCCGCTGTACGCTGGCCCTCATTCTAACCTCGATGACAGACTGGGCATTCCCGGACAGTACGATAACGACCTGTTTCATAGCACAGTTGCCCGCATCGCCGCTGCGGCCCAGAAGGCATCCACGAACGAGCGCAAAGTCTTTGTCGGGCTCGGGGGATTAGAACCCAGGCCGGATATCTTGGAGGCTCTCGTGAAGAAGTATTCCTGCATACGGTAAGGTGTCCCATTCTCACGCCATATCGGACAAGATCCTGATGCGGTCATGTAGATTTGCGATGGCCGGACGGGACATCGCCTTACTGATGGGCGCAATGAGCAAGCAAGTGGCGGCTATGGAAGCCATCTCCATGTCTCTTCCGTAGACATGCGGTCAGGTCATGCTTCCAGAGCAATGTTTATATTCTAGTGGTGTCAATCCACGAGAGATGGGATGGCGAATTGGAAGATGACGGAGGGAGGGGCGCTTATTGACGTTGTCAAAGCCAAATTCAAACGCGTACTTTCGACGCGATAGCAACAATCAAATCCAACTCTGAAGCGGAACGCATCGTCCATTTGATCTTGAGATACAATGGCGCAAATGAGGAAACCTTCCATGTATGCAATGCCACCGCAGATCCCGATGCAGACACAGCAATCATTCGACCCACTGACACGCCTTGCCTTGGCTGGAGCAGCAGTATCAAGCCGTCTTCCACGACGCCGCGGAGCAGTTCGCACAGAATCAACAACTTCTCCAGGAACAACAACGATGGCATGAATCCAATGCGAAGCTCTCCGGGGAGAATGCGAAGCTTCTGCAAGCCAACGTGGACCTGACGAAACCTTCGACTCGATAGAGCAGGAAAAGATTGTTGCTTCGCGAAGGAAGGCCGCCCTGGAACGCCGCGTTGCAACTCTGGAAGCCGAGAATGAAGAATTGAAGAGACAAGAGTGCGCCTCTAACGCATCCTCTATAATATGCGAGCGTTGTCTCATTCGCGCTGGACCTTGGGGCCTCTGCGGAAATTGCTTCGTGCCTGCCACTGACAACTGGCCCAGTGGACCTAGCAAGATGTCTACACAGATCCCGTCCAACAGTGGGTACGGCGATGCCAAAATCGCAGTCTCAGATTCGGAAGCTGATGATTCTGACGACTCCCGGCGAGGGGGCGTGCAGAGTCACTGGGACCATCCTAGTAATCTCGCCACAAATACTCGACTCAAAGGAGACGCCTTTGAATGGCTGGTGGAATGGTGCGAGCAGAATGCGGACCGGATCGAAAGTCGACGGGTTCTCGAAAGGATCCAGAATGGTCACGAAGTCCGTCGACTTGTACAGGATCTTAACGACAACGACGAGGAAATGGATAAGATCCTCATGAACATGACTCGCATGAAGGTGAAGAGACGATCTATCAAACGCAAGCTCCTTGTTTTGACAGACGAAGAGGGGCTAATTTCTGAGAATGGCCTTGCAACGAAGAAGAAAGTCTACTTGTTCTGCACGATTATGGCTAGCCCAAAGTACGACTTCCATCGGTCGGGCATGCCGTTTGTGAAGACTGAACGAGAACTCGTCCAGTGAGTATCCTTCCATAGCTTTTCAGTGTCCAGCAGCTAACACATTGCGTAGGATATATCACCAGGTCATGAGCGCCATGCGTGTCTTGCATTACGACTACGTAGAATTGCCAAAGCTTGCAGACAAGAATTTCAAGCATCGCAATCCGTCGCCGGCGAAGTGGATGGTACTGAAGCCTCCGTTGGGTCGCTTCGATCTTAGAGGAGATCAGCTTGAGAACGCCGAAGATCCCCTGGTACAGAACTATGTCAGCAGCGAACAGGATGCTCGTATGGCCTGCACGGCACTTCAAAATCTGCTTTGGAATTGGCAAAAGTCTTGATCCGATTTGCTTCCGAGAAAACATTCACTTGGGACGGATGTTGACCTCCAGATTCTCCACTATAACCACAGCTAGGGGGGGAAAAGATCGTCGACTTGCTTTTACTTCGCTAACACTCATGTACTGCAACAACTGATAGGACACTCTCTACGAGACGAGAGAGCATTCGGAGCTACGTTACAAATCTCAATGTAGCGGCCCGACAACCCCGATCTTAACAGGATGTGCAATGGCATTATCTGACCGCACGCAGAGAACAACCGGAAGAAGCGGAAGTCTGAAGCTCTGGCTACGCACACAAGTCTCCCAGGTCTCCAGAAGTATACACTCTCCCTCAGCACAATCGGACTTTGATCACCTCTACTGTCAGCTATGGACCTTGTCTCTCCAAGACGAGCGAGTCCATGTAGCAGTCGACGTTGCCTCCGTTCTGCTCAGCTCGGAGCCCTGTGATCGAATAGATTGTGTTGTACGGATTCTGCGGGTTGTTGTTGCACCACGAACTGTCCGAGCCCGTACAGGTAATCAAAATATTGGAGAACGACAAAGGTCCGAATTCCCACGTTGTATTGAGAAGTTCAATGGCAAAAATGGCTTCGTAGAACACTCTGTCGTCTTACACAAGTCAGTCGTCAGCCCGTCTCCTGGACGCATCTTCGGACTCACTCAGTGGAAAGTCATTGCTCGCAGTCTCGGGCCCGCCGGTATGGCTTATCTTGGCAGTCCAAGCCGACGCTCCTTTGGTATCGTTGAAAGAAAGCACATCCCCCTCTTTGGTGTTGAAGCCATCGCCCCATGGGTAATCCGTGTTGTCGCCGTAAAATCCGGATGCAAACCTCCAATCATCGGCAAAACTGTCCAGTACGTTTTGAAAAACTCCTGATTGCGGTTGGACACCGGGCCACAAATAGGTCCTAGGAGCGCCCTCGGGCCCTGATTTCGGTGGTTTGGGTGGTACGACCATCTGGCCAGAGATGCCGATGAACTGTTCGTTTGCGGGAGCGAAGAAGTTAAGGGCATGCCATGTCCTGTCATACACGAATTCGGCGGCGGCGGCGACGGCGAGCGATTGCTGCACAAGTCAGTGGTTGTCGTTCAGGTCTTGGGAGAACGACTGACCCCTTCACCCTGCCTTGGTTCAGTGTCACTGTGTTGCGCGCTAGCCAGCGCAATGGCGACGATGGTTAATGATGCCAAGTACTGCATGTTGCGATAGGCCTCTTCTTCGAGACACGGTATATATTGAAGAATACTTCATTCCTATAGACATCTCACGCTTATTAACATGTGCTGAGCTCTTCTTATCCTCCGTGGCCCTCCGAAGTAGCATGCTCCGTACGTGGAAGTCTGCGTTGCACGAGTCATCTTCGCGTCTCAAAACGAGTGGAAAAAGGAAACTGAAACTTGATATCACAAGGGTGCTTGTACTGCGAATACGGCAGGACTGCGATCTCTCTCGCAGAATAGAAGCTTTATAAGATTGTTCCTGTTTCTCTTTCGATCTAATTAGTAGATTAATACTAGGTCTCTAAAGATAGATAATAGTAGATACGAAGCTATTTTAGTAGTAAGGATAGTTTATAAAGCCTTTATCGTTCTATTATATTCTAGATTAAAGAGTTCTCTTAGAGTATATCTACTTACTATACTATAGAAGTTCGTAGAAAGGGCTATAAGAAGGGATTTAGCGAGAGCTTATCTAATATAATAACTAGAGGCTTAGTCGAGCTAATAGTTAACTAATAATTAGAGTAGCTATAGCTTAAAGCTATATAGTTATATTCCTATTAAATCTTCTATAGGCTCTAATAGCCTTTTAATAAGTACTAGATATTATAAGTAATTATATAAATTCTAAAGATCTATTATAGATATTAAACTAAGTCCCTAAAAGAGTATTCTAATAAAGGTTTTATATAGATATAGCTATAGCGGAAGGTATCTATAAGGTAGGTAGGT